GCGGGATATTTTTGGTTGGTGGACTATTCTCAGTCCAGCAGTGACACTGAGGTGTTTAAAAACTCCAGCAGCACTGCTGTGTCTGATCCACTCAGACCAGCGTAACACACACTAACACACCTCCACCACATCAGTGTTACTGCAGTGCTGAGAATGATCCACCACCCGAATAAATCCTGCTCTGTGAGGGTCCATGGGGGTCCTGACCACTGAAGAACAGGGTAAAAGGGGGCTAACAAAGTATGCAGAGAAACAGATGGACTACAGTCTGTAACTGTAGAACTACAAAGTGCACCTATATAGTAAGTGGAGCTGATAAAATGGACAATGAACATAGAAACAATGTTATGCCTGATTGGTGTATATCAGTGTAGCACTACGTAAGGATTATATTGTTGGGATATATCTTTGCATATGTGTGTGTGTATGTTACCAAGTGCTGGCCCTTTGAAGCTGAATCTCAGTAGAAGGATACTTGTGTGTGGGAGAGCGCAGTCTTCATTATTTCTTACCCGGTTCCCTCCCCACTGTCATACCGTCAGTGAGCTCTTAAAGATTGCTGCGGGTGGCATATTGAGATTCCGCCCCGTCATGTGTCCGCCTCGCACAATCGCCTGCCTGCCTGCACGTGCTCCCACGGGTTCATCCAGCTGCTCGCTCCGCGTGGGCGTCCGTCTCCACTCCTGTCTGCTGAAATGCATACACACAAGTAAGGATGGAACCAGAGGTCTACACTCAGAACAAAAGAGCTTCAGCAGGGAAAACAGATGGTGAAGGAAGTGAAGATTATATGGGTATTCAGGCTCTTTTGTTTTGGTAAAGACCAAGGACTCTAGCAAAAACCGTGGTAGTGAATAAGGGTCTGAGTCATAACTTGTTCTTTTAATCAACTTCTTGTTGAACGTTTATGATTTTGTATCTTTTGGTATCTAAAATAAATGCAGTAAATTTGAATAACAGGGTGCATCTTTCACGTCTCAAATCAAGAGATGCCTTCACACTAATATGGTGCATCAGTCACCTTACAGTCAATTCATCATCTAAACATTATCATTAATATAACAGCTATGAGAGTTGGGAAAATAACTCTACCAATAGTCATCTTAACCCCAGGGTGACTAAACTTCTAGAGAGCAGGTGTCCAGCACAGTTTGGGCATTTCCCTGCTCAAACACATCAACTAAACCTGGTAATTAATTGAGCTGAGCCAGGTGTGTAGGAAAATCACCAAATTGTGTTGGAGCTGGGTGTCTGGCACTCGGCCATCACCACCTAACAACCTAATCTCTCAAAGTGCATCATCACGTACAGACACTCATACAGAGCTAAAGGCATTTACTCTTATTTTTATCAGTGTAAACTAACCATAAACACAAACCTTGTCCCAAAACTTGACCCTAAACGTCTAACCCTAAATCCAAACCTTCTCCCAAAACATGACCTTAAACTACTATCCCTAAACCCATGTTTGCCCAAAACTTTATCCAATGTGAGTTCTTTATTTACAGTTTGTAAGTGGCAAACACCAAACTGGAAAAGGGATAATATTTCCAGTCACCAATTACTTATTTATCTAATGATTTCTCAAGTTGGTCATGTACAACTTGTGCACCACCAGCAATGACCACAGCTTCCAAAGAACACCTTAAAGTACAATATCTGCAGACTTATCATAGCAAGTGTGAGGCTAGCATACTGATGCACATATACTATTCAGTTAGATTTTCATCATAAAAATACAAAGTTATTCAGTGGAGTCACAGGACCAGCTAACATTAGTGTTACCTGTGGCTAAATTGTTAGCTAGAGTTAGGCAACTTGTTTAGTCATCTTGAATAATAATAATAATAATAATAATAATAACAGTCACAATAATTATTTACATTTACTGACATTACCAGTGTTTCCATTTCAGTCATATATCTTTTGTCATACCTTCTTAAAATGAATCATTAAAATTCATCATTAAGACAGACTTTCAATCAATTCTTAGTTTCATTTTAAAAGCTAATATTTATATGAACATTGGGCCTCATTCACCAACCATTCTTTAGAAGAGATTTCTTCTTAAAACCCACTTACACAGTTTTTATGAAGATTCTGACATTCACCAGTTTTTTCTTAATTAGAATTTAAGAAAACACTTAGGAAGATATTGGTCACTGAGGCCTACTGTTCTTAAGGGGGAGGGGGTAAGGTACTCCCCCCAAATATTCCCAAAGACACCAGTTCAAATAACTATTTGCGTTTAGTGACAGAAAAGCCATTTCTAGCAGCTTGGAGGGAAAGAGAGGCTCTCTGACAAACAATTTAAAGCTGCCACTTTGACTTTGACAGACAGCCATCCTATTGACACCATAGCGTTTAAATCATTGCATACCGTGTGGCTGGACGCTGACAGCTGAGCATCTGTGTGAAAAAAATCACCTTTCAAACAGAACAATGTTCTCACCTCCCACACATCTTCATTTCATGCTGAAAAAACTCATCTCTCTTCAATTACAAAGAGGGGATCACCAGTCCTGCCGCATACATCACTCTCCACCTTGGACTAGCACCTCCTATGTCTTAATGACAGCACAAATCACTATCTACAGGCTAACAGCTGTGCCGGGAAAAGACTACCTACTAATATGTGAGACATTTAGGAGAAATTTTGCTCAACATGAAGCATGCCCCATATGCTTAACGAAAAAAGAAATAACCACTGAAGATCATATTTATTACATTGACATTGATACACCTTAAAGTTTCTTATTGGTCATGGCTTCAAAACGTAAAACAAAGACTAATTGCTTCGATAGACTGTTTAAATAACTTTTCTTATTAATTTTGCTTTGCTTCTTTATTTATATCACACTTTTTTCAATGAAATATGTTTGCTGATGTTCTCGAAACCAGCACTTTTCCAGTTGCCTAATGCAGCCCTGAGAGTGCTACATTAACTGACTGATGACTGCAGAACATACTGTATCCAACCATCCTCATCACAAACCTAACAGTTATATTATCCTGCAATTCCACAGGAGCACAAAAATGGAAGAAAGTAATATTTTCCACAATCTCAAACTGGTAATCTTTAACAAGACAACATCTAATTATCTATAAATGCAAACCATGGGTTAATTATCTGGTCAATGTTCTCTTCCATCCTCACTGTAACAATGGAAAGGAGGTTTTCAAACACAGAACTGACAGACATTTAATGGATTTCAGTTTGGTGAAAGCTTATTTTGATTGACAGGTTATTAACAGTGAAGGCTGCACACTCAATTGAGTGTGATTAAATGCAAACACACTCCAGTCTGAATGGCTTTCCATTGGCCTACCTTTTAAAGACATTTGATGAACTGATGATTCAAACACCACTTTAAGATGAATCACGCACTTAGATACAGAACGCAGATGCTTCATTATTCTTCCTCTTTCTGACAGAGACAGAGATTTGTAAGAAGCCTGCCAGTAGTCAGAGGTGCAAAGAGCATGAGCTCAGTTTCATACGTGGTATCACTACACAAAAAAATTATAAACTGGGTGCAATCAGTAAATAAGAGTACAGTCATATGCAAATGGTTTTTACATGTTTTGTTGATTTTCTAAGCGAAAATAAGTTAACACATCCTCTACAGGAAACAAACTTCAACATGGCCCTTTTCTGCTCATTTTTGCGTGCAATCTATATTTATTTGCTGAGTTTCATATAATAGAAGAATATACAATATAAAATGTGCCATAACTTTTGCATAGGCCACGGTTTGTATTTTATTTTTCCCCAATATGTTACATTCGGCAAATAAACAGTAAATGTGCATTAAATGTGCAGAAGCGTGTTCTCTGTAAAGTTTGTTTTATTTTCAGATAGAAAATCAACAAAACTAGTATTTGATCATATTACTGTACATATTATTTTGCATATTACCGTAAATTTTCATCTTCATGGAAAACCCTGTCAAAATCTAATAAATGACACGAATACAAAAAGGAAAAATAAATTCTCAGTGCAAGTCTTAAATGTTCAGGTTTAGAAGAAAAACTATCATTTACTCCTAGATTGTCTTTACATGAAGCTTTTACGCAACTAGCTGCATGTTGTGAGTTGCAACATAATTTCTGTTACAAAAAGCATTTCAAAAACAATAAAAGTTGCAGGCAACGCATTCAATTACTCCACTGGTGGCCAAATTAGCAGCTCAAAATATTCTCTTCGCTATAAATTTATCTGCAAGGAGTAATTTACATATTGGCAACATTTTTATCATCTTTGTATTTCTTCCTCATATCTTTATCTCCAGAGTTGGAGAAAAATACTTATAAAAAGTAGTAGTACTGCCTTTATAAAATGTCTATATTCTGAATATGTATTCCCAATACTTGCATTCTGTTACATCCCAATCATGAATATTTATGTTTTCTATTTATCTATATGGTTTTTCTGCTCTGTATTCTAGTCTGTTTTTTATGTTAAACCTTTGAAAATCAAAGTTAAATAACTGTTCCTGTTATTCATGTTCATCCTGTTCACTGAGGGCCGCGTCTTACTGTCTCTTTCGGGAAGCTTTGGATCCCAAATGTATCTGAGCTAGTGTTAAATTAGGGCCATCAAGACAGGAGAACATTAATCCAGCTACGTGCCTCACAATAACAGCAGGCAAGAATAAACAGTGCCACGAGTGGCCGTTAGCTGTTAGCATTAGCTGGCTAGTTTCCACAGTGTTTTTACAGAAACGTTAGCTGTGTGAAATTCCCGTTTGTTGGCACGGCTCAGGAAACGTTCACTAAAAAAAAATTAAAATCTACCAACGTTGAGTCAGTTTTGGAGAGGGGCTCATTTTCAAGTGCTCAATAAACGAACTTCTGTTTTATTTTCTTCTCCATCGACCCCAGTTAAATCAATGGTTTGAAAGCACGTCGCCCCGGCGTTGGACGTGATAATGTGATGCGTTATCTGCGTTTTAATTGGCTGTTTCATTAAACTTGTTCCATGAAGTTGAGACGTTAGCAACTGTTTCAAACGAGTTGCAGGACGCTTTACATTCCCCAACTCAAGGTTTATTTACTTTCATGTAGGTTTCAAGCAACTAGAGTTGCTTTAAAGTTTCACCGTGTAATGCCAACCTTAGAAGCTGCAACCATCATCTGCAATATCAAAAGCATAGTAAAATTAGATATTACGTCTCATTAAATATTAACATTTCTAATATCTTATTACTCTAATATCTTATTCAATATTATTGTTTACTGTAACAAGGTGTCAAATGCACAGATTATAAACAGTCAATCATTACCACATTTGTGTTTATAAGAAGAAATATTTTAGTATGATTTGAATTTGATGAAAATGTACTGTTGATTGGACACTCATTTTGTGAAAAGAAAAAACATTTACATTTTTGTCTTGACACTGAAACAGATAGAAAAATGTCAGAAGCGTAAATGCACTTAATTGTATCACTATGTAATTAAATACATAATAATTCTCAACTTCTAAAGATTAAACTGAGGCCAATTTAACATAAGCACACCAAATTACCGCATAATAATACAAGACATGACCAACATAAAATCCTAATACAGGTTTGAAATAGTCACTGTATTTTTTGTCATTTTACCACATAACACTCCCACTATTTACAGTCAAAATTCCTTTTTATTTTTTTTTTCCTTTTTTATTTTTGTGCGTGTTGTGCAATGAACAGTCCAAAAGTTATTTAAATTAGGCTATCTTGTGGTGGGTGCATTTCTTAATGGAAATCATCTAATAGCTCTGCTCATTAGGCCTCTCCTTAATTAACACATTACTCACTGACAGAAGCTCTGATATATTGTCACAGTCATTACAGCAAAAGCTCTTAGCGCCTGAAAAGTCTTAGAATTTAGATCTCTTGCAACACAATAAGTGTGGAATAAAGCAGGAGATATTTCTCAGAAGCTATTAAGTATATTAAAAGATGTCAATACACTGCTAACATCACATTACAGTGGCAGACTCACCACTTCCACAGAAAGCAATACATGTTTGTTGGCACAAAACAGGACTGGCACTGATGATATTTTAGGGCAGGGATGTTCCAGCCCTAATCTAACAAACCTGATCCTCCTAATCAAAGAGGTCAGGAACATGCAAACATTAGAAGCAGGTGTTTTAAAGGGGAATACCACCAATTTTTAAACAGTTCTGCATAATTCAATCATTAAGTTGTAATTCGGAGTGGTCCGATGTGAAATGGTGCATTATGTAGAAACTGACTAATTTCTTTAGAGTGGTGGTGGTAGGAATCTGGGTTGCGATGCCTACAGAAATATAGACATTTTATTTACTATCCAAACTTACCTGAAAACCTACATGCGTCTTCTGAGTTCTATATGAAATACTGGTAATAGAAAAAAATAGTGCAAAATTGGGCCCTGCATGAACCTGCCTGGATTTAAAAAAATACGTTTTAGGCCAAAACCCGATCATACAATAATGTCTCAGGCATCCGGCATCATATCATCATATTCATACCCATTTCATGTAATAACTTTCTAACGCTTCAGACGTCAGACCAACACCACTGGTATGTTTCTTTAGAGTGCAGCATTTCACATTTATTAAACAATTCTAATTGGTTTTGTTTTCAGCTTAACATTTGAAAAAACAGTGTAATTTCACTTTAAGTTACAGTCTGAGATTTTGTAGGGGAGAGTCTCCAGGGCTACGGTTGGGCAGACCTGGTTTAGCCCAGTGTCCATTCCTTAAAAGGAAAAAATCCTTTCGTTTTCACTGTTCTCAGCCAGCAGCCTCACGCTTCAGTCTCTCCAGCACCTCCTCTTTACTAATAGAAGCAGTGACTTTAATGATTTTCTCTCTTGATTTACTACCCTGTTAAAAAAAAAACACATTATTTTGCAATGTGGTAAATTAAGTAAAGATGATGAAACAGAATGTCAATACAAACATATTCATAGTGAGTCACATTATTCATGTTATTAATGATAAGCACGCTACTTCAGGTCACCTTACAGCCCTGTGGCGTACCTTATCTAGTGCTACTTCACTCTTCTTCAGCTCCAGCACTTTGGCTAAATACCGCACCAGCTCCGCATTGGCCTCTCCGTCAGTCGGTGGTGCAGCAATAGCGACCCCCACTGCCTCTGAGGACACATCTAAAAACACAACAAACCATAAAAGGGTATTAATCCAAACATTAGGACAGACGTAACTGGATTCACTAAAGATAAAAAATAAATCATAAAGAAAAATAAAGATAACAGAAAATGACAAACCAACCTGTAACAGCATTCTGTTTTGCTCCGGGCTTGGCATGTATTGCAATCGCAATATCGCCGTCTTTAAGAATGGAAACTGGGCCGCTTGGTGTTTCTGGCTGTTTCTGTGTGCTTTTACTCTGATGGGGAAAAATGTGGGTGATACAAGCAGTAAAGAAATGAATGAAAATATTATCTATTAAAGATAAAGTCTAACTGGCACCATACACTGACTGAAACACTAAAACTCTCAGTTACATATACTCAGGGGTGGATTTAGTGATTCTGGGGCTCTAGGCAAAAGAGAGGAATGTGGGCCCCTGGATGCACACTTTGAGACGCAACTGTCTACACTGCAAAAAATATCTTGGCATATTATATCTAATATTTCTCATCATGAGACATTCAACACGTTTTACTTAAGTAATTTCATTGAGTGAAATGATCTCAAAATATGTGCTTGTTTTTAAATATGCTTTGAAACAAGCAAAAATAACTGCCAACATAGTGGGAGATTTAGAGCAATGTAGAAGTAAAGTAATGAGATTACTTTTTCCAGTTGGTAACGAGTAACGTAGCCTCATTTTATTTTGAGAAAAATAATTAGTAATTTGGCTTATATTTTTTGAGTAATTACCCCAATACTGGAGCTACCTAAACTAACATTAACACTAGCATTATGTATGGTACGCTGAGCCTGTGCGCCACTCTGTTCTGAGTGAAAAAAGCAAAAAGTTAGATTTGGGAATTACTTAAAGGGGAACTCCATCAATCTCAATTTTTTCCAAAAATAATTAAATGGTTAAGATGTAAACAAAGTCATTCAGAGTGATCTGAAGTGAAACACTCCATTCTAGAGAAACTTGTTGAGTTAGAATTGCTCACAGTGGTGGTGCTAGGAACCAGACGTCTGAAGAATTGAATGCCTCTGAAAACTCTCTCACAGAAAGTTATTACATGAATTACATGGTTAGTTATATGCTGCCTGATGTTTGACACATTGTTTTATGGAGGTTTTGTGATAAAGCTGTGGCTTAAAATGTGTTTTAGTCCATTATTTAAATCCATTCATGGCGGACGGATACATGCAGGGTGCTGTAAGGCAAAATAGTCCCCAAAGAAAACTTATTTTTTCAGATTTATGACTATCATCAGCATTACATATAAAAACTGAGGAGGCGTGAGAAGTTTCTCTACAATGAACCATTTCACGTCAAACTACTCTGACTCTGTTTACATCTCGAGGACTGAATTAGTTAGAAATTCTGACTCACCAAAACCTGGTGAAATGCCCCTTGAGTGCCTTCATGTTTATGCCAGTCTGGCTTTATGCAGTTGCGTCGGCACGTAACAACATGGAACAGCCCACTATAACCACGACCGGGGGATGAGGCTACATTGATATTACTAAAAATGATCGATGTAATAGCAAATAAAAGCTATTTAATATGTAGATATGCTTTGGAATACGTTATTTAACATCAAGACGCACAGTATCTTGTTTCATGGAGGCCCTATAGGCAGCTGCCTACCTCTGCCTAGGGCACAGACAGCCCCTGCATGCATTGTGTGTGCTCTTAGACTCCAGCAGTAAAAGTCTGGATAAAGCGACAGAATCTCACCCTACCGTTTTATCTTTTTTGGGCATCTTGGTTTGGGAAAAAGACAGACTCCTCCGGTTCCTCAGCTGATCTCCAAACACCGAGGAGCTCACAACACCAGCACAGCTCCTCTCGCAGAGTGTAAACACTGGTGTCCTATTAAAACCACGGCGTAAAATTTGAAAGAACATGGACTTGTAGTGATTTAAGTCATGGTAACAGTACGGAGGCATACATTTACGCTGTTTTTGTACCAGTCAGCTAACATGTAAACACACGGAACTGTAACGTTAGCACAAATGCACTGCGCATAGCATAATATGTTGAGCTGTATGGAGTCAACGCTGCGTTGTAAATACGCAGGCGGCTAAATTTAAACATTAAAGGGGAAGTCCAGCGATTTTCAAAATATCTGCGTAATGAAATGGTTAAGGTATAAACATAGTCATTCGGAATTGTTTGATGTAAAATGCTTCGTACTTGAGGAAATTACCGAGTCAGAATTGTTTGCAGTGGTGGTGATAGGAACCAGACGTCTGAAGTGTTTAATGGCTCTAAAAGTTACACCCAGGCAGTTGTTACATGAAACGCTTATGGATACTCAGCCTAATGTGTGAGACATTGTTATACAATAGTTTTGTGATAAAGTTAAACATATTTTAATCAATTTGTTTTAATCGATGCTTGATGGAGGAATACATGAAGGGTGTTCTAAGGCAAAATAGTCCCCAAAGAAAACTCTATTTTTTCAGCTTTACCACCATTTTACCATCATCAGCATTACATATAAAACTCATAAGACACGAGTAGGTTCACTGGTGGTTTTGAATTGTAAATAAAATGTCTGTATTTGTGTTGTAGATATTAGGACCCCTGGTTCTTATCACCACCACTGTAAAGAAATCTGAGTTGTTAAGCTTCTCTACAACCAATTCACATCAAACCACTGTAGATGACTTTGTTTACATCCCAACCACTGAACTATGCATATGCATTTTTGGAAAACTGGTGGAATTCTCCTTTAAAGAGCCCATATCCTAACTTGCATGTTTATTTTTACCCCTGAGGTCCACTAATGATGTTTGTGTGGTTTTATGTACCAAAACAGCCATCATTCATTTTCAGATAGATAGATAGATTGTTCAACCCCTCTTTATCCATTATACTTAAACAGACTGATTTTATTTCCATCTAAAAACTTGGTAACCAAAGCTGAAGCCCCTCCTAGTTCTTTAAATGTAGGCTTTGCTGTCCCTCCTCCATCCATGCTGGAGGGCAGCACTGGTTTAGGCAGACCCAACAAACACTTTCACTCACTGTCTGGGTTCAGTTACAGATTCACCTCCACAAAGTCTACACCAACTGATGATACGTCATGGGCTTTTCCCACTCCAGCACCTCTCCAAATCTCTGACAAGTGTGTGGTGGAGTGTAACAACAGACTGAGCTGACTGAGTGCATGAAAAGAAAACATTTATGATGGAAAACAATTCAAGTCAAGAAGCAGAAGAAAATCCTTATCTCTGGTAAGCCTGATTTTACTCTGTTTTAGATGTTTATTTATTTTTTTGGTAAAATATACGTTACAAGGCCAAGCCAAAGTATATGCCAAGTCTAAGAATATCCAAACCATTCTTTTGTAGAACAAGTCAAAAACAGGGTCAAAATGAGCTTAAAGAAAACATCAAAGTGGGTTAGCAGTTTTGAAGCACCTTTAAACTGTGCTCCAAATTGGTAACCATGTCAAAACTTAAGACGCTCACTACTTATCCTTCATGACCAGACTTGCCTCAGTGTAGATGAATACCCTGGTCCCTATTTCCAGTGTTTCTAGAGTGCTGTTTCTCTGTAGCTGAGTGTCAATGCGATTCACCATTTCACCTGCTGATTCACTTTCTCTAAGCAGAAGTAGAATGACCAGTTCTCATTTCTTCTGTTCTGTTGCTAACCCTGAACATAAAGAGCATAACACTGTTGTCGAAGAAAACCTAAATGGTAACTTTAAAAGAGAAGGAAAAAACATACTTTAATTTTAATGTAAGTCAATGGAACCAGACTTTTTTCCAAGTCATTTTGGGCCATTTCTTTTGGTCCATCCATCATGAAATTTACATACAGTGTAAATGCAATGGGTATTTTCAAACTGTGTCAAAAACTAAAAAAACGTCAAAAATGGGGATATGAGGTTTTCTTCCGACAACAGTGATAAGAAACTGTACTGATGACTAGTGACAGCTATGAGTTTGATGAGTATTATTGGATAAACACTTGTGAACTTTACCCTCCTAGTTTCCAGAGAACGCCTTCTCTGCGCCGTAAATGGAGAAAACGCTATGGAGGCTTGGATGGCAACAAATTACTAGAGCCGAATAAGGAGGAGGACCTGAGAGGTACGGGCCTACTCGCAGCTCTGCTCGAGTGTATAATTTGGAAGCAATCTGTGTGGCTTTACGCTCTGTGATTTTCAGGGACATAACTGTGGATGTACTTCCACTTAGGAATTGTCCTTTCACACTGACTGAGGCCCAGCTTTCTGACCCGAATCTAGCCCAAAGGAAACCACAAAACTGATCTGAGACCGGCACAAAAAATAGACAAAGAGCAGTTCAGCATGAGCTTTAACTAGGAGCTCTTGTCGCCAGCCTCTTTTAACTGGGCTTGTGGTTGGAGTTTGGGCTGGAGACTGTTTTGGGAGAAAACGGGTGTGTCTATGAGCAAAATCAACTGCAGATGAAGTGATGTGGTGTCTGTTTTTAGTGTAAGAAATATTGCAATGACTTCCATGCAGTCTGTGTTTTATTTTAGGAACTATTGTTTGCGATGGTAATTTTTCTCCTCTTTCCTTTTGACCTCAAAGAGAAATCTACACTATACTGTTTAGTTTCTGTAAGTTGGGTGGCTTTTTCACTTGTATCTCACTTTAAAGATATTGAAAATAGCATTCTCCTGCCCTTAACTGCACTGGGGAAAGCTATTGGAAGTTTATTAATTTACTTACTGTGGACAACTAATTAGAATTATGAAAGGATTCTCAGTTTTCTTTTTAAGGTTTCTTTTGAGTTGTCTTGCTTTGTTCTCTGGTCCAGAAGCTCTGAACATGGTCCCTTTTATGACCAACTGAGTCTTTAGACATCAGAGTTAATGGGTTGAATTCAAATGTGCTACTGTATTGTTAAGTAGATTAAATATACGGACTACAACACTTTTTATGAAATGTGGCTCTCCTTTGATTGCTGGCTGCCTTTATTATGGCAAAGCTTAGACCCAAAGAGCTGGCACTGCTGTGTGCATACCTTTGTCTGGAATGCACCAATATAGCTGGGCACAGAATCGACTTCCTGTAAAGAGAATGTGCCTTTTTGGCCTTAATATAAAAACTTACACTGTGTGAAGCAGTGGCATAGACAGACATACGTTTTTGGGTAGCACGCTAATGTCCTGCAAAGTCATAACATCAAGCTATAGCCTGTTCCTCACACCAGTGCAGACATCACCCTAGCTATTCCAACACTTCTACCTCTGTGGTGATTACAGCAATGCTGGATTCACATAAACCCAAGCAGCACTGCAACACCCTTCACTATGAAGCATGCGTTCACTCACCACAGGCACATCTTTGGCCCAACAAAGACAACTAGTAAAAGAAATTTAGCAGAAAACCGATAATGTTAATATTTTTTTAAATTGTTTTTGGCTGTGGATGAGTATAAAACAACATACTCTACTCTATCAGGACGGAATCTCACTTTTATGTGCCCTTCAGGTACATCTTTTGTCTGCAGCTGGAGCTACAAATTCAAACACTGGCATGATGATAACATATTGAGGTGAATGCTTGAGGCACTGGTGGATAGCAACAGTTGCTAAGCTCCGATTGCAGGGCTGAGAAAATAAGACAGAGCTTGGCGGTGAGCGTGATGATTGGCAATGATAGAATGGCAGCTCAAACAAAAAATAAATCAAATTTCATTATCTTTAAAAATAAGCCTAATATATTCTTTCCCCATTTGATTGGGTAGGCCAGTGATCAGTCTGGGTAGGCCCAGACCTACCCAGGAACTATCCGTATCTACACCCCTGGTATGAGCATTTCATGATGAAATGACCAATAGAAATCACTTGAAATAAAATCTTGTTTTTTTTTAACTTTAAGAGTTAAGAACATTTTATTCCTTCTCCTATAAATTCACAATTTTACATGCATAGTTTTAGATACATAGTTTTGTTTAGACAGCCACAATATGCTCTTCTTTTGTAAGAGAAATGCTGCAGATTATCAAATCCAAGCAATAATTTTAAGGGCCTCCTTAAACTCCTCAGTTCTTACAGTCCATATATGGAAAGTAAGCTTCCAGTTTTTAATTGACTGTTCTTGTGATGTCATAAAAACCTTGCATTTACGTACATCTGCCTATTCAGCCTACAGCAGCTTAGCCCCGCCCTTTCTTGTTGAAATTATAAAGCGTGGCTCAGCCTGAACTGACTTTTTAGTGAGGCACAAAATAGGGCAGCAAATCAGAACAAATATATCAGTCTTGCATGTACAATAACAAAAACAGCCTGTTTAATTCTAATGGATAAAGGCAGGTTGTAAAATGGTCATTATAAATTTACAATTTGGAGATACATAGTTTTGTTTAGACAAAGTATGCTCTTCTTTTGTAAAAGAAATGCTGCAGGTTATCAAATCCATTCAATAATTTTAAGGGCCAATATAATTGAAAGTTTAATACAATTTAAATAAAAGAGATTGACATAGAATGTAAATATTAATGTAAACATTAAAGTTTCAAAACATTCTTTTCACTCTTCAGTCCCTAGAGTCCATATATGGAAAGTAAACTTCCTGTTTTTAATTCACTGTTCTTGTGATGTCACAAAAACAGGGTTTTGTCACATCACAAATACCAATGCATTTACATACATACACCTAATCAGCCTACAGCAGTTTAGGCCAAGCCTTTTTTATTAAAGTTATAAAGAATGGCTCAGCCTGAACTGACTTTTGAATGAGACACAATACAGGGCAGCCAGTCAGAACAAATATATCAGTCTTACGTGGGTACTAAAAAACAGCCTGTTTAATTCTAATGGATAAAGGCAAGTTGTAAAATGGTCATGTAAAAATTAAGTATGACTGTTTTTACATAAAACTACATGAATGTCAGATTTTTTGTCAAAAAAGGTATTTTGGAGGTCCTGTTCTCCTCCCACATGGCCTGCTGTTAGTGTGTGGGTGTGTGTGTGTGGACAACATGGACAGGCTGCTGACTGGCTACAGCTGCTAAAGGAGAACCCTACACTGGCCACTTGTGATATTTTAAACATCTGGTATTTTTACCTAAATTGTTATGGCTGTATTGATTTAAAAAACAATAATGCGGTGGGTCCACCAGACCAATGAGTAACAAAAATATGAACACCACACGAGGGTTAACTTCCTCAAAAGATAAGAGTGTTTTAAACACCAAAGCTGCACAACAGTGCTCTCAATTATTATGACATATACCGGATCCATGTATAATAACTCAGCGTCATTTGTTTATATTTACATTGTTTATAAAAAATAGTATAAAAAGATGTATTGATTTTCTTAAGCTGTATCAAGCAAGGCCCCTTTAAGAATCAATGGAAATGTATCATACTTTCACTGTAAACAAAGTAGCTCTACAAAACCCGACTGTGACTTTAATGCCCACTTTGATGGCTGCCTTTGAGTAATTCTGACTTAAATCTGAGATTGAAAATAGAAATTACAATCACAGCAGCCTCACCACACAGGCTGTTTTATTGTGTTATTACTCAGAGGTTTTGGCTTTTGAGAGAGGACAACAACTCAGCTCACAATGTTAGAAACTTATGATTCTACAATAGGCTTTCCTCACTTCTTCTCACCAAATCAATGAGTCTACTTCTTTTAAAAAAAAGTCACTGCTTGTAAATGAAAGAATATAAGAAAATTTTGATGAATTGTTGTTTCAAAGTCACTGCTAGACTTCCTCCACATGCTCTTTCTCCATTTTTCCCCCCTTTGTCTCTATTTTCTCCACTGTCAGAGAATGGCGTAATGACAGATGGCCTCCTGGAGAAGAACACAGCCCCTGTGAAGAGTGCAGAAGCTCAGGTATGTGGGTTCGGGTGCATGCTTTGTCCTGCCACTGCCACATCCACACTCACATAAAGCCTAATTCACAGAGCCGCTCTCTTGTTAGAACCTGAGCTGTGCAAACATTAGGAGACGAAAGCTATTTCAGCAGAGCCGAAGGCTGTCTCTTCCTTTACTGCTCTATGAAATGAGATTCTAAATATATGACACGCTTCCTTGCCGAGAGCTGTACCAGTATTTTTTGAATAATCAAGAACAAGCATTATATTACGAACAATGTAGCATTGTTGGTGTTGCTGAATGAACCTAGAAAAACTTGTCCCTGCAAAAGTAATAAGCTGAGACTAAGCCAACGCATCCTGTAATAAAACCATTCCTCCAGGCGCTGTTTGCTGTTGCTGCTGTCAGCCGACTCAACACATTTGTCACCCGTCATGTTACCTTGTAAAGGTAACAATTAGTTTTTCCCTTCAGTACGCAGCACCTGCACTCGCTCAGACTTCAAAGAGCTGTCTGGTCGCAGCCTTAAAGTCTACCGAATATGTCATATATCATGTGGATTTGAGGGTCGTAAACACAGCCAATTCATGTGTTGCTGTTTTATCCAGACCCAGGAGGGAAGCCCTCTTTTATGAAAAACAGAAGCAGGATTTTCAGACATTAGCCAGTTTTTATTTTACAACTAAACAATAAAGAGTACAAGAAAAAAAAACAATATTGCTTGTGTGTTTTTAATGTCTCCAGGAGACCAGTCTGTCAGGGAACATTCCACATCCTGTGCCAAGAAATGCCATGCCGTCTCAGAGGCCTCACAGCTTTGTGGCTCCAAGCTCAACAGGTAAAGAAACTGAACAGCAAAGAGCTTCTCTTTACAGCGACAGTTTGGCCACAAATTAAATGTACACAATTTTTCCCTAACTCCAAATGTAATGAGAAGGTCTGGCTGTAGACATGCACTCTAAGCCTAATATGCACCGCCAGCCTGTTTTGTCGGTTTTATGAACAAAAACAGCGAACCACATACTTTTGGGAAACCAGTTACACTGAATGTATATTAGCGTTGTCATACTTATAATAATGTAATAAAATATGCTAGTTTTCAAAACAAAACCTATCATGACGATAAGACATGAATGTTGGTTTTTATTCGCAGAAAAAACAAACAGGCTACTGCTGAAACTTGTGAAAACCATCCTGAAGACGATTAGAACCATTAGCAATAAAACCTGAGGGTTTTGCTTTAGGAATTGGCTTAATGGTTGACCATGAGGAAACGATCAAATGTGTCTTGAATCAGTCCCAGATGACCTGCTAAATGATTAGAATCCTTTACACTGTGATATTAACCCTTTATGACAACACAGAATACCCTTAGTGATCACTGCGCACCACAGGAGCCAGCAGAAACTTTAAACAAGTTTGATGATTTTTTCAACAGGGAAGTACATTAAATGGAATTCCATAGATGTGTTATGGATTAAGTGATGATATCACTAAGCAGCCAAATGTTAACGTGCTGTTGGGCCGCTTCTGCCATTGTGGCAGAGTGTTCATGTGACGTCACTGGGGCTGAGAGTACATCTGGCTGAGAGTGCATGTCTGCAGCCAGACTCTGCTGGGATATAATCAGTCAGTCTAGGCGTGTTTGGTGTCTGAGGTTTGCTTAATTAGTTTTAGAGCTATGAGCCTAATATAGATAATGAGTAATGGAAGCTTATGATCACCATGTTAGCACTAGGCAATCTACATGCCTGAATCACCACACACTTGCTTAAAATTGTGACATATTGTTAAGTAAGCTCAAATAGACATATATAGTCTAAAACTGTACAAAAGTGCTATGTTATTGATCATATTTTTGCATTTTCACAATATATGTTTCTATGATAGACACATCATAAAGGGCTGCGATTAGATTGATGGGAATTCTAGGGGCTGTGTCTAATATTGGTATAATGTGCTTCTGGAGAGAGTTTTAAACCTTACTCTCCCACATAAACAAAAACAAGTGATTTAGCCACTCTGCTACAGAGCCAGTTATGAAACACACATGTGTGACGTGCACAGCTCAAAATAAATGCTTAAAACGTGATGGCTATATGTGTGAAGAAGTGCCAATGACTACTGTTACAACAAAACTGCATCACCATAAGGAGCATTTTAAATGATTAAATATGTATTTATTCATTTTATAGGCCTATATAGACAAAGCTGTTTAAGCTGATAGGTTTTCAGCCTTACAGTCCACAAAAATGTGATTGCAGCCATAATGTAAGTAGCTACTAGTATTCAGTGGCAAACCATGACTATTAGAACCAGGCCTCCTCAGTGATAATGCTAATTTCTGTTAGCATCCCGAAGTGATTCTAGTACAATAATCTAGCTACAATTGTTGTTGTTGTTGTTCTTGTTATATTACAAAAGCTTCATGACACAGAAACTTATCCTAGTTCCAGCCTAGGCTTCATCTCTGTGAAGAAAAACTGCCCTAAATTTCAATTGCCAGCTTAAATTGCAGTGTCATACTTTGCTGCCCAGGCTTACCAGCTTTTATCAGCAACGGAGGTACAAAAGCCTCAATCCCCCAAGCAGAGCAGGAGCGGGCCCTGTCCACCCAGCCCTGGCCCAGCGCCAGCAGGATGGACGCCCAGCACAGCCAGTCAAAGAGAAAAGTGTGAGTCCAGCGTCTCATTCACAGCATCATTTGAGACTCACATACACCTCACATACAAGTTAAGTCTACTTAAAGTAACTTTATTCTCACTGATGCATTTTGGTGACGCACACTGTGTCCTCTGCACTGTCCAGGGCTGCTGACGTGTTGTTCGATAGCTTTGCCTCCGGAGGGAGAGTCAGCACCAATCTTTTCTTTGAGGTATCCAAGAAAAGGCATTACACAACCAAGTCGTTAACAACACTTCAACCGAGAAAATCTTAGATGTTGTCATTTTTCCCCACAGACCCTGTGGAGCTCTGGCGTTTTACGTACTGACCCGCGGATTAAAGACTGTTATGCACTGATGAGGAAACTGCAGGATGCTGATGGGGCAGTGGACAGGAACACCTTCCAAAGGTCATGATAAGCTCTTTAAATCTATCCTCAGAGTCCATATTCAGTAAGCAGAAATGAAGCTGATGTCACACACCTGCTACACTCATAACGTTGGCTCTGCTTTCCTTTGGACGCCCCGCAGGTGTGTAACAGGCTTCGTGTCTTTCATCTTGAAGGCCGTGCAAGGCAGATTTGTCATTCCAGATTTCTCCACATTCACTGAAGAGACCCAAAAGTTGTTTATCAAATGTAAACAGCTGTCTTCTGTAAAGGTGTGTGACATGATTTCAGGTTTGTCATATATGACCAGTAAATGATCAATGAGTTAATTCTAAACACAGCTGTATTCCTCAACAGGAGAGAGAAGAGGGAAATGAGGGCAGTGGAAAGTGGGGGGTTTCAGTCTGCACAGTGGATGGCCAGAGGTACTGAAGCTAATGCTTTGAAGTATGGTACTGTGCAAAAGTCATATATATATATTATATATATATATATATATTATATATATATATATATAGGTATAGATTTGCTAGAAGTTACAGTAAGATTGGAGTGAGTCTGTTTGAGGTGTGGACATGGTATGGATTGTCCATGGAGATCATGATGATGATAATGATTCAGAGGTGTAGTGAAAGGCTCACTGACCGAAACACCAGCACAACTGGCTGTTCAGCAGCCTGATGGCCCGGGGGAAGAAACTGTCTCGGAACCAGCTGGTTCTGGACTTTATGCTTCTGTATTCCATTCTTTTCTGGAGACTTGCTTTCTGTTTTTCAAAAAAAAATGCAGGAATATTTTTCCACACCTCCAGTATTCAGTCTTACAAGTTGGTTGTATTTCCTGCTTCCCTTTTTTTTCACTTATTTTCCTTTGACTTTCCCCTTCTTTATGCAAGTAGATTATCTTATATCTAATGTCCTCAGAAGTATCTCCTGAAAATGAGCAAATTATACTAAGTGGCTGGTTTAACTGAATAGTAAACAAATGAAGGGTGGCCTGTGACTTTTGCACAGCCCTGTAGATATTTTGCTTCGTCACTGATTAGAGAATTTCCAGTAAATAACTCTTCAAGGGCTGTTTTTGTGGATTTGGACTGAGCCTAGTCTGAAGATAAACTGCAGTGTCAGTGGTGTTTTATCATTTAAAGGTGAATTCCACCAGTTTTTCAAATGTTTAAATAATTTAGTTATATAGACATAAACAGTCATTCAGAGTTTTGATGCAGAATGTGTCACTGGAGAGAAACTGATTCAGAACTGTCACTGTTGTGGTGACAGGAACCAGAAGTGTATAATGCCAGTAAAAACCTCCCTCACAAAAAGTTATTACACAAAAGGGTTAAAAATATGCTGTCTAGTGTCTGAGACATTGTGTTAAAATAGTTCTAAGACAGGGTTTTGGCCTAAAATGTAATTTTTAAAAGTCATTCATAGTGGAGAGGTAAATACGGGGCATTGTAAGGTAAAATAGTACCCCAAAAAAACCTTTCCAAAACTGTTCTGGATTTAACACCGTATTAGCAACATTACATATTGTCACTGTAGGGACAAAATATGTATCTTTTTCATTTAGCAGTTCATTTTATGGTGAACATACCAATAGAAAAGATCCAAAACTACTTCAAATAAAATCTTATTACATTACTTACATTGTAAGCTAAGGATATTTCTCCTTCTACTGAAAAGAAAACTCAGAAGACACCAGTAGGTTCACTGGTCACTTTGGATCGGCAATATTTGCATTGTGGTCATCACCACCCTGGTTCCTATCACCACCAAAATCTGAATCTGTATGTTTCTCTACACTGAACCATTTCAAATTAAACCCATCCAAATGGCTTGGTTTACATCTAAACAATCAAATTATGAACAATTGTTGAAAAATCAGGTGAATTCCCCTTTAAAATCCCATTTAGTCCAGGTTTAGGCTTAATCTGGGTCTGGAAAACTGGCCTCAAGAGTCTTGCTTGTTTCCTTACTGTTGTTCACCCTCACTCAGTCACCATCCAAGCAGTAATATTGTTGACATTCTTTATCATTATGAATCAGATTATGCTTAAATAAGAGACCACATCCATATTTATTCAGTGGTCATTTTGTTTTATTTTGGCTGTAGGCTCTCTCTTGGGGACTGGGCAGAGCCATGTGTTCTAGGAGAGATCTCTTGGCCTCTGGTTTACGGGCTTGCAGTGGATCAGCTTGGGGTTGACTATGTACACAGATACGTAGGAGTGGAAGAATATGCTAAATATGAGTCTCCCTTTACTCTGAGCAAGCAAGGTAAGAATGATTTAATAAAGAAATTATTTTCTTTATTGTCTCTATTCATTGTTGTGAGACTAACACCACCAGTCTTTAAAGCACACTGTGGTTTGCATCAAACACTTCCAAGTGGTAAACCTTTCTGGTCCAGGATTAAACCAGACTTGAGATGTTTGAACACAGATGAATCCTAATCCTTGACTCTAGCAGATCTTCAATGGAGAGTCCCCCTTAGGTCCAGCTTATTCTGTGTTTGTAAAGCTCCTCTTTATATACTCTGTACTGATGTGGTTGGACCATTCTGGCATGCAGGTGTCCCTCACAGTCCACTGACTGAGACAGGAGCTATCATCAGTGCGTCACTGCTGCAGGTGGGGCCAGTTTAACACATCATCACCACAACACACCCTCAAAAGCATGTCTTCCTTTTTGTTGATGGTTTCTATCTTCTAGCAGTTAACAGTGAGGCCTGTTACAGAGGAGGAGGAGAAGTATGAGTCGGTAAGCACACTATGGGCACACCTCAACCATTTGTACTGATTTTAGTAGAACTGAGTTTAAAGTTGATTTTTGTATCTTGTTGTATCGCTGACAATATCAAAAATGTGTTGTAGGTTTGTGATTTTAATTATTTCTTAATCAATGCTTAACTGTACCTTTCAAGGTCAATGGCTTGTCACTGGGATCGTAACCTCAAGGGTTTCTTCTTCAGTCTCTTTAGTTAGTGAACATAATTGGACCATATTTCACTGCAGTTTTATTTTTTTAAAGGAATTATTTGGCAAAAAAAAATCAATTTTATGCAATTTTCCACTTAAACAAGGCATAGTCTGTCAACCAAGGCACAAGATTTTGTGTGCAAATTGTTGCATCTTTACTTTCACACAGGAGCTATGAGGCTAATTTTACGCACGAACATTAGAAGTCAATAGTCACCCAAATCTTTTCTGTAAATACATCCCAAAAACCTCTCTCAACCCACTTAAACCACAGCCAGTTCTTCATTGAGGTCACTCAGGTTTGTTGAGCACAGTATGACTTACTGTGAATTATACAAATGAAAAAACTTGCATTTTTATTGTGCCGAAGGACATTTTGGGGATTTATTTACATAAAGATTTAGGTGACTATTGACTTCCAGTGTTTGTTAGCAATGTTATGTAGTATGGTATATTATGTAACGTTATGAATGTAGTGCACCTTTAAGACTCATTTAAGGTATAAAATTAGACCTTAAGAATATTGTTGCACCCCTGAACGTACATTTCCGTGGTTTGAGGGCAAAAATGTACTTATACAGAGCTTTTTTCTGACAGATTCTCTGCAAATTCTTAACTTTTAATCCACATCACATTTGTTTCTGTAAATAGGATATATTTTATACATTAGATTTTTGTAGTTTTTAGTTTAAAGTTATTGTGTGTATGTGTGTGTTGTTTTGCAAAAAGAACATTTTTTTCATGTTTTTGTATTTTTTTCACATAAAATCAAACAGAAAAATGTAAGAAGTACAGAATCGGATGTGGAGATACAGCATGTAAAGTAAATGTGAATGTAATTCACTAGGTGATTGACTGTGTAATTACATGTAAATTAAATATAATAACTTCAGACCTCTAAGACTTAATCCTCTTCCAAATTCTCATTGTCAGGTTCTGAATATTGTAAGGAGACTGTGTAACAAGGAACACGCCAATTTAAACTGTACAAGGTACGTCGTCTCCACAGACATCTGTAAAAGGTAACAAATGCTCCATTTGATTTCATGCTGTTTATACTGCTTCAGTTACCAAGGCTTGAGGAAGGACATCATTCGTCTACATGCTCTCTCATTTTATCTTCAAGAGAAGAAGGTAAGCTCACTTGTTCCTACTTATATACACTAAATTCTGTGTTAACAGGCATATATTCTATGCTTTTTCATGTTTTTTACTTCTTTCTCTGAGGCCCACTTATAACAATTGTGTGGGTTTGTGTACCACAGAACTGATTTTTGCATGAACATTTCCAACCTTTCTTTATCTTTTAAAATTAAACAGGCATATCCCCCCTCCTACTTACACTCAAAACAATATTTAAGCCAAAAAAGTTAAAACTTACGTAATTTAATTACGTCAATTTTCCATTCAATTTAAATACATAAATCCAATGTAAAAAATGGTATTATAATTTACGTTTCTCCATCATGTTCAATAACCTGAATGAATTAAAAATCGTTTAAATTAGAAGTACTTGTAGGATTTATGCAATTCTTTAACATAATATTTATGTATTTCTAAAGAGTTAATAGTACCTTCTGTATTCACAGCACAACTACTGAAGACTGTGTAAATGTATTAAATGACAATACATGTTAAATTCACAAACATTTGTTGTAGTACACACTGTGTTAAACAGTATTTGCTGAGGCTCATTACAAGACACATAAACTTTGAAGTCTAATGTGAAAGAAATAAACATAACTTTATATATTTCAGCTGTGATCAAATTCCCTGGTTTAGAATTTCTATTCACTCAAAACTGAACTACTAATAAAGGCAAATGTTTATGTGCACAACATTCCTACTGAGGTGCAGCTCTCATGCTGACCATCATTCAGGTTAGCTAGGTAATGCTATCAGTCACTTCATGCCATGCTAATGTCGAGGTCACCTACAGTTGCAAAAAACATGAACTACTGATTTGAATATTAATGGAATACATCTTTATATACTGCGCTTCACAGTAAGTCACTCCCACTGTTTATTTAATCTACCTTTTGTACGCGTTAACATGACAGCAGACATAGCAAGGATGCTAGCTAGCTAGATCGCTGGTGTTGTCTAGAGTATCTCTCAAAATAAGCAAAATGAAACATTAATATATGGTCAAAAACATTAAAAACACAAATGAAGTTAATGTGCATCACTATTTCTTTGCAGTTGCACTGAATAACAAAGGATGGCGGGAGATTGTAAAAATGAAAAGAGCCATTTCATGTCCACCATGCCAGCTGAAGCAATTTCCTGGTTGATGATGCATTTCCTGTTAATATTGAACATGCACACTGCCTCCTAATAAGATTAAGTGGAAATCTAAAAGGTCTTATACAATTCAATTAAATCAGTTTTGGATTTATCCAAATTGGGTTGCTTCTAATGAAAATAAATAGGTAAAGTATATTTTTACATTTTTTAAAGTTTTAAGTAAAAATATTTGCTTAATGATAAATCATTTTTTTTGAGTGTACTTAAGCACAGTATGACTTACCGTGAACTATAAAAACAGAAAGATTTAGGTGACTATTGACTTCTTGTGTTTGTTAGCAATGTTAGCCTCATAGCTCCATCTGATTAACTACACCTGAGATGATGTGGAATTATTCCTTTGAGTTGCATTGACTGTATACAACCTGTCGTGACTCCAGGCTTTTTATTTTATTTTTCTATTTTAGAACATTAAGCTATGAAAGGTTTACCTTTATGTAGTGTGGTATATTATGTACATTTAGGAATGTAGTGCATCTTTATAAGTTCAGTGTGAATGGGTGGGCTAAAACTGCTGTAGGCTGGTTAGATGGATATATAAATATAAATGTCTTTTTTGTGACATTATAACAACAATTAATTCAAAACAGGGATTGAGAAGTGAACAGTACATTTTAAAACTTTAACCACATTTGCATCCGGCATTAAACTCTTTAGTTTTAAAAAAATTGTGGAAATTTTGGAGTTATTTAAAACAGAAATGACATGTTGTCAGAACTCTTGCTCTTCTAAACTTAAATACTTGTTGATCCCTTGCAGTGCTTTCCAGATAGTGTTGACATAAATGCCACACTGGATCTGCTGTTACAGGTAATCACCAGCAACGATTGACATGTTTTGACATTGACATGTTAACACAGTTCAGCAGCTCTAATGGAACATGTTTTGTTTTTAGTGTCTATCTACAGAAGTCACCTGTGAGTCTGGAGCGGCGTTGGCTGCTTCGTTAGCCAATGGTGGCCTTTGCCCCATGTCAGGTGACCAGGTCCTCTCACCATCCGCAGTTCGGAGTACTCTGTCCATGATGCAGGTGGCAGGGATGAACAATTATTCCAGAATATTCCATTTTAAGGTAACTGGAATTACTTGAATGTAAATCCTGTATTTATATGATAAATTAGCAATATGTATTTCTCAGCGTGTTGTTTCATGGTATGTTAACTTTATAGTGTAACAGGGTGCATATCATGTTACTTTTAATGTATGCAGCAGTAAAGTGAATGATGTGAGGTATAGGAAGGAAAACATAAGGGCAGAAGCTGCATAGGCCCTGGTGAGAAATTTCCTAGTACTGCAGCACCACCTACTGGGAAGGGCCCAAATAACTTTTGAGGCAACTGAATTATATTAATTTAAAATAAATTCCATTTAGTTCAGTTTCATCTAAGGTAATGTAGCTATACACAAGAGTGCATATAACAGTAGTATTTTGTCAAATTTAAAATTTTTACATAATTCAATCATACAGGTGCAAACAAAGTCATTTTCAGAGTGGTTTGGTGTGAAACGGTTCATTGTGGAGAAACATCCTGAGACAGATTTCTATACAGTAGAGGTGATAGGAGGCATTTACCACTTCAGATATCCAGTTCCTTTCACCACCAATGTAAACAATTGTGACTGGGTAAGTTTTTCTTGAACTGATCATTTCACATCAAACCACTCTGAATGACTATTTACATCTTAATGATTTAGCTGAGCATAAATTTAGAAAATTAATGGAATTCTTTCATAATCTGTAAAGATATAGTGGCTTTTACACTCCCTACTCTGTAGACATCTGTGCCTGCCAAATCCAGCAGCTCTGGTGTGGTGCTGATAGTCATCCCTGGAGTGCTGGGCCTCATGTGCTGGTCACCAGAGTTGGATGCACATGGAAATTCCTGGAGAGGAGTGCATTTCTGTGAGGTCAGAACCAAATTAGGCAAAGTTTAAAGGAGGTCAGATTTCCACACCACGATTGATGTAACCACTGGTAACACCTTGTTTGGTTTCAGGAGCTGGTGTCTGCCTTCCAGCTGCACAGTTTTGACATCCGGACTCCTTTCAGACAGGTGCTGTCCTACAGGCAGTGGAAAGTGGAGTCTGAGGTCAGCTGACCTACTATGAAATAATTTCAGTGTAACATTTGTTAGTGAGTTGGATATTGTAATCGATTCAGCACGTTCCGTTTGACTGGCTTCACAGGGTTACCAAATCATGAACGTCCTCTTGGCTGCTTACCGAGGGGACCTGCACTCCTTAAGGAGGTAATGCCATCTTATTGTGCTGGTAATGTCATTAAAAGAGGTGGTTTTATAATTATTGGCATCCTTGGATAACCCCTTAAATGGCCAGGGCCTGGTTTTATTACACACTTTTATAACCTAAGAATAGCTTGAAGTCACTGTAGTTATTGAATAATAAGCCTTAGTATGTATCAAGCCTGGGATTTTAATTAGCTAAATCTCACACTGAAAACCTAACATTTAATTTAAGCTAATTTAGTCTGAGAAAACCCTTTATCAAACCTTTATCAAAAAATGTTTTTTTAATCAAAATCACAAGTCATAATTATTGACACCACATCATTTACATTGTGCAGGCTGCCTTATCCAACAGAACGGCAGTGAGTCTTCTTGTATAATGCTTGATGAGATATAGAACATGCAATCTGAGACCACTCCTCAATCCAGAATCTCTTCAGACCCTCCAGACTCCTAGTCCCTCTCTTTTGGATTCTCTTCTTCAGTTGACCCCTCACATTTTCATTGGGGTTTCTGGTCATTTTGACATTTTTAATTATTGCCCTAAAAGTAGATTTATGCATTTTCAGGCATGTACAAGCTTGATTTATGAAAGTCGACACACTTTTGTCTCACTTTATTTGTGTATTCTCTAATCTTCTCCATGTTGATGAATGAAGGGAATTTGTCCTCTGTGTTGCTTCATATATTCCTCAGTGAAACAGGAAGTCATGCATGACCACTTAAGAGTTCCTGAACACTCATGTGGTCTTAAAAAGTTAAAAATAAAAGGAAGAGCTTCAATTAAAGGTTAGGTTTCTTTCATGCATTAAGTGTGAGAATTGAGCTCATTAACCATTAAGACATTTTTTCATGAATGACCTTTTATTGCCCATCATTACCAAGGGTGCCAGTAATTATGGAGGTCACTGTATCACTGTAGCATTTTTTCCCAAAAGCAGCTTTTCAAAAGGCTCTTCCCTTGACTGATTAGTAAGTGTTTTAAAAAACACCAGTGCAGTTAATTTAAGCAAAATGTTAGTGAGGTAGTGTTCTGTGGTGATTAATTTTAGCTCAGTGTTGATCCTGGGATGTGAGAGCCATCTCACTGGCACTGTGTAAATGATACAGATGGTCCCAACATAATGACGTGGTGCAACTGCTGCTAAATCAAGTATCACTCTCCCTTTCTTCACACCCGCTCCCATGACCTCTCTCACTAATTAGTAAACAGGATGCGTGACGTACTGTGATGTGTCATGCCTCACCTCGGCAGGTACTTCCTCTCTGGAGCAGATGTGAATGCCGTGGATTATGATGGAAGGTCTGCCCTTCATGTGGCTGCCTCAGAAGGGCACCTGGAGGTCATCAAGTTTCTGATGGAGAACACAGGAGCCAACTGCACACTAAAGGACAGGTAAAGTTAAAACACAGTATAGAATGATTAGAATGATATTAGGGATGCACCAATCATGAATGTTTATGGCAAATTTTAATTTCTTCACAGCCAAATTGGCCAGTTGTGGACTTTTATTAGCCTTTATTTTTTAGCTAAAGCTCACACTGTGTGGGCTAAATGACCACATAACTAGTGAAACTAGTACATTTGCAGTACTCTCTATTAGTTGCATCAAACCACTCTGAATGACTTTGTTTACATCTAAACTTTTGAATTATACAGAATTTTTTTAAATCTATAGAATTATCCTTTAAGCACTATAATGTGTGACATGTTGACATGTTGTGATTGCATATTGAAAGGTAAGAACTGACCTTTGACCTGGTGATGTGTTGATGTCTGACAGGTGGGGCAACACACCATTGCAGGAGGCTATGAGATGCAATCAAGGTCCTGCCACACAGCTTCTGAAGAAGTACACAGACTATGAAGAGAGTTTATGACAGAGCAGAGAACAATAACCAGTCTGTGCCAATGCCTTGTGGTTTGGAACGCAGCTTTAAAGGCCAGTCATTTACACACTTCAGACCTGTTGCTATGTATAAGAGTGTGTGGTGTGGTGAGCCTACTTTTTATAGAAGATGAATAGTACTGCAGCAAGGATGTCCACTGGTATCTCACTGTAATAGAACTTCACTGTTTGTTCAATAAATGCTAACCTCTATCATCTGACTAATCTCTCTTACTAATCTGTGAAGTTGGAAACTGTCTGGTTACATATTGAACACACTGAACTAAACAATTTATTGTCATACGGAATTCTGAAAAATTTGTCAAAATGTTTGTCAAGCATGGATTTAGCTAATTTTCCTTCATTAATACGTCCCTTAATAATTTAATGTTCCTGAAATTTGTATAAAGTTTTGTACATTGTACAAGTGGCTTTTTCTATGTCCCCATAATTTTACGAGTGGAACTGCTGTCTTTGTGGCCATGAAAAGTTTTTTTATTATTATTTACTTCCTTAACAAGTGCCAAAACAATGCCAAGAACTGAATTAGCATAATAAACAGAACAAAAATATACATAGATATAAATATAAAAACATACATAGAGGGTACAATTACAACTCCTAGTGATTTGCAAATGTCCACAGTTTTTGCTTTTTTGCTGTTTTTGAGTCGGAAATAGTATTAACATACAGTATAATCTCAAGTACAAAAATCATAAATAACGGCTTTATAATATTACATTTACACTTATTCATGACAATTTTGCTAATATTATAATAAAGTTAATAATATAGTAGTGTTTTACTTTATCTTTCTAAACATTATCAAACAAAAACATTTTCCAGGCACAGAATCTGAGTCAATATGATCAACTAAAAACCTTTAAAACATTTTAACAAAGTGCGGCCATTAAAAGTGAACTCACTGAAGTGCACACGCAGGACGCGGAATCTCAGTATCCAATCACAGCACAGAGCGCGTGAGCAACAGCCAAACACAGCGCAGGATGGGAGACCTTTCTAACCAATCACAGCTTGGGGCGCGCGATCCTGCTAGCCAATCACAGCGCAAAGTAGGCGGGCTTTGTCTGAACGAAAACAACATCGACGTATCTGTTTTGCTCCTCCTTCTGCACGCAACTGCTCCACCAATCAAATCACAGCTGTGTTCCACAGCGCACGAGGACTTGGGACAATGCGGCGGACCACAAAGGGAGTGGGCGGGGCGTATGTCGTACGCCCCGCCCACTCGCGTCTCCTAGCTGCTGCTCTGCTCTGCTCGGACGGATCCTGCGTGGATGGAGGATGATCATCATGGCTAGCGCTTCTTCACGACAGCGTCTTTTGTTCGAATGATTTTGTCTTGAATTTGGCGAAGACGAAAGCGTAAAGATGTCGGTGGCGGGACTGAAGAAACAGTTGCACAAAGCAAGTCAGGTAACAAGAGCGACTGTTTTCAGATCATGTAGAGCCAGTGTCTTCACTCCATCACTCACAAAGTATGACAACAACACTTCGACTAGAAGCTCAGGTCAGTCAGCTAGCTGGACTCTTTTTTCTGAAATTTGCCATTTGCTAGCCTGCATGAAGTAACTGTGTCAGCCTGTACACAAGTTGTCCCCTGATCCAGGCTGGCTCCGCCTCAGTGCCTCAATGTGGCTGTTCAAAGTCACGTAGAAAGCAAATTAAAGGAAGCCTGTGATAAAGTTAGCAATGTTAACCTTTGCACAGGTGTAACGCTTTTATTGAGGCGTGTGTTGGGAGCAATACGGGAAGAAAAGTGGGAGACTAGCAGCAGGACTGGTGTCCCACCTTATGTAATCAAAGCAGTGCACACACCTCACTCACCTTGTGGGCTCCAAGCAGGATTGAATTACTGCAGTAGCAGAAGTGCTGGACAGGGAGGGTCTAGGGGTTGGAGTGACTTTGCTGACAGGAGAGAAAAGCGCACCCAGAGCGTTTGAAGGTGTTGGATTGTTTCCAGCTTTTGAACTACACTGACATTAGGGACATTAGGTGTGATGTATGTTTGCTTTATGATTGCAATAAAAAATAAGTTTGAGCATAGAAAGTTGAAATGTGATGTGATCTTTCCAAAAGCTATGGAAGACTGCACGTTGTTTGTGAAAACAAAAATCCACCAACTGAAGGACAATCTCTCTTTGGCATAGAAAGAGTGCAGAATGGGAAAAGTTTTGTAGGCCTTGTTCTCTCACAGCAGACTGAATCCTCTTAGTGTTGTAAAGGCATTAACCGAGCAGCTGATATTGGTAACCAATTAGAACAAAACCAGACTTATACTTACTCTAATACTGTTTTTAGAAATACAGTCTCTCCTCAGCATCTAAGGACGTTGAATAGGACAAAAATGTGATATGAAATGTTCCACTTTCCTAAAGGGATGGTGGCCTGAAAACAGAAGTATGGATGATAGCCCCTCCACAAGGAAAAGACATAAATGGTTCAGACCTGATAACAAAACAGTCTTCACTTCCTTATGGCTTGACCCACTAATGCCACTAATGACAGAAAACCATAGAACAACATCAGAGCTGTGTAAATACTTGAGGCATCTTTCTATCAGCACATATACAGCCATAGAGAAATATTTTATCTGCTATATGTACAGTACTGGATTCACATTCATGATGTTCAGGTTTGGACTCTGTGGTGGTCAGTCCATTGTTTTGAAAACGGCTTTGTTTGATTTGCAGATGTTCTCATTTTATGTCCATTTCCTTTTCTCAGTAAGAGCTTCTTGACAGCTACACATCCTTTCAGACTCATAGTGTTGAGTTGTCTTCTCACAGTGGAAGGATGAACGGAAACACCTGTGGAGTTTTTTCAGATCTGATACAAGAGTAGAGTTTAATTTTCTCCTCCCTCTCAAAGATGAAAGCTTTAAGTACAGCATAAAAGACAGTTTTGGTGGTCTACCAGGTCTTGAACGATTTTTAGGGGTCCCATTTTCTCTACATATTTTAATAACCTTTTGAGCTTCAGTTTTGAAAGCTCCATTTTGTGTCTGTTTTGAATGGAAATTGAATTAATGAAGGGTTGTGCCTGACTTTTGCACTTTTCATTTTACTTAAAGCTCACAAATATATTATTTAAGTTCTTAAAATATTGTTATAACATCATATATCTATCAGTATAGCCCATACCCATAATGACAAGTATAGAAAATCTGTCACTTTCATAGACATGCTACTAAATGCTATTATTCCATTTCTATAGGTATAATTCATAAGTTCTTAAATAACATGATGGCATAGCTAAATGTGTCTTCATGACGAGGCAGGTTTGTAAATGTAATAATACAGTCAGTGTCTTTGGCACTGATGCCAAAGCAGTGTTGTGAACACTACTTATAATGCTTTATGTTAAAAATCCATTGTGCATAATAAACATATCTATAATGTGTTATGAATGTTTATAAATATTCATAGCCATGTTTATAATTTGTTGAGAATGCATTATAACATGTTGTGAATGTGTTTATAGATGCTTATAGACATGGTTTTCATAGAAAGAGTGAAGTTTTTGTACAAAGTTTTTTTGTTAAGATTTTTGTCTCTCCCAAAACTTTTCAACAGTCGTTTCGTTTTCAGTCTTGTCTTTCTCAGAAGTCCAAACAAAGTAAAACCACCTTATCTTTACAATCAGCTGCAGAGTTAAGAAGCACAATCACTCAACAATCAATACGTTCTGCTTAGTGTTTTCACTGCTGAACTTTGTACCCTACTTGTTCAAACCATAACAAATCAGACAGTGTCTTGTTTTTATTTTTTCCTTTTCTCAATTCAGCTGCTCAATGAAAAGATCAATGGAGCTGAAGGAACAAAGCTGGATGAAGATTTCATCAAAATGGAAAAGGTATGAAAGAATATTCATTCCAACTAAAATAAAGAAAGTGGCATGAATGTAAACCTTTCAAGTCCACAAAATGCTGTTCCATTGTTTGCTTTATTGCAGAAGATTGAAATCACTCAAAAACTGATTCTCGACCTCATTCCAAAAACCACAGAATACCTTCAGCCAAATCCAGGTTTGGCCATATGAGTATTTATAGTATTACTTAATATATGTAGAGAATTAAGGCTTATTTATCATCATTTCCTGCTTTTTGTCCTTGACTTTCAGCATATCGAGCAAAACTCAGCATGCTTAACACAGTGTCCAGGATCCGGGGGCAGGTGAAGACAGTTGGCTATCCTCAGACAGAGGGAATGCTGGGAGACTGTATGTCACGCTATGGCAGTGAGCTTGGCGTTGAATCCGCATTTGGTATGTTTTTCAACTGGAATGAATGTCATTCACCCCCTTGTCCATACAATCTATATTTGGAAATTAGCCTGCAGAAACAGCCTGTTCCAAATTACTTGAATGTTTAGCATGTATAGCATCCACCTATTCAGCCTACAGCAGGTTAGCCTCACCTATTCACACTGATGTACATTGATTGTTTCAGCCTGGACTGCATTTTGAGGCAGCCAATCCAAATAGAGAGCATTTGCATATATCAGTCGTAAATGTTAATTCTAAAACAAAAACAAAAACAAAAAACAACAAAAATATTGTAAAATTATCATGTAAAAATGAATTATGACTGTTTTTGGTACATTAACTCATATAAACATCCTAAGTGGACTACAGAGAAAACAACAGAGTACAAGGAAAAAGGCAGAATATAGGCCCATTAAAATCTAGTTTAGGATCTAATTACATTTTCAGTGGGAAAAATAATTTAATTTGTGAGAGTTTCTGTCTGAAATAGATGCTGTACACATCATTATTCTGGATTACTGTTTATTCACTGTTTATATAAAAGTTAATATGCAAACTCTGTTACTCATCATAATATCTAGCGTATTGGACTACTACTTCATCAATATGTTCAAAGGTAAACATACATAATTTCTTGCTGTCATGCAAAAAACTTGTATCTCCATTTTTGTCTTCTTTTTTTCGCTTTGAAAAATTTGAAAAACCCAGTTACTCTTTATCCTGTGTTATGATTTCATGATGAAAGGACCAATAGAAATGGTCTAAAATTACTCAGAAGTCTTGTTACTTTAACTTCCAATACAAGTTAAGAACGTTTTTTTCTTCTTCCATATTGTTACCATTTCAGATATGAGGTGTTGTTCCGCCAGTGACAGTATACATATCGAGATTTTACTGTAGTACATTAATATGTTTGTGTTGTGATTTCACTTCACAGTTAGCACTTAACCCCTTCCTGCAGGCCTCCCAATGGCTATTCCACCAGCAGAATGGAAATTGACTCATTGGATATTTTTATTAATATAATCCAATAAAAAGTTGAATTCAAAATAAAATTTAAATGTAATGTAACTATTTTAAACGTTTCTAATCTATTAAAAATTAATTCAAGGCTGAACTCAGGGACCTCCAAAATAGGTTGAAATTGAATTTTATGGATACTGTGAAATGAGGGTTAAATATTATGGTGAATATGTGTTTATCAGCACTGATTGTGTCTGCTCAGTCCAGCATGTCTTCTGTTGGAATGAGCTAAATCATGGTGTTGTTCACTAGGTTGTGCACTGGTGGACATGGGACAGGCTTTGAAGCAGATGGCCCAAGTAAGAGACTGCCTGGATGTGCGTGTTAAACACACCTTCATTGATCCACTTCAGGCACTGCAGGACAAAGAGCTGAGGGAAATAATGGTGAGTCTTGCTGTGATGATTCACAGAGACAAAATAAATTCAATTACGTGTTCCCTAATAACACTGCACTGTTTTCCTCAGTGCTTGTGAACATAAACAGAATTAGACGGCATGAAATAGCTGTAATACTATTTACAATCCTTGCCTGTTATTTTTCTTCTTGTTGTTATTGGTGATTCTTTTCTCTTTGGCAGTATCATCTGCGGAAACTTGAGGGTCGGCGTTTAGATTTTGACTACAAGAAAAGGCGTAAAGGGAAGATTGCAGACTATGAGATTAAACAGGCAATGGAGAAGTTTGCGGAATCCAAAGAGCTGGCGGAGAGAAGCATGTTTAACCTCCTAGAGAACGATGTAAGAAATTTGAAAAGGAGGAGGACATGAGAACATTCTAATAATTTTCTTTCTATATGGCACCAACTGTATTTCTCATGTGTATTTTTTAAAACCTGTAACATTAATGACTCAGGTGGAACAGGTGCGACAGCTGTTAGGCCTCATTGAAGCAGCACTGGACTATCATCGTCAGTCAAGCCTCCTTCTGGAGAACCTCAGAGGCAGTCTGCAGAGCAGGTCAGATGAGCCTCCCTTCTCACAACACAACTATCTCACTCTAGCAGTGATATGTAGGTTGTGAATGTGTCGTCTGCTCTTTATTCAGAATAACTGATGCCAGCAACAGACCAAAGAAAGAGTTCAGATCAAAATCCATCGCAAGTACAATGTGTTACACAGACATTTATGGATTTTCCACCTGCTCTTCAGGGCGATCTTCAGGTGCGGTGATATTTTTAATGTTTTCAGAGGGACATAATGTTCTGAAAATCCTCTAATCATACTGATTTTGTAGTTCCTCAGTCAGGTATTTGCTGCTTCTCATTAAATCCGGGCTAATATTATAACCTTTGTTATTGGATTTTTGCAGATACTGAGCTGACAGATGCTTTAAGTGAGAAAAGTAAGTATTTTTCTTACTTTTAACTGTAAACTATAGATGATAGGTGGTCAAATCTCGAATAAATAAACAAAGAATTACTGTAAATATATAATTGCAGAAAATTATTTATCATTTCACTTCTTGGTATTCCTGAAAAATGTGAAATACTGAATAAAACATCTTAGAATATAGTATTTCATTCTATGCTGTACAATTAATGTGGCAATGGTGAATGGTCATGTAAGTCTGAAGGAATAAAATCAACATTAATGGCAAAATATTAAAAATCAGAGGATGTTTTAGACGAAGGCAAAGTCATTACATTTTCTTGGAAGATTATGAGGAAAAAAGCAAAGTAAAAAGGTCCTTTTTGATTTCAGGTTAACTTTAACCTCATCTATATGCTAACATACTGTTTATTCATTCCTGCTAGATGTCACCCCTGTGGCCCACAGCCAGCCGCCCCTCATACCCCGAACTTCAGAACCTCCAACTTACAAAAGTGAGTAAATAGTTTATTGTAGAATTTAGATTCCTTCTGTACTTTTACAATCAGTTCACTAGTAACACTGAGCAAGTAAAATTGTTTTATGCCAAGATTTGATCTTGTTTAAAATTAATAAAAAACTTAAAAAACATGGTTTTTACACTTTATTTGTTTCATTGAGTAAGAAACACTTCCGTGTAACTACTGTTACACATCATTGTGGATCCATGTGAAGATATTTTCTCTTTACAGACGACTGTTATTCCACTCTGGACCAGCCTTGCTGCCGTGCACTTTTTAACTTTAAGCCTGAAAATCAAGGAGAGTTAGGCTTTAAGGAGGGAGACATCATTATTCTCACCAATCAGGTTGATGAAAACTGGTATGAAGGCCTGCTCAGCGGGGAGGCAGGCTTTTTCCCCATCAGCTACGTCGAAGTCCTTGTACCTCTGCCGCAATGACAGCAGGTCAGCGGTGCACTGAGCCATACAACGAACTCTCTATGAAGTCCCTGGTGTTCAGTCCAAGCTGTGTACTTCACTGATCAGCACCTTTATTTAAAGAATGTGCTTCCTTTTCTTCTTGAGTATTTTTCCACTATGCAAGTCACTGAATCCTGCCTTGGTCTCTATTTGGTCTTAATGTTGTACACTGTAGAAACCATAGTAGATCTGTACAATGCTTAGTATGCAACCAGTAATAAAAGCTGACTGGTGGTTTATGGTTAAAGGGCAATTCCACCAATGTTTAAACATTTCTGCACATGTTAAGATGTAAACAAGGTCATTCAGAGTGTTCTGATGTGAAATGGTAAATTAGAGAAAAATACAGACTCTGATTTCTTTACAGTGGTGGCGAGAGGAACTAGGAGACACATTATGTACAGAGCAGATGCAGCTGTTGAATCTACACATGTTAGCTGTGTTTGTAGATGCACTGTGGTAAATCTGTGAAAAGTAAGTTTTCTTTGGGGACTATTTTTGCATTACAACGCTCTGCACGCTCCACCATGAATGTATTTTGAAACACATGATTTAGGCCAAACCAAGCTAACCGTTTTATGAACTAACTTTCTTTAAGGTTGCTTTTAGAGGCATCAAACTCTTTAGACATCTCACCACTGTGAACATAGCCAAATACACTATACACTAACATTTTAACATAAATTCTGACTCTGTGAGTTTCTCTAGAACAAAGCATTTCACATCAAACCACTCTCAATAACTTTGTTTACATCAGGGGTGCCCAAACTTTTTGTCCTGGGGGGCCAAAGTGCAATGTTTGTGGTGAGCCGAGGGCCAAAAACACAAAACAGTACACAAATCAAGAAGGTAGATAAGCTTCAAATTGACTTTTTAAATATGCCCATATTTTATGACAGTACACATTACAATTTGTTACTAAAATACTTGAACATATTATATATAATATAATAATATGTTTGATTTCTCATTTGTTAAGGGGGTGAGGTTAGGGTGACTCTGTTGGGCCAAGTCAGTGGTCCTCACCAGCCAACTTCTGTCCGTGGGCCACTCCTTGGGCAGCTCTTGTTTACTCTGTAACCATTTAATTATGCAGATTTTTTATTTTTTTTTTTGGAAAAATCGGTGGAGTTGTCCTTTAAGGATACATTTTTGTAACCTTTGGCGGGACTCTTAAGTATTTTACTACCTACAACTGAATGTACAATTACACATTTTCATGTACCCATTCAAATTCATATTAATGTTATTACATATGCAAATATATGCAAATACACAGCATACACGAATACATGTGATACTGCTTTTTATTATTATTATTATAGCCATGCTGGCAATTACTGTGCGTGGTTATGGAGTCAGTATTTGCTCTTTGATTTATGAAATGAAAATGCAAATGAGGAATAAAAGTGTTATAAACGCGTTTCTCTCTGTTTGCGCTTTGACCCTGCTGGGGTGCCGTAGTGGCGGTTCCCTCCTCAGTCCGCACACTTTCAAACTGTTTTGTGTTATTCCGAAAGTTTAGCGAAAAAAAAGTGAGTAAACTAAATAACCGCGAATACTTTGCCAGCAAAACATATCTTGTTCCGTAACGCCAAGAGTGGTTTTACCCTTAAACTCACGGTAAGTAACTTGCTGAACGTCTGAAACACAAACACGGTTCAGAGATGTCAACTTGTGTTGGCTAGCATAACATTCACAGCTAGCTAGGTTTGGTTAACGGTTAGCTAAGTGTCAAAAGTTTACATACATAACGTGAACTTAGTTTTTTGTCTGTATATATGTTACACCTACATGCATTTAAATAAGCATGTTTAGCCTCATGTCTCTGCTGTAATGTAAGCATAACTAGATGCATAATGTTGGCTAAAATAGTTAGCTTGCTACGTTAGCCAGCCTTCTGTTGGTATAGCGTTAGTTATTTAGTCCAGGTTATGTTGCAGGCAGCCGTGACAAATTTTCAATTTTAGCATTTCACAGTTTATTCACAAAAGAAGACTAATCTAGTGAGAGTCCCTACACTACTCAAGTAACTTTAATCAGTTTGAGTTTTGACTGACTGAGGTGACTAAGGCGCAAGTGCTCTGTGAACCGTCTCAAGGCATTTATGTCGATATCTGAAATGTAAATTTAATTTGGTCTGTGTGCTCTGATCTTGCCGGAGCACAAAATCTGAAGAAAAAAAATCAAATCGACCAGGCTGTGAGGCTAAAAAATGTGTTTTGTCACTTAATATCTCACATGAAAACATGGGACGACTGATATTTACCAAAACATACCGAAAGTATAAAATCCAGATCTGATTGGGAATGGAGTTCTGAAATTTGCATCTAATCAAAACAATCGACATGGGTCCTGTTAACGTTAGCTGTTCATCTAAGGTTAGGGGTGCTAAATCCTGGAGAGCTCACATCAAACTCACCTAGCTCTAACAGGGTTGGAACTGAAGTTTGCAGGGTGGTAGATCTTTAGGGCCAGGACTGGGCACTTCTGACGAAGGTATAACCATACAAAATATCCAGGTGTGTAAAAGCTAACCAGCTGCTTACTAGTACTTGTTGCTGGACATGAATGGATTAAGTTACACGTGACTCATTCTTAGTCACTCTGTGGAACCCTGTCATCCATCAAAAGTAATTTGAGCTCAGATCTTTATATCAGCCTTGCGTCTGACATCAGTTTCCTGTTATTTATTCATTCATTTATTAATTTATTCATTCATTCGTTTATTTATTTGAAGTTCCACTATGGAGGAGGTGACCCGGTTGGTGTCGTCAGGCGACTGCCTGAAGATCTGGGACTCAGCCTCCATGACTGTGGTGGAGCAGTTCAATCCTCACAGTGCCACTCACCCTCTGGCACAAGTGTGCTGGAGCAGCAGCAGTATCCTTCAGGACTGGCTTTAAATTCAGGGACATATGTATGTGTGAACTAGCATGTCAGCATGAAAGGTTTTCATTTGAGTTAATATTTATACCATTCAATATTTTGCTTCAGGATATCAGTATTTTCTGTTGCTGGTACCTGTACAACAGCCTCTAAACTCTTATTAAAAGATTTAAAGCTACTGTTTCCCCACACATTCTTCACTGCTGTCCACAGACTGTCCACGGTGGATGAATTTTTGTTCTCCACACATTTCCCAACAAATACTTAATGAGTTTTACATAGACCCTGAATGTCACATAATGGTGTGGTATCTTACACTGTCTTTTGGAATATACATCATTTACTGTGGTTTTTCTGTCTTTAATTGAACAGACAGGATAAACATGCAAAAAAAACAGTTGCTACACTTCAGTGTATGACGTGCATGTAAGCAATACCTACACTACTTTGTGTTGTGCCTTAACAGTTGGTCAGATCAGTATATTGTCAGTGCCAGCAGTATAGGAGACAAGCTAGTTGTAACTAGCTTGAAGTCCTCACCAGTCCCAGTGATGGAGCTTGCGGAAGGGGTTAGTAGACAGACTGCACATTGGTAATAGGTGCTCACTCATAGTACCTCTTTTAACCCACAGCATTCTCATCTGTGCTGTATTTGGGGTTTTGTTTTCAGAAAAAACAGACACGGGTGGCACTAAACTCAACATCACAGTTTCTGGTCAGCGGAGGACTGGATAACACTGTTAACATCTGGGACCTGAAGACAAAGAGATTACATCGTAGCCTTAAGGTACCTCACCATTCTGTTAAATGTCAAAGCTCATTACGCATTGCAAATCTGTATGAATCAGCCATTCACATGTTACAGTTTATTAATTGGGAATATTGATGTAGGCCTTTTAATTTAAGTGCAGTAATCCAGTAACAGAACACTTCAAAAACATCCTAAGAATTAGTAAAACTGAGGCACATCTTTAATGTAAATCTATTCTTCTTCTGGTCAGGACCATAAGGAGGAAGTGACATGCGTATCCTTCAATGGTGGCGATAGCTACATAGCATCTGGTTCCACCAGCGGAGACATCATCCTCCACAGCATTACCACCAATCTCTCCAGCAAACCCTTTGGCCATGGGCCAAATGAGGTAAGCCTGTTCTGTGTTGACCACATCACATTTCCGCACCATATGACCCTTGTTAATTTTTATGGTTATGGATAGTATTTGTCTGCATAATTAGGAGTGAACCAGTGTTCTCTCTTTGTAGCCCATCCATGACCTGAAGTACTCGCTGATAAAGCGGTCTTTGTTGGGAAGTGTATCAGACAGTGGTTCTGTGGTGCTGTGGGATGTAAACACACAAAAGGAGCTGCACACGTTTGAAGGTGCACACAAAGCTCCTGCATCAGGACTGTGCTTCTCCCCAGCCAACGACTTGCTCTTTATCACAGTGGGACTGGATAAGAAGATTGTCTGCTATGATACTTCCAGCAAAATGTAAGAAACATTCACATGCATGTTGTTAGGATAATGACTGGTTTTAAACTAAGAAATGAGGACATATGGAAATTTGATCTTTATTTTTCAAACTTTATTTGCCTTTTGTTGCTGATTGAGATCATAATTTGGATGTTGGTCTTTCTTCAATTCCTACAGTATTTTCCGCAGTAAGCAAGTTGAGTCCCCCCTCACCGCAGTAGACTTTACTCCAGATGGTGCGGGGTTGGTAGTGGGCTCCACTCAGGGCCGGATCTACCTGTATGACCTGCGTAATTTGAGTGCGCCTGTCAAAACCACCACAGCTCACAAGACATCAGTCACCTGCATCCGCTTCCAGCACTCCAACACCAGGCTCAAGGTTTGGCACTGTGTGCTGTGTGCTTTGTAGTTAGTTGCAGCTATTTGGTAAACCAGACATTTAATGTAACCCCACTCACATATTGTTTGTGCTTTGCGCACCAGTAGACATACTACAAACATATGCACAGCCCCTTAAACCTTGAGGGTCTGTATGTGGTCTGACACCTCAGTTCCTCACTCTCATAACTACATCACCTATTAATTTCATTGTAGTTTCATAGTAGTTACTAAATAATAAGTATTAAGATTAATAACTGAATTCAAGATTTTAAAAAAAATAACTTTTTCTTCAGACCAGTAAAACAGCGTCCAGCAAGACGTCCTCATCGCAGTCTAACAAGAGAATCTCTACGAAGCTGGGTCAAAATCAGCAGAGTGGTCCTCCGACACCCACCTCTACTGTCCCTTCTGGCTTGCTTGTGCCCGAACACCAGCCAGGAGACCGAGGAGATGGACAGGCACAGAACACAGGTGCGTACTGTCCACTGTGTGGCTAAATTGGTAATATTTTATTTCTTTTGATGACTCTGTTGTGTAGCTCACATCTAACAGCATCTGAATTTTGATTCCTTCGGATGATGAGACTGATGAGATGGGAAATAGAATGATGAACCAATCCTAAACCATTATACCATTAACTGTTGTTATTGATAGTGAGCAGGATTATCCTTAAATCTGTGTTTCTTCTGTAGGAAGTGGTGGAGGTGGTGACATGCCGTCCAGGGAGGCTGAGGGTCAGCACAGCCTGGACAAGTTCAGCAGTGTGGGCCGAAACAGCCTGAGCCTGGACATTTTTTCACCTGTTGCTGATGGTATTTGCATTCTCTGTATCTCCTATATGTAGTTTGTGGACGATAATCGGAATGTTTTTATATGTATTGTCTGTCTGCCCACCTGTTTTTACCACTAATAGTTTTTGTTTTTTTATGTGCCTTTTCTGTTTGCAATTCTTTTCCATCCAGGTTTCAAAACACATGCTTTCAGTAGTGATACTCCAACATCAAGAAACGGTTTGTACCTTATAATAATGATATTTATGGTGCCTATACACAGTACAGCATTGTGAATGTGTAGTGAAAGTACTCAATGCTGTTATAGATGCTTACAGCTCAACTACTGTTTATGTTATGTTTTACCACTAGGAGGCACTAGCAGTGCTGATGTGTTCTTTCGAGAAGCCGAAGGCCAGCACAGTTCAGACAAGTACAAGGTCGGCCGAAACAGCCTGGACATTTTCTCTCCTGTCCGAGATGGTGAGAGAATTCTCCTTGTTACCTTTTTGTCTTCATTTGTAATAATTTGCAATGCTTTCTCTCAACAGCAACGATACAGTACTTTTGTCAAATATCTGCAGATAATTGAGGACACTGTAATTTTTTTTTTTTCAACCATTATTGCATTCAAATTGATTTCTCATGTTTCACTATCCTCCAGATTACAAAGGTCATAGATTCAGTGATGCTTCAAGCGGAAAGAAAGGTGATGTTTCATTATCTGCCGAGTAATTACAACACTTCATGATAAATTGGCATTCTCTTGAAGGAACTGTATTTCTAATAGCCTTTATTCATGTATTTATTCATGTACTTGTTTGTTTATACTTCCAGAGTTAGATTTTTTGCCTCAGTACCATGGCTCAGCTCAGCGCAAGAATCCACTGGGCACGCCTGGTAGTCGCTGCTACAGTCCACTTTCTGCTGTCCAGACGCCCCCAGCAATCAAAGAGGAGGAGCCTGTGACATCGCCTGCACATACAGACACACAGAACAATGTAATGGTCAGTGACATGTTTGAGAAAAAAACAGCAACCCAATTTAGGAAAAGAGCTTTGCTGATCTTTGTATCTGTAGATGTTAAGTATTCTGTAGCTATAGCTACTTAAGTAGAAAAAAGCTTTTTGGCTAGTTCCAAAGCTGAGGTATACTTAAACATTTTGGATGATGCCCAGGTGGAGAAGAATAACGGTCCCCAACAGGACGTTATGACCACACCCCCTGCATCTCAGAGTACACGCATTCAGTCAGTGCCTCCATTCAACACCCCTGAGCACAGTCAGAGGAGAGAAGTGCCATCCCAGCTCACCTACGACTCGCCAGTGAGTAGCGGCCAGCCCATACCAGCACCAGGTATGTGAATAGGACATTAGAGATATTTAATCACATGTGAGTGACTTTGTGTGAAAGATGAAAAGGAATGACTTTTGTCTATTTGTAACCTGAAGACGCAGCAGCTGCATCTGGTGCTGGAAGTAGTGGAGCACCACTGACCTCAGTCCAGATGAATTTTATACGCAACATGATCCATGAAGCATTAGAGGACTTCAGGTGACTTTTGTTAAATTATTTGCATGTCCAGTTGACATGAAACATGAGCAAGTGGCCAAATCATGCTGTGTTTGACTGTGGTTTGTGGTTAAAGAGGCTGCTTTGTCCAGCCATTTGTAACCCCCTGCCCCCTTTCTGTGATCTTTTACAGGGATACATGCCATAGAGACATTATAAATCTCCAAGTGGAAATGGTGAGGCAGTTCTACATTCAGTTGGTAGGTATTAACTCCATCCCCTTCAAAAAGTTCTCCTCCTAACACAGTGTAGTTTTGCTTCGAATGGTCTTTTAAATTAATGTTTGGCTGTTGCAGAATGAAATCCATGGGCTCATTGAGAAATATTCAGTGAATGACTCTCTCGTGGAAGAGATCGAGAAGCTGAGGGAGGAAAACAGACGACTTCGAGCAAATTACTAAGAAGCACTTTGCTACCCCTTAGACGTGGTAGAGTAAACATCACACTGGGCTCGGTGCAGGGGTTAGGCCCGCAGCCTGTAGTGGCACTACAGCACTGTCCTGGGTGAGGAAGCAAAGGGAGAATGTCATACTTCTCAGCTGATGGCTGAAGTATGCACTCATTCTCTCAGGACCAGGGCGCATATACTGTTTTGTATGTCATACAAGTGCACATTTTTATTAGGCTACAGAAGGTCTTTTCTACCATTTACTGTGCCTTCAGAGACAGAGAATACGCTTGAGCTTTTCTTGCCATACTCTGCATTTTTGCCTACTTTTATAATAGACTGTTTATAGCAAGCCATTGATATTGACGAGTGTGAATGTTGTGTGGTGACAAAATTTGAAACAGGGATTTTTGTACCCCTGATTTTGCTGTGTGAGTGTGCTCCAGGTTGTATAATTGTAATTCATTGTTGTATGCCTGTGGCCAAAAATCAGTGAACATGGTTATTTGGCACATCCAAGGGTGAGATGCAGACACAAACATGAAGTACATGTGAACACCAGCTGGTTTCATATAATAAGACGTTTAAGTGACCTGTTATTAAAAAAATAATAATAAACTACTCTGCTTACACTGCTTATAATTGTATTTTGCCGTCACCAATATTTTTTGTGAGTGTGAATACATTTTTGCATTGAACATCCATGCTTTGGATGAATTACAATTTTTAATCACACTTGTTATTATTTGATGGGCTTCGTTTTATCAGACAAGGAAGTATGCTGCATAACGTATCACTTATGATTTTATTATATTACATTTTTCAAAGTTATGCATGAAAAGTCACATTTCGATTGGCTTGAAAGCGCTAGAAGAGACTTTTATTTTGTCGAGTTGTTTTTCCGAGTACTCAGCTGTTTTCCTTGCTTCCAAAGAGCAACATGACTGGGTAAGCAGTGCTTTGGTAAGTACACAAACAGTAGTGTGGCTTTTTACTTTTCTTATTCTCACAGTGCCTCATTTTAAAGCAGAAAATTGCTGCTCAACATTAAATAGACAAACAGGGCGCAGCGTGCTTGAACACTCCTGATATAAAAGTCTTTTAATACTATCATGAAATGCCAAACTACGTAAAAAGCAAACTATGTGTGTCTTATTTGTCATTAAAGTCAGAACATTTTCAGGACATCTGCACGAATAAAATGGCCAATCCGCTGAGGAGTGAGGTAGTGCGCTTGTATAAAACGGTGAGTCTGCTGTGCTGCTGGCGATGAAAACAAACCGATCGTGCATAAATGCAGCTTTTCTCGCTGCTACGAGAGCTTTATTAGTGATTTCTGTTCTCACCTCTGGTCGCAGCTCCTATTTCTTGGCAGGGAGTATCCAAAAGGAGCCGATTATTTCAGAGATCGCCTGAGGGCTGCCTTCACCAAAAACAGGGACGTGAAAGACCCAGAGGAAATCAGACAGCTCCTGAGCCGCGGAGAGTATGTGGTGAAGGAGCTGGAGGCTTTATACTACCTGAGGAAGTACAGAGCCATGAAGAAGCGCTACTACGACGCAGAGTAACTCATGGAAAACTCAGGTGCAGAGTTTTCCAACCTGATCCTCAGAGCCACCGGGCGTCCACATTTTCCTTCATCCTTGTGTGTTAAGTTGAAGCAAAAATGTGACTGTCTCGGGGCCCTGAAGACTGGGTTGGGAAACATTGCGTCGGCCCTAGAGACCTCCTCATACTCTGCACATCTTCGTTTGCCCTGATCCAGCACATGAGGAGTCCCCAGGACTAGAATTGGGAGCCCCTGCCTTAAAGGGGAAGCTGTAATTGAATGGCTGAGATGTAATCAGTCACTGAGTGGGCTGATATGAAATGCCCCATTCTAGAGAAACTTGCCGAGTCAGAATTGTTCCCAGTGGTGGTGATAGGAACCAGACGTCTGAAGAGTTTAATACCTCTGAAAGCTCCCTCACAGAAAGCTATTACACAAAATGGTTAGATATATGCTTTTCGGAATTCTTATTATTTTACCATCAATGTTACTTATAAAACTCAGAAGACGTGTAGGTTAACTGGTGGTTTTAGAATAGGGAATAAAATGTTTGTGGACATTTGTCACCCCTGGTTCCTATCATCACCACTGTGGAGAAATCAGTCTGCAGGTTTCTCTATAGTGAACCATTTCTCATCAAACCACTCTGAATTACTCTGTTTAGATCTCAAGGACTGAAATATTCAGAAATTTTGATAAATTGGTGGATTTTCCCTGTAATACTTGAAAATCTTCACAATCTTCTTATTCATATGTACCATCTACGTTTAAGCTAAAGCAAGAACAAAGTGCTTCTTGATGCTCAGAATGTCTTCCCCTCGACAACCTATGAATAATGCAGATTTAATTACAATTACATTATCCTTAATATGTTCTTTATATATATATATATATATATATATATATATTATATATATATATATATATATATATATATATATATATACATATATATACACACACACACACCAAATAAATATACTTAATATATTTAAAGACAGAGTGCTTGTTCATGCTCAAAACATGTCAGTTTCCAATGAATACCTGTAAGTAATTTTTTTACACATTTATTTAGTACTTAGAGCTGCCATATGAGTCAATTTTGTTGATTTCACTTTCAAAGGGGTTTCTGACTTCAGACATACCATGACTATCACTCAAATGAATTACAATGTCCAAGCTGGTCTAAAAAATGAATTTATTATAAAAACAAAACAGCAGTAGATAAACTTATGAACCTGAAGGATCGTTGAAAATACACTGTTGGAACATTTCTGGAACATTGCCAGAATACTTCAGGCGTTTTGTGCCGGTCCATCCTTCGCATTGAATAAGACATTGTTTATAAAGGGTGGGGAACTACAATGAATCTGAACTATACTGTGAGGTAGAGATTCAGACCTGAGTCAACAGGTCAAGAGAAGCCACCACACTCTGACACATCTGCCCTGCAAATAGGACATGTGGAGTTCTCCTGAGAATCAAACAGAAAAAAATAATGCACAGATTAAACAACAATAATACATTTGAGAAAATGGTGACATTGTAAAACTGTGTTACAATGGCTCACTTTTAACCAGCGGTCAATGCAGTTCACATGGTAGTCATGGAGACATGGAAGCATTCTCAGCTTCTCCCCTTCTTTGTAGTCACAGAAACAGATCTGACACCTGTAAGAAAGAGTTAAAACAAAAAATATTACAAATATGCACCGAGTTAGCACTCATGGGATGGGAAATGAGAAATTATGCTCTTACTCTGTTTTCCCAGCATTATGTGCAGGGTCATAGACTTTTGTAGGGAGTCTTTCTATGTCCCCTTTTCTAAGAGTGTTCTTGGCCACCGCAGTTCCCTGAAGCTCCTCAAATGCTAAGAGAGCCTAGAGACAAAAACCACCAAAGAAACATAAGCAAGAGGAAAAGTGCTGATGGGCATAGGAGGCCCAGCATATATACTCATTTTAGCAGCAGAGCTGTAGTCATCTAAGGTTCATACCTCATAGTTATTCCCCTGGCTGTCATCAAACAGGTCCACAGGCAGGTGGGAAGCCTGTCTGCGGCGACTGCTGCGACCACGCCGTGCTTGAGGCTGTCTTGCTTGCCCACCTGACCAGTCAAAAAAAAAAACACACCATCAGCAAAGACATCTTCCATAATCCAGAACATGCATGAATCTAACCTGAGAAACAAACATGTACTAAATAAACCTATTGCATGTTCATGAAATAAAAAGGTGACATACCAGGCTGCCCGTGAACCATTGCCTGCTCCAGCTCTGGAAACCCCAGGCTTCTGAATGATGGCGAGTTGACCACGGATGCCCAGGGAGAGATCCAGCCCAAACCTACATAGGACTCAACCTAAGGGGAAGATGTAAAACCAAATAATTACTTTCAGTAGTCACAGATAGTAACTGGAAAGTTGGTAGCAATTACAACACTGGTTCTCAACTCCAGTTCTGGGAACCCCTTGACCTGCACATTTTCATGTATTTTTACCTCAACACAACTGATTAAGGTCAAGAAGGACTTGATAATTACCTTGTGAGCTAGATTAGACCGAGAATACTTGAAAAGTGCAGCTAAGGGAGGTGGGGTGAGAACCACTGGATTATAATCATTTTCAGTAAAGTTTCTTGGCAAATAAATCTGCTCAAACATAAAACTCTCCTAAAAGAATGGGCTCTAGAGTGGTTCAACTGTCTAAAAAAGGAAAAATCTGGTGTATTGTTATTGTGGTGTAGTATTTATTGCCTACATTACACAAATAGTTACTAGTCATATTTGCATATACAGTTATTTTAAGCTAATAAATGAAAATCAAATTTCATTTTTCATGAGATTTCATGACAGACCAAATCATTTCCTAATGATTTATAATCAAAAAGAATCTCTGAGAGGTCAGAGACTACCCCATTAACCATACTTTCAGTGTATGCTGTGTTTCAATGCTTTAGGTAAAAATGGGACTTACTGGATGCATTTAATAAAACTAACCGAGTGGTTATGGCTGTGTCTGTTGGGCTGAGTGGTCTGTGATCTCCTTTCCTCCTGCTGCAGCTGTTCCTCTCGGTCAAACTGTTCCTACAGAACAAAACAAGCATCGCAATTAGAATAAAAATAAACAATATGTTTCACACTACATTCCTTTCCAACATGAGCTTCTGCCATTTCAAACATGTGCAATACCAATGTGTGCAACGTGCAATTTACTAGCAATCTACCTGATTCACCTCAAGAAGGGCTTGATATTTAAAGCAAATCAAGTTCAACAGAGAAGAAAACTAAACCGTGTAGTTCCTTAAGGATTTGTGGTGTACTACCAAAGTTTTCTTCCCAAATCTCATTCTACTGATTCTGATCCCTCAGGAGCACAACTCCTCAGAATGTTAATCACTAAAGAGTCAAGCTAACAACTTCTACCTGAAGACTTCTGGCAAATGCCTCATCTTCAGCCATTTGAATGGAGCGAACCATGGCCTCAACAACCACATCATCCTCCTCATCCTCATCTATGATGACAATCTCTTCTTGCATTTGACAAGCTGGAGGATTCACAGACTCACTTCTCCTCTCATTATCTGTGCATAATATGGCAGAGAAAGCATCTGTTAACATATGTCTAGAATTTATCCAATCTATCAAAAGGTGAAGCTATGACAATGACCATCACTTTGAAACAAATGATGGTTCACACCTGTATCTAGCATGCACGCCTCTTCCTCTGCTCCCTGCAAAGGTGCTGATGATGTACATCCAGAGGACTTTGGACTTATTCTAGTGCTTTTCGTTCTAGTTTTCTGTTCTTTCTGATCCTTACTGCTTCTTCTAAGCTTTTTTTGCTCAGAAGTTCGTCTGCGTGGAGATGTCTCAGTCAAGCAACTTCGACCAGCAGCAATGTCCAGCGCTGAGGGTTCAGGAGCTCCAGCGGAAGATGAAGCTGTAGAAGTGGAAGCGGGGGAAAACGTGGAGAACGGTGCACGTGGAGACTCCAGCCAAGTATAGTCAGAAGCTAAAAGGCACGACGCGGGTACAAATCCATTTCCTCCCGTTCTTCCGTGCAATTCTTGAGTACTTGCTCCAGTGTCTCGGAGTTTACGTCGCTTCAGTGTTCTTTGAGAGTTTGGAGTTGTGTGGAGATATCCTGGCACCATGTCCCCTGTCTGTGATCTTTTGGTATCTGAACCACATACTGAAGCCTGCGGAATAGAAAAATATGACAAACACTGCTTTCACCTGCTAAAATGTCTCTGTAGATTAAGATTACTTTGAAAAGAAAGCTGCTCTTACCCCACTATGATTATCAGTTATTTGGGAATGGTGTTTTCTCCTAAAAACAACAGGGCTGAATAGAAGAAGCAGATACTTTTAATACATGTAGCATCTTGAAAAACTTAAAAGCTATTTCGATTGTCTAGCAGCCAATTTCTTTGATGCAAAACAATTTTGCCAATCCTTTTGCCATGGATTGACAGCAACTCATTGTCTACCTTTGTGAATGAAAGTAGTCCTGAATTAAGACACACAGTGATTCTCTATGCCACTGTATTGGTGTTCTTGATAAATGACTGAACGCTGATTAGGCAAACAGAGGTGAAACACATTGCTATAAAAAGAGACACTTAATCTTATGATCTTGTAAGCTTATAAAGCTGACTCAGTAATTAGACTCTACTCTAGGCAAATACCTTAACCTACTACAGGATGATATAAGGAAACCTCTCCTTATTCCTACTGGACAATTTTTGATGCACTACTTTGGTTCATTTTTCAACTCACTCATACCTTGGAGTTTCAGGAATGAGTATAGAAGAAAAATCATGAGAGGCTCTTCCCTCGTCAAACGGCAGGTCACTGTCATCCAGCAGACAGGCATTATTTAGAGATTCAGCAGCTTCATGCTCATCCAGCTCTCGGAAAGGACTGCCCTCCGTCCTCAAGTCTTGTAGTGTGCTGTCCATGAGTTCTTTACTGCTTGTTATGTATGGCACTGTGTGTACATTTTAGATCTGAATTAAAACAAAGCAAAAGATAAAACATGAAACCTTTTACACAAGGCCAACTGGAGCATGACTGCTGCAACCTTAAAGGGGCATTCCACCAGTTTTTCAAAATTTCTGTTTAATTCAATCCTTAAAATGTAAACAGAGTCATTCCGAGTGGTTTGACATGAAATGGTCAACTGTGCTTTCTTTACAGTGCTTGTGATAGAACCCAGGGGTCACAATGTCAACAACACAAATATAGCCATTTTATTTACTATCCAAATCCAGCACTGAACCCACATGTATCTCCTGAATTTGTATAATGTTGATAAGGGTATAAATCAAGGGTCACAAATCTGAAGAAACCAGTTTTCTTTGGGGACTATTTTGCCTTACAACGTTCTGTATGTCTTCCTCCAGCACTGGATTAAAATATTTTTTTTAAATAATTTTAAGCCAAAACTTTATCACAAAACTGTCATAAAACAATGTGTCATCACACAGCATACAGCCATCTAACCATTTCATGTAATAACTTTCTGTGAGGGAACATTCAGGGACACTAAACTCTGCAGACGTCTGGTTCCCATCACCACCACTGTCAACACTTCAGACTCGCTTGTTTCTCTAGAATGGAGCATTTCACATCAAACCACTTTGAATGAGTTTGTTTACATCTCAACCATTTAATTACGTATATATTTTTTGAAAATCGGTTCCTCTTTTTGAAAACAGAGTTCCCCTTTAACCTAAGCTGAATTAGCTGTCTAGTTCACTAAAGGTTAAGCCTATACAGAAAGAATACCGCCTGATGCTGCTTAGCTAAGTGAGCTTAGCACAACTAGCGAGAATTTAAAATCACCATTTTTGCTTAAATTTCTAAAACACATTTCTCTCGGAATGAAGGAACAGAGGATGGCATAAAGTGTTAATTTTGATTTAACACACTGCTGTAAGATTATTTGATTTTGTGAGGCGGTTGTTGTTGTTGCTCGGTAGCCGGTATGTAGCAAAGTTAGCTGGTTAGCTAACCTACTACTACGGAAAAATACGCTTATTTCTGAAATTATCGGGACAACACGGGTACATTATACTACACATACATATAAAGACTGTGCTTACCGTGTTTAGACAGAATGGCCTGACGAAAAATGACTGCAGCCTTCAAGCAGTTTCAGATTTTACTCAGTGGCTACAGACACCGACAGAGCGCCACTGTTCAGCTCTTCTTTTACTTTCAAAAACTTCCTTCCGCCAATGTCATTTCCGAGAGTTTCCTCTGGCGTTTTTCCGTGGAACAAAAGCGGCTAGTTTTCCTGGGTTTTTTCCTTTCATTGAAGATATTTATTTGTGAACAAAGTTCAACGCTTTTGCATATATAAATATTGTCCTTCTGAAATATTTTTTTCCAATTAAAAAATGATATAGACATTAACGGCTTGTTCTGTTAATCATTTCCTGAAAATGTGTTTTATTTTGCTACATCTTTTATTTCATAAAAGTGAGAAAATCACATTTTCCCATTTAATCCACATATGCAATGAATATACGTGTAATACTGAAAGCTATTTCAATATGTAGCAGCCATTAACTGTGTTCAGCTCCAGATACTGCTGAACACAGAAAATTGCCCGAACTGTTTACTGTGAGTGCTGTGGTGAAATCTAGAAACTATTGCTTTGTCTTTACCTCATTGCTAATTTTGAGGTTCTGCAAAAGGAACTTATTCCAAAAGCACAAATAGTGTACAATTATTAGTATACACCTATTAGTAGACATATTTTTACAGTTGTTTATAGATTCAAACCAGCATCCAAGCCAACTAAAGTCATCTAAATAATCTGGAACTAAAGAAGGCATCCAGTGTGATTTTTGCCCATTAATAGTCTCCATCTCCAGTTCTCAGTGGCTACACCAGACCAGGAACAGACTCGAGGAGATCCAACTCCTACTGGAGTCCAGCATGTTGTTACATGAAAAGGTCATGTATTTATGAAGTATTAAACATCACTGATAGAAAATCATTCACTCTGGGGTACAAAACAAATCCTGCTCAGTTCAAGAAACATCAGACTTTAATATTATTTATTTATGGACAATTTGCGATATATACAGAATTTACATAGAGAACATGTGTGTAAGGAGTAAATGAATTAATTGGAACGAAATCTTGCATTACTATAGTCAAAGAATTCTTCCCAGTTCAATAATAACAGATATGAATTCTAAAAGACAACATGAGCACTGAAAGTACTTCAGGTCTTCAAACTAACCCTGGCACATCGGCTACACTTCAAAAGAGCATGGACTGGAGGGACTTCCGCACTGTGGCCATCTCCTGTTGTTGCTAATGAAAAATGTACAGAACAAAATTAGTGATGAAATGGCATTTTCAGCAAGCAATGTGCACTAAGACAGCCTGAGAAATACAACATGAATCTGTGCATGCACTCACTGTGTCCATCATTATCTTTTTCTGCAGCAGGGCCATCTCCTTTTTCAGCTCCATCTGTGCTCCCTGAAGGAAAGCCTCGTGGCTCTTCTCCATCTCCTCCATGTTCTGTAGGGAAAAAAGGCAGGGCTCAGGGGGATGAGAGGGGATGTCATTTCCCAAATGAAAGAAAAAATGATACAAAGTTTTTATGAATGAATTGGGAATTTTTCAAGTCAAACTGGAATAAAAATAGAACTTTCTTCTAAATAAACAAACTGCCAGTCTGAATGCAGTGTAGAAACATCTAAACCAAACAATTAAAGAGTTCATAATCAACGATGTTTTTGTTTTTGAACAAAAATCTTGAATTCTTCACACTCTCCATACTTTCACCCTGTTCACCTGTTAGGGACTCCTACAGGACCAACACAAAGCAAGTATTATTTAAATGGTGGGTCATTCTCAGCACTGCAGTCACACTGAGATACAAGGTTGGTGTGTTAATGTGTGTTGCGCTGGTACAAGTGGATCAGTGACAGCAGTGCTGCTGGAGTTTTTCCACTCTATTAGACTCTACTACCTTGTTGGTCCACCTTGCAGATGTAAAGTCAGAGAGACAGTCGCTCATCTGCTGCTGCACATTTTGTGTTAGTCATTCTCTACTCTGAATATTTTTGGCTGGTGGACCATTCTCAGTCCAGCAGTGACACTGAGATGTTTAAAAACTGCACTGCTGTGTCTGATCCACTCATACCAGCGCAACACATACTAACATGCCACCATCATGTCAGTGTCACAGCAGTTCTGAGAATGATCCACCACCCACATAATACCTGCTCTGTAGTGGTCCTGTGGGGATCATGACCACTAAAGAACGGAGTGAAAGGCGGGCTAACAAAGTATGCAGAGAAACTATAGTCTGTAATTGTAGAACTACAACATACTCCTGTATTATAAGTGGAGCTGATAAATTGGACAATGAGTGAGATATACAAGGAGGGGTTCCTAATAAAGTGTGTGGTGAGTGTATATTTGGGTTATATAATAATAAGGCTCTTTAGCATGTCTGAAATGTTTGAAATTCATATGAAGTAAGGTCGCTCAGTTTCTAACCTTGACGAACTGCTCATACAGCTCTTTTATGGTTTTCAGTTTTTGGCTCTGCACCACTCGGGCTTGCTGGAAGAGCTTCTGCTGTTGTCGAAACAAGTTCTGCAAAGATAACAGTGACTGGGTAAATTTTGTACAATGGATATGTCTAATCCAACGTCACATTCAGGAACAGCGTCATACTGCAATTTATAACAGCAGTATAACCCTTTACTCAGAGACTACAAAAAATGAATGAATGAACTCAGGGGAAACAATGTTAACATCCACTACTTTGTTATTAATATTATGGGCTTTTAATTCATATTCAGCATCACTAACGTTCAGTTTCTCCTCTTGTTCCTCGGACTTCTGAACATCAGTCTCCCACTGCTGCAGCACTGAGAACATATGCTGAGAGTACTCCTGTGTCAGCTTCTGTCTGTATTGGAGGAAAACAGAGATAAGTGAAAATATTTTAAATTTCTACACTTTAATTTGAATTTTAAATATTTTAAATATCTTTGAGGTAACTGCAGTTACTTCCTAAAGTTCTCCCACTTCAATTAAAATTATTGAAGTATCTGTGAAGCTCAAAATTCTTCTTATTGCTGGACCTGTTGAAGGCCGAGTACAATTACCTCTGATTATGTTGGGTTTTCCACAGCTGTTCTATTTTCTGGTTGCTGCCTTTCAAGGAACTTTTAGTGAAAGCCTCAAGGCGTTTCCTCTTTGCCTGCATTGCCTTGCTGATGTCAGCTGCACCAGGAATGAAGCATGCAACATTCAGAAAATCAATAAAAAACAGCTGCTGACACTTCAAAATCTTGAGTGAAATTATCTAAACTCTAGTTAATATATCTAAAATTTCTAAAATCTAAAATTAGATTTACGTAAGCTTATAATAATCTGGACATGAGACAGATGTACTGACTAGAATTTAAGATCATTGTACTTGCCAAGATATATTTTTTTGCACTGTAAAGTAACAGAAAGCAAGACCTCTGTTTGCGGTTCATAAGTGAAATTCCCTCACCTCCAAACTTTTCCAACATTGTCTGAACTTCACTGCTGTCAAAACAAGCATATCCGTATATCAGCCAATACTGTACCCAAAAGCCTAGTTATACCACTAACAAGGTAAACAGCAAACTCACCCTACACCTACACCCAGGTCATTTTCCTGAAATGAACTTGCAGATCTCTTCTTGCCCAGCTTGTCAACAATTGGAGTTTCTAACAAAGCATTCATATATGTTTGGAATTAATACAGTTAATATGTTAAATTTAGTGCAGTTTACCAACAGAAATGTAAATATTATCAAGCCATAATGATGTTTTACAATTCATTTCTATAAACGTCTCATAATGTCCAAGTTTAAGTAAACAGATTAGCTGAGAGATAGACAGACAGACAGACAGACAACACCTTCTCTAGCTTCATCATCAGAACCGCTAAGACCTTTCTTTTCCTCCTCTATATTGAAGTCAAAAGCCTGTAAATCTGTGGCATCTTCTGTTGGTTTGGTCTTTTTGGTTTGTTTCCTGCCCGTTGATGCCATTTTCCTAAACGAGATAAAATGACAGGTTGCTAAGTTATATATGTGTACACACACACACACACACACGTATATATATATATATATATATATATATATATATATATATATATATATATATAATTTTATATAACAAACTAATAACTAATGTTAACAGCTGCAGCTGCAACCACTTTCTTTGTCTTTGCTAAGAAGCTGATCCTACTCTTCAAAAACATTAAGCTTATAAAATGTATTTAGCCCACAACGCAACCCCATGTTTATGTGACATTAACGTTAGCTACATGTCAACATGTTTCTAATACGCTGTACTGGTTCTGAGTAATGCTAGTTTAGTTTTAGTGGTAGCTGCTAACGGTAGCGGGCTAATGCTAGAACGGTAGCTAACGCTTACCAACGCTAGCTAGGTTAGCTAGCTAGCGAGTCTAACCAGCTAACCTTCATTAAATTACTAATATTTAGCCTTAAAACGGCTGAACTAATTGCTAAAAAGTCCGTAAAACTTGCCAATTTTCATAATTACTTTCTAGAGCTTTTTTTTAACGACCAGTTTCGCAAATTGTAGTTTAAGTTACCACAGCTGACTTGTCTTCCGGCCCCTGTGAGGAAACTAATCTTTGGCGCCACTAACGTGCAGAACGCGCCAGGACTGAACAGTGTTTCCACGGTTAGAGATCAGTTTATCATTTTCTTCCTTGAAATGATTTTTCCGTTTACAGTATATATATATATATATATATATATATATATATATATATATATATATATATATATATATATACACACACACACACACAGCAGTGCTAAACTGCTGCAAGTCCAACAGGCAAATGTAATAGTGTGTAAATGTGTGTAAAACAATAAATTCAAAACATGTTTTGCAGCTTAGTTTCCATACAAGGACTGTATGGGCTGGGCAGTGGTAAGATTTGAAACATAATGCATCAAATCAAACTCTTTTATGAAAAAACATCGATTTTTTTTCCAATATATATGGTGAAAAAATGTAAACAAAATGTATGAAATCATGTTTATTACCCCTCATTCCATTTTAGGCATTCAGTACAGTACAAAAAATCCTAAAAATACTTACAAAGTAATTACAATTCAGATTTTCAGTTGCAGAACAACATGAGTGTTGCCACAGCAGATGTTAGATGAGACATAAAACACACAAAATAATTCTGGAGTTTAAATGTCAAACTTCTCCTCGCATATATAATGTCCATTTTCTTCATAATCCTCTCGTGTGACCACCATCTCCTCAAAGTCTGGGTTTTCTGCTAAGAGTTTTCCTCCTTCCCATGCGTAGCAGATTGGACTGGAAAGAAAAGAGAATTTTCAGGTTTAAAATATGCAAAAAAACCCTTAGAAAGTCATCAGCCACAATTTCTCTGTACTTTACACTTACTTTTGTGGCAGTACTACAGAAACCTGGAATTCAGTAGGAGCAAGTGCACGGACTTCCTTATACACACGATCCCTGAAACCTGGGAACAAGGTGTTGCCACCTGTCAGGACGATGTTCTTATAGAAGTGGGGCTGCATTTCTACAAATGGGAAGAAAATATCATTGTCACATTTTAAGACTCATGCAGGATTGTTAACTTTTTTACACTTTCAACATTCTACAAATCTTTTGTGGGCCCCATAGACACCCATTATATTCACTGAATTAGCCTTATAGCTTCCCTGCACACTGTACAGTATGGCTTTTGTCGTTGCTACTGTAAATCTCTGTTACCTTCAGGCATTTTGTTGATTGAGTTGACTAATGCTTCTGGTATGCCCATCTCCTGGATGCCAATATCTGAAGGGTGGAAAAGCATCTCTGGGACAGCAAACCTCTCATTGTTGAGCCGCAAGATCTGCTCCCCTGTCTTATACTTCCCTGTGAAATTCATCTCCTCTCGAGGCTGTAGCACACAAGAACAGGAAGAATGAATCATATTAGGTTTCTGAATTAAAATACATAGAGAAAAAAAAAGTCAAGTTACTTATCTCTCTTATTATAAATGAATCACAATGCAAATTATCAAAAATGTGTTGTATATTGAAATATCACACCTTACAGAAGCCCTTTTTAATGGAGCTAAAATCTGGTAGCACATAGTCTCTCATCACCAGGTTTTCTTCTCCTTTCAACCTACACAAAATAAAAGGTGACAACCAGAGGCAAAGCTGTTTGACTGGTTTAAAATTTCCAAAAGTGTACAATGACATTTGCTGTGTCACACAGGCAAACAACCATACTCACTGAGTGATCTCCATGTCTTTGTAGAAGTCCTGCGACACATAGCACACATCCTCCTTCACTTGGTTGATTACGTGTGTCTCATCCATCACATGCAGCTGCCTTTGAGGCAAATGTAAAACATCAGGAACAGTTTACACCATGCTGTGTTCCTCAGTCTCCATGAATCTGCTAAATCACCTTTAACTGCAGCTTCACTATGGAGCAATTCTAAAAAAGGCCCATATCTTGACATATCTTTACTGAGTTTAATGCAGTATATAAGCAGCGTTTAAAGGGTTCAAAACATACTGTTCACTCCCCAGTCCATACATGGACATAAAGCTGCAAAAACATCCATTTTAAAAATCACATCTTTTGTGAGGAACAAAACAATACAGCCAGTCAGAACAGAGATCATTTACATATATTATCTTAAAAGCCATAGTAATGAATTGAAACCAGCTGGTTTAATTCTAAAGAATTAAAAATGGTTAAAGAGAGGACGAAACATGGGCATGGAAAAATGAATTATGAACTATGACTGTTGCCTTTGGTACATAAAACCCCACACAAACAAGGCAACAATATAAAGACAAATGTAGAATATGGGCCCTACAAGAACTGATTTGGTTCATTCAGACAATATTATTCGGTCCTACATTGACTACTCTTATGGAACTATTGCATTACAACATCCTTACCTGTATGAAATGATCTCTTTTAAGTGGTTGGTGAGAAGTTTTCCGCCTACATTTATCCTGTGGAGCCAAAAGCAGAATGTAAAAGATGTAGCCAAACAGACTATGATGAAAATGTATGGACATGAATTAAACATCTGACCTGCAGATACCATCCTTCATCTTCCTTCCCCTACAGTAAGGGGCGATATGTGTGAAGGAGAAGCCACTATCCACCACAATGCAGCACAACTCTGAATTGTTCTCCTGGAAATATCTGTGTGCACTCAGGGATCCAGCTGAAACAAGGCACAGGGTGTTACAGTAAATCAGAATTGTTTATGACTTTAAGACTGTGCTGTGTATCCTTTTAACTTGTAGGATTAGGATTAGCTTCTTAAACTCTGACCACAATCCTCATCATCAGAGAAGGATAGTAACTAGTTATATTTACTCAGTTATACGTACTCAAGTAATGTTTTGATTACACTTTGCAATTTTGTGGACATATTCTGTTTTTTTAAACTTATACTTATGTTTACTGGTACAAAAAAAGTCTATTTGTTACCTGGTTACATTTTAGTCATTAACATTTAGTTTCTAATAGCTTTTTTGTGTTTAATTTCACCACATTGGTGACATCATTTATACCACATTGTGATTGGTCACATCTGACTTTTCTTATTTCTTATAAGAATCTTTAAAGAACATTTCAGCTAATTACTATTGTTTACTAATGGTTATTACATGAGTATTAAAGATTACTACAACATACTATAAGACACTACAGGAATTTCATATAAAGGTGAAAATAATATAGATAATTACCTAAGTATTATTCACCAACATGAGAATACTTAAAGTTTCTCATATACTATAGATCTTTTTGTAAGGCTTTTTTAAAAGTTGCTTTTATTTGATTATGGATTTAGGGTATTCTACCAAACTCATCACTAATAACATTAAAAAAATAAACTAAAATATATAATAAACTAAGAGAAGAATCCGTGACCCAGAAGGATAAGCGAATTAGATAATGTGTGTGTGCATGCGTGTATGCGTGTGTAAAAGAAGAATTAAGCTGAACTCACCATTGATTCTCAGAGCTGCTTGAAACTGGTACTCTTCAAACAGAATCTCGTTCATAGATTCTTGAATGGAGGTGAAGTTGAAGTAGGGCTCTGTTATCACTACGCTGGTGTCAGCAAAGTCAACCTGCAACAGTTCACAGTTAAACATAGAAAACATTCATTGTTCATTATTTATGGCAACAACTGCCTTCACACTACTAATATAGTGCTCACAGCATCGCGCAGCAACTTTGACTATTCTTGTATTTTAGTAGAAACTGTGACTACCTTAAACATCTCTTTTCCAAACAGGTGATCCCACACTTTACGTTGCACATCCCAGTTAACAAGGTAACCCTGAAACAAACAAATGTGATGTCAAAAAACAAACATGCACAAGTAAATGGGTTTCAGATATCAAAACCCAAAGCGTAAGCGGTTTAGATGATGTGTGTGTGTGTGATATCAAAATCCAAAAGTCTGTGGACACCTGCTTGTGCAATGTTTTTTATCCAAATTCAAGGGTGTTAGTAGGGAGTCTATGCCCCTTTGCTGCAGTAACAGCCTTTACTCTTCTGAGAAGGCAACACTAGATGATGGAACACTGCCATGAGGATTTGACTGCATTCAGCCACAAGAGCACTGGTGAGGTGAGGTACTGATGTTGGACTGACTTCGGGATCATTCCAGCTCATCCCAGTGATATTGGATGGAGCGCCATCACTCCAGAAAACGCGGTTCCACTGCTCCACAGCACAATGCTGGGGGGCTTTATCGCTACCCCTCTAGCCTACGCTTGGCAGTGGACATGGTGACCTCAGGTTTATGTACAGATGTTCCAGAGCGTCACATTTTATTGGCAGTGCTTTGCTGTGGAGATTATACAGGCTGTTTGTGCCCAACTGAACACCTGTTTCAGCACCTTAAAGCTGAATTCACATATTAGAAGTGGTGTCTACAAACTTTTGGACAGTGTATCTAGCTTACCTTACCTTTTGAAACGGGAGAATATAGAAGAGTCCAGACGGGTCTTTGATTTCATCTAGTTGATTGGCGGTGAAGGTTTTTAGCCTCAGTGTTTTGGAGCGAAACTGGCAATTTGGAATGACGCTGAGAAAACATGAATCTGAAGTTAACTCACCAGAGATTTATTAATATGTATGTTGTTTACAGCACATTGAGAAAAGCTCTTACCTGACTTTTTCATGGCTGTATCCGATCTTAGCCGTGTAAGCACCATTGTCCAGGACAAGGGTTGTCATTTCTAACGTTCGTTAGTTATCGCTCAGTACGAAGAGCACAGAAAATTATACGATTTTAAATTAATCAGATAAATCACATTTTCTTCTTTTTGGAACTTTAATGTTTCTTCTGTGCCTTTTCAGTTCATTCAGCTCGTTTCAGCTCTTCTTCTCCCGACAAAGACTAACATTACAAATATTACGCCTTTACTGCCACCTGCTGTATTGGAGATGTAACGTCACCTTCTCGAAAGCTCAAGTAAAGCAGGCCGCTTGAAGGGCAATTCCAGTAATTTTTCAAAATTACTGAATAATTTAGTCGCTGATATGTCAACAATCATGAGTGGTTTGATGTGAGATGGTTCACTGTAGAGAACCTTACAGACTTTATTGTCTTGAGAACGGTTTCTGCACTTTTCGTAATCAAATGTAATGCTTTTTAATAGCTTTATAAGGGAAAAAATAGCGTTTCCATCACATAACAGATCGAAACTAATATTGCATGTATTTTCTATCATTTAATTCAAGTCATGTATATACGCTTTGAGACATATGAATGACATGACTTCATTGTTTTCCCTCAGTTCTGATGTCCTCTAGCCCCTCATCATTGGTCAGTTCTTCACAAGACTGCTGTCACCTGGATATTTTTGGCTGGCCGGTAATTATTAATGGTTCTTAATCAGTTTATTAATCTTAAACTATTACTATTTTTTCAGCTTAGAACTGAATACTTTAGTAGTGATTCTTTAAGACTCAGATCTATTAAAATCTAAAGTCTTTAAGGATCCACTGTAACCCCGATATAAAATCAGGGAAAGTTCTGCAGAACAGAACTGTTTTGAGAACAGTCTAACTGAACAGAGTGATACAAAATGAGATTTTATAAAAAATTCTCAGACACGGCACTTAAGGATCAGACATTTTATTTGTACCTTTGCGGAAAACGAACAAAGACAAACACAAAAAACAGGAAGTTTCTCCTTCCATAATAAAACAAATCACAGTGTATAAATCAACCGTACAAATAAAAAGTACATCATTAGAGTTTTAAATGATCACATAAGCCATCTCGTATTCTCTTTATATTAACCGACACTGTTTCCTGGTTGCACTTTTACTTTCCCTGGTTTTGCCAACATGGTACAGGTCCTTTAAAAGGACAAGTTGATAAGTGGAGCTTCAGTCACAGCATTTTCCTTCTTTTCTTCTGGACTCCACTTTATAAGGGGTGAACTTAAATCAATCAGCTGGGAAAAGAAAACCATGAGCAGGCACAAAGTATTAAAGCAAAAACTGCAACTTTTTTAACAATCTTTTTTAAAAATCTGTCACAATTTTAGAATCAGCTGAGAAAGCTGTGAGGAATCTCCCAACGATACAGCATTCAAAAATAACACAATTTATAATATAAAATTAAAGCTGAAAATAGCTGATTCTCACCTGGCCCCCAAAAACCTTATTTGGGACAGTTTTGATCAGGTCTGGGGTGTTGGCAAGGTCAATAAGAACCTTCTCTTCTGGTTTCAAAACAGGAGCAGGTGCATCCACCAGCAGCACCTGAAGACGAAAGCAAATCGTTGTCATTAAACCTTAACACTGTTGATAAGCAGAAGCCAATAAGAGTGGCTTGATCTGAAATGCTGCATTGAAGAAACTCAATCGTGGTGTTAGAAACCAGGGGTCGCAATGTCTACAACACAAATACTGCCATTTGTTTAGTATCCAAAATGTGCAGTGACAACACACGTTTAAGTTTTTACATGTAATGTTGCTAATTGTAAAATAGAGGTAAAACATATGTGGGGACTATTTTGCCTTACAACATCCTGCACGCACCTATTTGCCAAACATGCACTTCAGAACATATTTTAGGCTGAAACCTTATTTCAAAATTATATATAATTAATGTCTTTAGTATCTGGCAGCATATCGATAACCATGGTATAATAGGTATAAGTTTTGTTTATGTTTTTTTTTTAATGTCTTGTTTCACATTAAACAACTCTGAAAGACATGCTTACAATGTTGAATTATGCAGATATTTTGCAAAATCAAATCAATGGAATTCTCCTTTAATGCTGAGTTAGGTTTACTCAGAAATTAACATGCCATTTCATATTCACAATTATACATCAGTTTATCAGATGTATGGTCCTAATATTCCTCACAGGTACACAATCTTGAGTACCACACAGTGGTTCTAGAGCATACTGAATTGGATACAGAAACACCATGCTTGTGTTAGATATGATAAATTCTAACCTCACTCACTTCCTGCATCACTGGCTTATTCTTCTGGTGGTTCTGCAGGATTTCCTCAGACTTTGCAAGTGTTATGACTTCTGGTTTGGGCTGTTGAGGCTCTAGACCCTCTGTAGACAACGTAGAGGCCTTCTCCACTGCTGCTGGTTCACACACTGTGGGTCTATTAGCATCATCTTCCAGGTTAAAAACCAAGGAGCAGGGCTGAAGCTCAGTGGGGGCACATGGCTCCTCATTGGCCAGTGCCTGCTCAACTACTCCCTGCTGCTCACTCTGCTTCAGCTGACATGGGCTAAACAGTGACAGCTTTAGTTAGATCATGTTTAAAATCCCTGATTAAGACAGTGTTCTTTTTTAGCTAAATGTAAATTAACCATTAAGTTAATATATACTGGACATTTCAATAAAGCAGGTCTACTATGTAAAATGTTATTAGACATATTTCAAAAAGATGCAGATACTAGTATTACTTATTATAGGGAAAAGATCAAGCTCATTAACAGCATAAGCAAGATGTGCCAGGGATTAATTCTTTTTTGGGGTCTGTTTAATTGCACTTCTTTTTTGAGCTTGTTTAATTGCACTCTTCAGTAGCAGTAAATGAACCAGAAAATGTTAAACGAGAAACTGTTCCATTTTAAAAGCCCATCACCTAGCATGACTCATCTCCGAGGCTGAGGCTGGTGACTGCCGCTCTGGAGTACGGGACGATCTGCTGAGACGAGGCACGCTTTTGGGTGTGAGCATGGGGATGCCAGACACCCGACGGGTCACAGGCGTGGGCAAAGCTGATGGCCGTCTCAGTTTAGACTGGACTGGCATGCCAGCTGCAGCTGAAGGGGTCTGAAGACCCTGTGGTGCAGGAACTGTGAGCCGCTGAGGAAGACTAAGAACAGGCAGACATGATGGACATGGAATACTGTTGACAACATATAACACTAGTGCCAGGTTTACAGTGGTGAATTGTGACTATCAGCATTAGGCCTTTGGGCCTTTAATGTCAAAAACAAGACCTCAAAATGTGATTAGCTCTTCCAAATTTTATTGATGATTAATCTGACACACAAGGCCTTTAAACTAACTCCTGATCTAACCAAACAGAGCTTGCTTGGCAATGTCTACCTAGACACCACTAGGTGTGTGGGGTGGGTTGGGCGATTTTCCACCTCTTCAGTAAGGTTGCAAAAATGCATTAGTGCATCCATTTGATGGTGGCATAATTACAATCAGATTGTTTGTGCTTAAAATTCACTGCCCATCTTTTGCCTACATTCGACTACTATGTAAACAGTTTTTGCAGTCATTTGTTTAAATAACTGAATCATACCAAAATAACGTAATTGAGCCATACCGTGTCATGCTGAACCTTTAGATGTCCACCTCCCTATTTTTTAGTCAATTTAAAAGATGTATGTAGTAAAATACAACAGTGTTTTACAAACAGTAATGCTACATTACCTCTCCACACTACAAGCTGACATCAGTCTCTTTGGTTTCATTATTCGAGGGACATCAGGAGACGAGATAACTGTAAATCCATATAATGAATACAAATGAAACATGTTTGACTATCAATGTGTCATATCTTTTTGAATGTGAAATTTAGGTCTGGTAATAATATAGCAATGTTTCTCACCTTCAGATCTACGCACTCCTTTCAGAGAGTTTGTGGGAGTCGGAGCAACAAAAGCCTTTGAACTCGAGTTCACCTTAACACTGCTTACAGACTTAGTAGTTATGATGGGCACAGAGATGGTCCTCTCCATGGTCTTCTTAGCCGGCGTCTGGTGCTGGACAGAAGATACAGTCTCTTGTCTCTTAATTGGGGTGGCCTTGACAGGTCTAGGGAGAGGCTCTGAGCTCTTCCTGACCTGTGTGGACAGAGAAGTTCGTCTCCCAACAGAGGGCTCCACAGGTCTGGTGATGATGCCCGACTTGCGGCTGGAGCTGGGAAGCCTGCTGCCACTGTTAGGAACCCGGCCACTGATGCTACTAACACTGGTGTTCAGGGAGGAATTGAGTTTACCTGCATGCGAAGTGGTAAATAAGCACACTTCATGTTTCGTACCTTTGAGATTAACATTCTTTGTGACGTTATGCATAGGACTCTATTGTGATGCTGTAAGTTCATGTATTGCATTTCATTTTAAATGCAGTAAAACCGACAGCATTGGCAGCTGTCCCCAAAATTGACCACCATCAGGTTGACTGTGTAGCCAATAAAAAAAAAAATCTGATATCTAGCAGTCAAATACAGCCACTACAAAACAGAAAACAAAACAGACTCACCTTTACCTGTTGGAGATACAGATAGGCTGGAATTGATACTAGACACAGAAGAAGAGGAAGAAGATGTATTTCGGCTTCGGTCTCCTACTCGCCTATTGGGCAGTGTAGGAGCTTTACAAACAGGTGCACCTCTTTTTTCAGTCTAAATGAGAAGAACACAACAAAATCCTAAGTTGTAGTATCTGAAAACCCACCAGCAAGATAAATCCAAATATTACTGACCACACTCTGATCATTAGTTGAGAATGTAGACAACACAACTTTGCTGACATGGATTTTAAGGACATTTTAGGTCAATGCCCATTTTAGTAAAGTTGTGTTCTTTCACCTTGTGGGAAGCCGAGAGGCCTCTCTTCCCGGGCAAGCTTGTGTTGAATGAAGAATCACTCACATCAGAGGCCACACTAGCTGTATCAGACAGAAGGTCTTCAGTTGAGCCTGCTTTACTTGTATTTATACTGCCAGGACTCCGCTTCAGGCCAAATGAATTCTGAACACAGAAGAAACAGAGTTAAAACACTACATCAAGTGGCATAAAACGCTTTTTAATTTAAGTTAATCTCTACTGACAATGTCTGAACAAAAGACTTTTATCTTTACTTAGGGGTAAGCAGTATAACAATATTTCATCATTATCGTGATAAATTATGACACAATACACTTTTCTGAGCATATCATAGATACTGTCAGTACTTAAACAACTTTTACTAACTACATGCTTTATTACAAAGTGAGCATAATTAGCCCTGATTAATTGGATTTCGTGCAGTGCAGTTTGTTAAGCATTAAATAAAAATTATTGTAGTTGTACATTTAGTATTATTTTATAGGTTTTATTTTGTCTATTCCAACATATTAAATTGTGATGCCTTTTGTATATTGTGAAAATGTCTTGAAGTATCACAATATATTTTTGCTATATCACCCACCCCTACCTGTAGCATACTGTTTATCTTATCTTTATCATATCCTATATCAGGAAAATTAAGTGCTGGTTCGGGAGAGCTTGTCCAGTACTACTTGGCGATTTCCCCGCTCAAACAAAACCAGTTCAATTCATCTGTGCTTTACTAGGTTTTTGTGCAAAGAAATCACTAAGCTGTATTGGAAAATAGCTCTCAAGCTCCTGAAATGAATACCTATATTTTTTGAAAAAAGTCAAAGTAAAGAAAAAAGTGATAGAGTTGCCATACTTTGCTTGGCGCAGGGAGCCTAGTTTTGCTTGATGCTGCTGGTCGAGTGCAAGTGGAGAGTCGCGGGTTCCCCATGGCTATGGGTTTGCTGGGTAGTACCCCATTACTGGCCATTAGACTTCTGCCCCTGGGCGCCATTTTTGGTTGAGTGTCAGCATGCCTCACTGGGCTGGACGTGCTGAGGCGCTGCTTGCCACCAGACATAACACAAACCTTCTGCAGTCGCTTCTGGATGGCTGGAGGCAGCTGCTTCATAGGGCTGTCCTGAACACAGAAAGTTTCCCTCTTGATGGGACTAAGCGCATCAGATCGCTTGCTGAACATGTCCAGCTTGGCCCCGGTGTCTGCCTCAAACTGTTCTGCATTTTCAGGCAAATTGGAAGTAACTGTAATGCCTTCTGATACAGGGTCTGTACTGGTTCTCTCAAGATGACTGGCTAAAAGGTGAGCCTCCTTACGGATCTCCTCAAAGTTCTCCTCAAGCAGGGGGCTCCAGCTAGGCTCCTCACCCACAGAGGGCCCACTGCTTACACTGTCCTTAACCTTAGTCTCCACTCCGTGAGAAATGCACCTTTCCATATGACTGATGGGACCCAAGAACACTTCATCTTCAACATCGTCTTCCCCTTTGGAACTGTAACAAAAAAAAGAACGGACAAAAGATTTTAAACAACATCCTGGAAATAGGCCAAGATGTTTGTGGTTTGGGATTCTCCTCAAATCTTAAATATCATTTATTTTTGTGTTTTTAATGAGCTCAAACACTCTTTGAAAATGTCTATTCTTGGAGCCTGTTTTAATTAATATAAGCCTGCAAGCAAATCTACTATCTCACAAGACAAACAAACCTTGCTGGTGAAAGTGGAACGTCAAAATCAAACTTCTCTTCAGCCAATGAGCAGAAATCTTTGGAAATGAAAACATTAAGACAACACTTAAAAACACACTCAACAATTTATCTCGCGTGAGTGAATAAGGGATGTATTCCAAATATGCATCTTTTCATCACCTTTGACTAGGAGTCCTGCATGTAACTGACCATAACTAATGTGAATACATGATGAGTTATCCTACCATTTATATTATAATATTTTAATTTATAGCCAAGTTAGCTAGGTTCACATGTACATTACCATCATCGGCTATCGAAGCCATCATCCTCAGGAAAAAGTCCAAAGTCCTGAAAATAAATAAGATGACCGTTAGCTGAACACCTCGCTCAGTCTTCACTGTATCTGATTTAAATGCATGAATAAGATTATTAGACCATATATTACGTAAAACTAACGTCAGACTTGCTCATATCGAGGTGGGAGTTGGTCATTTTCGTTTAGTTTATGTTTAGTGTTAAATCTATGATTAAGCACGGAACAAGAACGCTAGCGAGCTAGCTAGCTTAGCTGACCAAAAATAGTCTACACACAAGTTAAACCCCCTTAACTGTTACAACTGTAACTTATTTTTTCAAATTAACAAGAATATTTACCGTCTGTTTTGTATGTTTTTCACGGTACACAGTCGTATTTTCCTCCGCTGGGGCCTTTCTGCAAACACAGCTCCTCCACAGAGATCCTGAACAGCGTTGAACTCCTTTCAAATTCCGTGCGCAGCCTGATTTCAAACATCACGTGACTTAAATGGAGACGCATCATTGGCGGAGTGAGTCACGGAAGTGACAGCGTTCATGTGATGCTTCTGGATTGATGACAAAGAACATTAAGGCACATAAATCATCACATTACATGAAGCACATCAGATATGTGCCTCACTAATTTGATATTTTACTATTATGGATTTAAAATTGGACGATTAAGGAGGAAAAGTAGTTTAAGTATTTCATCCCTACTGAAATAAGGATTAAAACCTGATGGTTTTGCTTTCTAAAGGGGATTGGCTTAATGGTTACCATTATAGACCACTGTAGAACACCTTTAGATCCTATTAGGAAACCATCAGATGGATCTAGATTCAGTCCCAGAACACCTGTTAAACCATTAGAATCCTTTACACTGTAATATCTACCCACAAAGAAAACACAGAACACCATTACTGGCTATTAGACACCAGAAGGAACCGACAGAAACTTTTAATGATTTTGTTCAGCAGGGATTATACAACAGATTATTAAACTATCGAGTGGTGTCTAAATTACAGAAAGAAATGATTCACTCTGCAGTTTTTCCAGAAACACACGCTCACTGTTAAACTAAAAGATGCTCATATACTTTACTATAAAACAAATCTAAATCAGTCTAATCAGGTGAAGAAACAGAACTATGTGTGCAATACCTCCTCAAATATTATGACTAAAATAGGCTAATAGATATAACTAATATAAAACAGCCTACTTATCTAAATTTACCCATCTAACCCCCTTCATTTACTGGACAGCAGGGCTGGATGGTAAAGATTTCGCTCTCTGTGTATCCCAGTCATAACAAATGTAACCCAACTAACAGCAAATTAAAAAAAAAAACACTGGTTAAAAAAACAGATATGTTCAACTTCATGGAATTAATGCTTTCATGGCTAAATTCTTGATACACACAATATGGATTTGGCACACAGTTATACAGCTAGTCGCACAAAATATACACAAAAAGAAATAATCAAAGATTTTAAACTACAAATATCCCTGCCAATCAATTAATGTCCAGCAGTCAATTAAATGTCAGAGATGTATCATTTATCATTGACTTGTACTGAAGAATAAGAGAAATTAAATTAGGCCTTTATTTAAAAGCTTTATTTCATTAACATATATTATCATTAGTCTTTAATTAGCATGTGTGTTATTGAGTATGCTGTTTAGTATTTGTGCAGCATATAATATAAAATATATATTTGTGACGGTCCTACATTGCTGGACTAGAACTGCTGCTGGCTCCCTGGCTCTGCAGATGGGTGATGCTGGCTATACTGGGGCAGGATAAAGTGTAGGCAACTCTATTTACTTCTAGCTATCATTACTTATCACCGTATTTCAAATCATATCAAAATATAACTGACTGACATTTCTACTAAATAAAATTAATGTATTTTCAATCTCTCCTATAAACCTTTAAAATATTTCCATTATGTATTTACTCAGTGAGGCAATTGTATTGTTTTAACACAGAAAAAAAAATCATTATCCCCACCTTAACAGGTCCCTAACTCTTGACCCAGGAGTTAACACTGTGCCAATCAGCCCGGTTCTCCTCAGCTGTGCATGAAATCTCTTAAAACAATAAGCAATTTTGTAATTTAACTATTGATCTTTTATTGTCAAAAAAAGAAAAACCATACACATTACTCACACTTTCAAATGGAAATTGAACCACAATCACTGTTTATACTGCTCATGATTAACAGACATTAAGTAATTACCAAATATAGAAAAAATAATAATCCATAAACAGATGGATAAACATTCATTCCCAAAATAGGAATGAAACTACAGTGAAACAAAAAGAACCAAAGAGCATTTCTTTCCTATCTGCCATTTCTAATGTTATACATTTATATGTGCAGCACAACCCAACATAACCTATGACCTACTTCATGGTAAGATCCTCCACAGAAATCGACATATTGTGATCAGAAGATCAACAATTACAATACCTGTGCTTCCACTGAAGAAACGCACCTCACGCTATGACACTTCATCTCAACTTCTCATCCTCATATTCCTCAATTTGTGATGTTCCCCAAGGGACTGTGGAATAATTTGGTAGAATCTGCCTCTGTGCTCTGGCTTTGAGGGATGCATTCAGATAACTGACAGGATATATGAAAAAGTATAAAGCTAAAGTTTACGCAGCTTTGATTACAAAGCTCTTTAGTGCAATTTAAGCAGCCTGCCATGCCTAACGAGACTGTTCTGCTGACGGTCGTATGCATTAGACTTCTTCAATAAAGATAAACCGATTATACTGCACTTTATCCTGAAGCGATGATGGATGCAATTGATTATCTATCAGGCTATCAGGAAAAGGTCTGGTGTTATATTGTTACTTCCACTCATGTTAAGCCTCTTTTGCATCTTTTAAGATGCCCACGTGATGAACCACTTGAATACAGCTCTCAAATATTATAGAAAACATACATTTAAGCAAAGTTTTGTTTTGATGGCATGCATACTATGAAATACCTAGATCCCCATCTATAACGTAAATCGCTAAACCAGACCACAAAATTCAAGTCATTATATCATTCTATTAGGCAGTCTACTCTTACAAATAATCCTCACATACAGATACAGCAGCAACTATTTATAAGTCTCATAATTTGCACTTTGCCCCCTAGTTGTGCAAGGTGATATGTTCTCCAAAAGCATGTAAACAGACCATTTGCATGACAATATTAACAGCCAATACATCATATATCAGAGTGTTTCACTCAAAAAAGCACATGGGTAAAGTTTCATTCAAATTGAAAAGCTAGAAATATATCACCCTGTCATTGTTTAAGGACAATTTAAGGTATTAAAAATATTTTTTTTTTCTTTCTAGGTTTCTCTTTGACTAATGTAGATCCCCTGGGAAGAAATCCACAAAACAATCAAAACCAACATTCCTCTGTAGGTTGGCTACCTTTTCAGTCCAGTTACACCCAGACTGACAGAAATCCCTCCATTTCAATACAAAAACATTCAATGACTTCCTAAGTGTGCTCTTATGCAAGGGTGTTGATGTGGTCTTGGCATGGGTGGTACAGACATGGTCTTAGCAGGGTTTTAGCATGAGTGGAATCAGAGAGATGTCTCCAGGCTGTGCAAGGGGCTTCCAGGGGGCTGAGGAATGGCAGTCTTGATTATGTCCTTATGGCGGTGAAAACTTCTGCTGTCTGTAGCGTTATTGTTCTGGTTAGGTGAAGATACCACAGGAGGAAGAGGTGGTGGTATAGCATTGCGTTTTGTGGGAGCGTCCTCCTCGAGGTCAGTGTCATCAATCAGAGGGATGGCCGGCTCAGAGTCTTCGATGCGGAACTCCGGGTGGGTCATGAAGTTGTGAATGGAGCTGCGTGACTCCGGGGTCTCCAACCCTTCGTATGGAGACGTGGTTTGCCGAAACGCATTCACCACACGGATCTGTGAGAGAAGAATAAGAAAGAGACAAAAACAAGAAAATGAAGTAACAAATATCATACTAATGTACAGGTCATTACTGCCAATCTCAGTGTCATGAGAGGGCATGGTTGTACAGTCCTTTGAGTTCCATTTAGTTCTACATGGTAGCAATAAAGTCATTTTGCTATGTGACCATGCTGTTTAGACATTTTAGTCTACTGCCTGTTACTGAGCCTATTAGGTCCACGCTGCTGTCTTCAGTTTGGTTTATTTTCTGTTGACGTATCAAAAGCTTGTTATCCTAACTTCATTGTCATTGGATCTGGCTGAGATCATAATACTGAGACTTAAAAATGGCATTCTGGCCTGAAACTAGTATTCATCATGTTATGTAATATTCTGCAGTACTGAAAGCTCTTTTGACAAGTCTTTCTTTTGGTTCTCATTTAAAATGGCACAGCTGCTACCTACCTGTGTCTGGATTCTCTGGAGTCCCCTGCACCACAGGACCTGCCCCCTTCTCAGTTCCATCTCAGCATGGTCAATCTCATCCAGGTCCTCCATCTCCTCTAGCTCCTCCTCTGGGATCTCCTCTTTCTGGGTGCCATGGCCAGCAGTCTTCAGGAACTTCAACCGGCTCGTGGGAATGGTGGTGATCAACTGTGGATTAATGTCAGAAAGCCTGAATAAAAACTGTAAAACAGCAGTCTTTCTATCTCCAGGGAAAGAAAAAAAAACAAACAAAAAAAAGAAAGTGATTTCAGGCTCACCTGGCCCCAGAGAAGGCATCCAAAGCCAAGGAAGACGCACCAGAGCCACTGGTCAATACTGAGGCCTACACAGCTGAAGGGCTTCCCTCCAAACTGCACAATCACAATCTGCAAATGAAAGTAATTATATATTTAACGAGAACAGGGCAAAGTTTAAAACTCTCTAATAACAAATTAAGGCACAGAAACTGAGACCCTCCTTTGCTATTTCCAACTTAAGGTAAGAACTTTACAAATCTTACTTTACAAATACATCTTACTTCACCTGGACAACAAATGTGCCAAATACAATGGAACAGAAGATGAGGTTGTTGAAGATGCCATCAAAGACGTTCCTCTCGCCATGAATCTTGCGAGCGTTGATCTCGTTGAAGAGCTGCATCATGACGAAGGTGTTGAAAACGATGGTGTAGTGTTCTGAAGGAGGGGCATGTAAGGGAGCATTCCTGCCACTGTCAATATCAAAGATCTGCTCACCTGTTACAAGAAGAATCAAAAGAAAAAAATTAGAAGGCATTCATATTTGGATCTTTTACAATCTAACTGGAAGAAAAAAATAAGGTGTTTGCTTTTGGCCTCCAATTATTTATAGAAGTGTTTATCATTTTACAGTTTTTGGACATACGGTTTCAGTTACATGATTGGAGAATAGAGAGTGCTGTACACCTCAACCAGTCACAAACGCTTTTTGCACCAGTGATCAGTCCTGCTGGTACTAGATTCCTTGAGCAGTGCTCACCAGCAAACAGCAGCGTAAAGATGATAGTGAGCTGGTAGATTGCATGGCCCAGAATGTTCTTCATCATGGTTCTGGAAATAAGTGGTTTGTTGCGGCCGTATGGTTTCCTCAGCAGCAGGGCCTCTGTTGGCGGCTCAGTGGCCAGAGCCAGTGAAGCAAATGTGTCCATGATCAGATTCACCCACAACATCTGCACTGCTTTCAGTGGAGAGTCCTACAGTGAGGAAAAGGAAAAACACAAGAAGGTTAAGTGTCAATCACGTGCAGGACAACTTTGATAGAAAGGCATTCCACTACTTTTGACTTATTGAGTATAGCACTAAGACAAGTCTTAGAAGAATGGTGAGAGGTTTTTGGTTTCATTCTTACTCATGATTAAATTTATTTAAAAAGCTGTTTATAACATATAAAATAAACTTTTTATACCTGTCTAATTGGAACTTAGACTTTGTGTTTAGGTTTTATTTAGCCGTGAGCGAAAATGGCAAAAATACACACTTTAAGACATTTTCACAAAACACAATATTGTATCACAATATTTAATTTTTCTGAGACTTAATATGTTGGAACAGTCAAAATAAAACCTGTAGTACAACAAAAAATAGTAATTAATCTACTACTACAATAATTTTTTTTTTCAATGTTTAATGTTAAGTCCAATTGAACAGAGCTAATTATGCTCACTTTGTAATGAAAGTCAATGTTGCTCAAGTACTAACGATATCCATAGAATACTCAGAGAAGGGCATTGTGACAATTTATAAAAATAAATAATATAAAAAATTAAAATATTGCCTTTTAGCTCAAAATTAAATGATATTGCTAAATTGGCTATTTCTGTTACTGAATGAAGAGCCACAGCCCAAAGAGCAGTTGGTGAGTTGAGCCAATTTATTTGGTTTCTCTGAAAAGAGACCATCGTTATTTTGAATAGCTGACTGCTCTTCTTTGACCACACTTGTGATTTAGCTTCTCATTTGCATTATTCCCCTTCACTATTTGCTTCAAGGATATTTATTTCCACAGTAAAAAAAAACAACCTAAAAGAAGGCACAGACCTGTGTGATACAGGCTCCAGTGAATGCCACAATCACAGCCACCACGTTGACTGTCAGCTGAAACTGCAGGAACTTGGAGATGCTGTCATAGACGTTCCGCCCCCACATCACAGCCTTCACAATGCTGCTGAAGTTGTCATCTGTCAGGATAATATCGGAGGCCTCTTTGGCCACATCTGTTCCAGCAATACCCTAAAGAAACATGACAGATCAACATGACATGCAACTGTCAGACTGCACTGAAATGTGTCCCAACAATACATCATGGGTCTGACATTGTTCTGTTTCTAGGGTTTGAAGTCTATTTAACTGTAAGAAAATTAAAACCAGTCAATGTTTTTGAGAGACATACCATGGCAAAGCCAACATCAGCTTTCTTCAAGGCAGGGCCGTCATTTGTTCCATCTCCTGTTACAGCAACTACTTGCCTTTGTTCTACAACAGTGCTATCGATTATACCTGAGCAAGAGATTAACATTTCATTACATGAGAGGTGTACTTCAGTACTGAACATCTATGTATATCATACAACATCTGACCATGTCAGTTTCAAAATTATACCTTTTACTAATGTATGTTTGTCAGTTGGAGAGGATCTTGCCAATACACGCAGTTTGGGCCAAATCCTGTCAATGCGCTCTTGCTCAATCTGAAAGGAGCATTTATGTTTTATTGAATTACATAGCACACTGATAAGAATGACCTCTAATCCATATTCTTGCCTTCCGGAAATCTTTTTTTAGACTATTGAAGTTGCTGTAGACAACATGTATTTCACATTTACAGCATGTATTAGATTCATATGTAAAAAAAAAGTAGCAGCATTTTTCATTTGTTCTTAGAATAGTCATTGTTTAAATTTTACAACTATATAACAACAACAGTTGGTTTACATAAACATTAACTCTGGAGCCTAAATTTATAGGTACATTGTTTGTAACTTGCCTCTCCTAGTTCATTGCGTATCCGCCTGTTGAACTCTTTGCCCTCAAGGCACAGGAAATCATCTCCAGGATTGATGATGCCACACTTGGTGGCAATAGCACGGGCAGTGTTAATGTTGTCCCCGGTGACCATTCGCACAGTGATGCCTGCTCGCTGACACTTCCTAATAGCATCAGGGACCTGAAATAGTAAAAACACCCACAAATTAGACGCCTACATCATAGTGAAACACAGTCATGAGGTGACATATAGGCAAGCTGGCCTGCTGTTTACAGTGTCATCTATTTTCATCAGTCAGCCAGGTTCCGTCATGATGTGTCAGCCTTTATGGAATACTGAAAATAATATCAGAAAATAATGTGTTGCGCTGGTCTGAGTGGATCAGACACAGCAGTGCTGCTTGAGTTTTTAAACACCTCGGTGTCACTGCTGGACTCCACCAACCAAAAACATCCAGCCAACAGTGTCCTGTGATGATTGATTAATGATTAACACAAACTGTGACAAAAGTCGAGCTACTGTCTCTGACTTTCCATCTACAAGGTGGATGAACAAAGTAGGTGTGAATAACAGAGCCGGCAGCGCGTGCCACAGTCTTTAAAAACTCCAGCAGCACTGCTGTGACTGATCCACTCATACCAGTGCCACATTAGTGTCACTGAGTGCTGAGAATGATCCACCCCTCAAATAATACCTGCTCTGTGGTGGTCCTGACCATTGATGAACAGAGTAAAGGTGGGATAAATTATGCAAAGAAACAGATGTACTACAGTTTGTAATTGTAGAACTATAAAACGCCCCTACAGTCATGGCCGAAATTGTTGGCACCCCTGAAATGTTTCCAGAAAATGAAGTATTTCTCCCAGAAAATCAGATGTTTTGTTATACACGTTTATTTCCTTTGTGTGTACTGGAACAACCCAAAAAAAACAGGGAAAAAAAGCCAAAAATTATATAATTTCACACAAAACTCCAAAAATGGGCCGGCCAAAATTATTGGCACCCTCAACTTAATATTTGGTTGCACACACCTTGGAAAAAATAACTGAACTCAATCGCTTCCTATAACCATGAACAAGCTTCTTACACCTCTCAACTGGAATTTTGGACCACTCTTCTTTTGCAAACTGCTCCAGGTCTCTCATATTTGAAGTGCCTTCTCCCAACAGCAATTTTAAGATCTCTCCACAGGTGTTCAATGGGATTTAGATCCGGACTCATTGCTGGCCACTTCAGAACTCTCCAGCGCTTTGTTTCCATCCATTTCTGGGTGCTTTTTGAAGTATGTTTGGGGTCATTGTCCTGCTGGAAGACCCATGACCTAGGACGCAAACCCAGCTTTCTGACACTGGGCCCTACATTGCGACCCAAAATCCTTTGGTAATCTTCAGATTTCCTGATGCCTTGCACACAGTCAAGGCACCCAGTGCCAGAGGCAGCAAAACAACCCCAAAACATCTTTGAACCTCCACCATATTTGACTGTGGTACTGTGTTCTTTTCTTTGTAGGGCCTCATTCCATTTTCGGTAAACAGTAGAATGATGTGCTTTACCAAAAAGCTCTATCTTGGTCTCATCTGTCCACAAGACGTTTTCCCAGAAGGATTTTGGCTTACTCACGTACATTTTGGCAAACTGGGGTCTAGCTTTTTTATGTCTGTGTCAGCAGTGGGGTCCTCCTGGGTCTCCTGCCATAGCATTTCATTCCATTCAAATGTCGACGGATAGTTCGCGCTGACACTGATGCACCCTGAGCCTGCAGGACAGCTTGAATTTCTTTGGAACTTGATTGGGGCTGCTTATCCACCATCCGGACTATCCTGCATTGCAACCTTTCATCAACTTTTCTCTTCCGTCCACGTCCAGGGAGATTAGCTACAGTGCCATGGGTTGTAAACTTCTTGATTATGTTGCACACTGTGGAGATGGACTTGTAACCTTGAGATTGTTGATATTTTTCCACAATTTTGGTTCTCAAGTCCTCAGACCGTTCTCTTCTCCTCTTTCTGTTCTCCATGCTTAGTGTGGCACACACAGACACACAATGCAAAGATTGAGTCAACTTCTCTCCTTTTTATCTGGTTTCAGGTGTGATTTTTATATTGCCCACACCTGTTACTTGCCACAGGTGAGTTTGAACGAGCATCACATGCTTGAAACAAAGTTATTTACCCACAATTTTGAAAAGGTGCCAATAATTTTGTCCAGTCCATTTTTGGAGTTTTGCGTGAAATTATATCATTTTTGGCTTTTTTTTGTGTTGTTCCAAAACACACAAAGGAAATAAACATGTGTATAACAAAACAGGTGTAGTTGCAATAATTTTCTGGGAGAATTACTTAATTTTCTGGAAAAATTTCAGGGGTGCCAACAATTTCGGCCGTGACTGTATATGGTAAGTAGAGATGATAAAATGGACAATGAGTATAGATACAAGGAAGGTGTCCTTATAAAGTGCTCAGTGAGTGTAAACACCTCAGTAGAAATCTGTATTTATGTGCCAAATCATTAAAAACATTTTGCCGTTCATAGAATAATCTTTAATCATAATATTGCTTGGCAACTCCAGTAAAAGTACACTGCTTGTGGAAGAATTGTTGTTATTACTAGTACTAAAAACAGTGTACTTTACATTGTTTATTGTAAAATAAAAGCATACAAGTAAGTTAATAAAGCAATTAGCCATGCAAAGCATTGTTTCTTGCTTCAAGTTGTGCATAACACCCTGTAACCCTGTTACAGTAAAATCACTAACACACAGCCTTAACCAGGCAATCATAATACAACTACAAACAAAAAATTCTTGAAAATTTAAAAAAAAAAAAACCAAACATTGTAGGTGGTACTGCCACACCACACTCTTTTTACTTTATTTCAGCATTTGTTACTTATCAGGCCACTGAATGCTGCACTTCATACACAAGCTTGATTCTGAAGAACTCACCTCTGGCCGTACAGGGTCTTCGATGCCCACCACACAAATGCAGGTGAGACCTGTAAGGATGTCTGTTTCGTTGTCCCAGTCCGGTTCCCCCTCTGAGGCTGGGAAGTCCCTGTAGGCCAGACAGATGGTCCTCAGGCCCTCTGAAGCCATTGGCTCAATCACCATCTTCATCAAGTCATCTCGATCTCTGGGCTTGAAGAATTTAGGTTCACCACTAGCTGTCAAGATTTTACAACACCTGCAAACATACAGAGCAAATGTAGGGCAAAGTGTTTCAACAAACAAAATCAACTGATCTAAAGTACTGTGAAGACATTTACACACTGAAGGAGACCATTAGTGCAAACATTCTACATTTAACAATACATTATGTTCCAAAAACAGCATCAATTTAAATTATAAATTAAAGCAGTATTTGGTGTAGGTTCTATGTTTTATAGCACAGGCTCCCAACCCAGGTGAGTACTGTAGTGACAAGAGTGTTGAGCAAAAGAGAATAAAGAGAGAACAAAAAAATTGTGAATCCTGTCAAATCAATGAGGCTGTGGAATACAATGATACACTACAAAATACTGCATAACATGACAAATATATTCAACTCTGGTTTTAGTCCAGCATGCTCTATCAACAATTTAACTGCTTAGATAAGAACTTACTTCTTCAGGAGAATTTCAGAGGCTCCTTTGCTGAACATTCGGTAGCTTCCATCATAATTTTTCAGCACTGTGCTCATGGATTTTCTGACAGAGTTGAAGGTGTATACTTTGAAGAGCTTCTCTTCAGGATATTCACTGCGGATGATTTGGTAGTCTCTGCGTAGGTCAAGGGCAAACCCCAGCAAGGCACATTCAGTTTTGTTCCCCACTTGACGGGGCAGACCACCTTCCCTCTCAGGGGGCTACAAACACAAAAAGCGGAGATTCATTCATTAACTCAAGAACTTGACTTTTACTGTAGTTTAAATCCTTTGTGTTTTCGGAAGATGAATGATGTTTAATCAGTACAAATGAAATCAGCAAGAAAAGCCATTCACTGCAAACATACAACACTGTGCAGATGTCATCGATCACTCATTCATTTAAATTCTAGTCAAAATGGCCAGTTAAGTACAAGCTATTAATTTTTCAGCGTCATAGAAAAAGAAGCAAATATACATGGACAATTACAAGAAGCCTTAACGACTAAACGTTGGGGCTTCTGCGCCCGTTCTTTGCCTTTATTACAGCTTCCATATTTTCTGAAGTGCTTTCAGTTTTGACGAAGACATCAGTAGGGATATTTTTTACACCTCCAAAGTTCAGTCTTAGAAGTTGGTTGCATTTTCTGCTTCTCATGATCCAAGTAATCCCAAACACATTCAGTGACGTTGAGGGCTGGGCTGTGGGGTGGTCAGCCCACTGTTCTGAGAACACCAGCAGCTTCTCACACATTTCTCAGTTTCCTTTTCTGAGTAACAGCTTCTTGACAGCTACACATCCTTTCAGACTCATAGCGCTGAGTTGTCTTTTCATGGGAAAAATGGACCGTAACAACTGTGGCTTTTTCAGATCTGAAGCAAGAGTGGAGCTTCTCTCTCAAAGATGAAAGCTTTAAGTGCTGTTTATCTGGTGGGGACAGTTTTAGTATTGTACCAGGTCTTGCACCTTGTTAACCTGTAAACGATCCCAATTTTAAGAAAAATTCCAAAAATCAGTATCACTGGCTGTATGATTTTAAATCGTGAAAAATTAAATTGGTAAGCAGCAAAAGCTCGTGTTTTATTAAAAAAAAATTATATTGTAGTGCAAGGGGCTGAGCTTCCTTGACTTCATGATTGTGCTGGTTTTTGATGCTTAGCTCAGCTTTTTCATAGCTTCCTTCATAGAAAGTTTTTTTTTAAATGTCATTTTTATTACATATTTTTGACAGATTAAAAGTTGGATTTGGACGCATTTTACATCGTTACATTGTTTACTTTGTTTTCATATGTACATGTGTAGTTGTTAGATGTTACATTTTGTTTTTCTTTAACTATCATTTTTCTAACTCTAGAGTTAAAACTTCTGTTTTTGACTTTGTTTCCTTTGACTTTCCTCTTCCTTATGCAAATGGATTATCTTAGATCTAATCTCCTCAGGAATATCAACTGAAAAATGAACAGCTTATACTTAATGGCTGTTCTGACTGGAATTTAAATAATAAATGAAGAGTGGTCTCTCATTTATTATTTGCACAGTGGTGTATTACAATATTTTATAGTTATATTTTGAAATATCTTGACATTTTAAAATGTATTTAATTTTTCAAAAGGGCATACACAGACATACAAACACTGTAGTATACACTATTCTCACCATGATCTTGGTGGTGTATGCACAGTTAACGCTGATGCCTGTGATCAGCAGGTCCATGATCTTGCCTGGAATCAGTTCAGGCTCAGGAACCTTCCTGTAGTGTCTGTCTCCCACATACACCTGCACCACTGTCATTCTGTTCATGGTTAAAGTGCCAGTCTTATCTGAGCAGATAGCAGTGGCGTTGCCCATCGTCTCACATGCATCCAGGTGTCTGACCAGGTTGTTGTCTTTCATCATTTTCTACAAAACAAAATCAAGAGGACAGCTATAACCCACTGTAACACAAAAAAAGAAATATTCAAGAAAACAGTTCATCCAGCATTACACGCCCGATCAGTCTAGCTGTAGAGTCACAGTGGCATTTACAGAGCACCATTTAATGGTTTGGTTTGGTGTATGTGTATAAGGAATGTGTATGTGTATAAGGACAAGAGCCAAAACATGTCTATTCATTTGAACATTTAAAGTGAACCTGAAATCAAATGCATATCAAATGAAAGCAATGAATTTACAATGTAAATCCCCTTTTACCCTGTTAGTTATATATAATATATAATTTCTCCTCCCTCTCCTATAGCCTGCACATAAAACGCTCAGCTAGCGCAGACACCCTCCCTGATCCTACCTTGTTTCACTCAGAAATACAATCTTATGATTTCCAATTTACATTGAATTTTAAGTAAATTTAAGTCAAATTGTGTTTTTGGGTCCAGTACTTTATGCATTTTTACAAGGCAGGTAGCCTTCATTACCCCGCCATTAACTACACGTCCACATGTATCATTCACTCACAAACTCGTACTTTGACAGAGTAGGCTAATGAGATGGTGACAGCGAGGGGAAGTCCCTCAGGCACAGCGACGACCAGCACGGTGACCCCTATGATGAAGAACTTGACAAAGAACTGGATGTAGATGGGGGTGCAGTCTTTGATCCATGGAAGCCCCTGAATCCAGAAGGTGTCCACCAGAAAGAGTACCACCAAGATGATGACTGTGATGGCTGACATGAAAAGGCCTGGCGAGTAAACAAACACATATTCATGTGTACAAAAAGAGACATAAAAAAAGACCACTGCAAGAGCTCAGACACATGACAGCAAAAAAACAATGATAGTGATTAAACAGTGATTAAACACAATAACCACTTCATATAACAATTCATGACTGTCTCTTTCTAACCTGCTTTGCCGATTTGTACGGCTAGTTTGGTGAGCTTCCCTTGAAGTACGGATTTCTCTTTCTTTGGTAGATTGCTTTTCTTCTTCACCTCTCCATCAATCCCGTCCTCGCTGCTGAGAGGCTCCGTATCCACACTAGTTCCATCCTTACCTGGACAACCAATCCCAGCATCAGTGATGAAATCAGTGTCTTCTCAATGAACACCTCAAAACACACAACTTGTCAAATGTGGTATTTTACAGCATACAACTCAATACATCACTGTCTCAAAAAGGAAGCTTTGCAAACGTCTTCTTTCTGGGAGCTCAAGCGATCCAAGGTGAAGCCATCTTTGATCTGGTTACATCTAAATGCCACATACTTATGTGGCATTTAGATGTGGCTTAGCACAATTTAATTTGATAGAAACTACTTAGCTGACTGTTGGCAATCACTCACTTCTATTACAGCCAATAAATGATTTTGGTTTTAAAAGAACACATGAAAACAATGTAATGCATCCAAATCCAACTTTTAATACAAATATCATAAAAATATGTAACAAAAATGACAAAGATAGCTTTCTATGAAGGAAGCTGATGAAAAATCTGAGCTAAGCACCAAAAACAGCACAATAATGATGTCTGGTAAACTCTGCCCCCTGCACTACAACATTAATATCACTTATATTAATATGTAAAACAGCTGTGAGCTTTTACTGTCAACCTGAATTGTGATAACTGGAAAATGAGTCATATTAGTCAGTATAGCACTGTTTACCTTAAACTACTGTTCAGTTTTTCACCATTTAAAATCATACAGCCAATAATACTGATCTTTGGAATTTATCTCCTTAAAATTGGTATCGTTTACAAAATATTCAAATTGGTCAGGCCCTATTCAGTTTACATGTAAAAATTCTATCTTTGATAGTTTTATTACATATAACAAATTGACAGACATGTCAAAAAATGTCCAACATTAGCCTGCATGTTCTGTATATATTGCACTAGCAGCTTTTATATTATAAACCACTGCTTTTCAGATGCGAGGAGAGGTATGAGTAACTCTGTGGTGCAAGTGGCTTAGATATGATATTAGGAGGTGGCTTTCTGTGGTGTGGTGTGCTCACACTCCTTAATCCCGGGCTAGGGATTACTCTAGCCTGGCTGAGGTTTATCCTAAGCCAATTCATACACTACCATTTTAAACTAAACATCCTGCCACATCAAGCAAATACACACCCCACAACCAATGCAGGCCCTGCAAATGGATGACTGGCACTGTGAAAGGAGAAATCAATGTGCATGTTATTTGTGTGTCTGGGAAAACAGCGTCACAGGGGCCTGTAATCTCCTTGTTTCTAATCGCTGTAGAAGAGCACCTGCCCTTTAGGCCTCTGCAGCACACCATATGGCTCTCACCCTTAACCAGACATTGAAGACACCATGTGTCAAAAAGTATACACATATACACACACACAACTCATTAAACCAAGCAGCCTAGAGTATAAACAGCAGCTAGCTAGTGTCTCCAGCTACACCAGACTCCAGTCAGAAAACCAGACGTGTTGTAAAGTACTTACCCTTCTTTTTGTCTGATCCATCCTGCTTTTTGTCTGTTGGGAAACAAAATTGTACATTCACACATGAAACACTAATGCAGCCAGTACTGGCTGAAGGATGCAGCTGTGTAGTTTACTGGCACAGAAACTAAACTAAATATCTAGCTTGTCTGTATCTGATACCTTTTAAATCAACCTAAGTTTCATTTGTCCTGAGCATTACAGGAGAAAACTGCTCTACGTTTATTGTTTACACATTAGGTCATCTTGTGAGTCTTAGGTTGGGAGCAGAAGCTCATAATATGTACTATACAAAGCACTATTAGTGAACTGGTGAGTGAGGTTGTAGTGTAAAAGTAATATTAACAAAGCACATGCAAATCACTAGAAATTCACATTTTGTAAAGTTTTTCCTGCTTTTCTGTAAAGTGACCTCGATATAAATACATAAATAAAACTATTATTATTATTATTATTATTATTATGATGATTATCATCATCATGTTATTGGAATTATGACAAGTATTGGCTGATATTTGCTTAAAACAATGATCTGCACTGCGGTTTGACCAATATTTCAATCCAAATGTTTGTAGTGTATTTACTGTATTTACACAATAGTAGTCCGTTGTTCTGAACATCAGCAGCTTCTTCACTTGATTTGCAACTTTCCTTCTTTTGCTGTCTATTTATTTTTCTCAGTAAGGGCTTCTTGACAGCTACCCTTGCTTTCAGACCCATAGCGTTGAGTTGTCTTCTCGCAGAGGAAGGATGGACGTGTTTAAAATTAAGGGAGCGTAATTTACTCCAATCACTCAAAGCTTTAAGCACTGTTTTTTTGTTAAGAGACATAGGCACATTTTATTTTATGAATAACTTATACTTGAATGGAATGGAAATTAAACAAATAAAGGGTGGCCTCTGACTTTCAGAACTTTATGTCCATCATATCTGATACAGTCATCAGGGCCCCAATTCTCATATTGGTGCATCCAAAACACCCTGTGGACGTGTCGTAACCAATTCCACTTAAAGGCATGACTGCAGTGTGCTTTAGGTTAAGAAGTATGAAGTCAGATGCAGTACGATGAAAGTTGCAAGGCAGTATGGGATCGATTTAATAGGATAGCGTACACTCAATCGACTCATTTCTCGCAAAACCAGGAGATCAGTAGCTGAAACAGGCATTCTGGGTCACTCATGTGCACCTTCCTAAACTTGACAAACAGGGACATTCAGAGTTTGTTCAATTTTTGACCATATACGTATTAAGTTCTGTCAGGTGATATTACTGGTTATGGGAATTTACAGCTTTTTAAAGTCAGCATTGATCACAAAAAATAATACTTGTCAGGCCCTATTCAGTTTTCATACAACTACTTCCTTCAATAGGTTTATAACATATGACATGTTGAATAAATATCTGAAGTTAGTTTTCACATGTTGTATAAACTTTGCTAAAAGATTTTTTAATAAAAAACGCTTTTGTACTGCTGCTATTCAGATCCGCGGAGGACGATATGATATAGCAGTGAAGCATGAAGTGCGAGTTCATCAGCAGTCTTACTTTTCTTGCCCTTCTTTTCTTTCTTCTCCTTCTTTTTCCTCTCTTTTTCTTTCTTCTTTTCTTCCTTCTCTTTCTTTTTCCTCTCCTTTTCTTCTTTTTCATCCTCACTTTCACCATCATCGTCTCCGCCACCGAGGAGGGTGAAGATGATTCCGGTCTGAGAGTTCACACCCACAGCAGTGACCAGCATCCTCCCTGAACCCTCCATCACATGAGTGCCTAAACCAATAAGATAGTAGTTACAATACAAAAAACAGGTATTTAAACCTATGCTGGAGTTGCCATTAAACTTTTATAAATTTTTTGATGGCACTTCGTATAACAGCATAGCATTCTCCATTCATTTCTGGAATTCTGTTTCTTTTTTTGATAATCTTAATGGGCATTGTGTCTTAATGTCCCAGCATCAAAGAAAAATTGGGATCAGCGTAGTTGGACTTGAAGTCAGTTCGACATAGTTGTGAAGTCAGAGCTACTCAACATGTCTAAACAATTTCTGATGAAACTGCAATGCAACAGTATTTCAAAGTGTCCATGATAACAATATCATGTATGTTGAATGTAGTGGCATATCATGTTACTGAATATCAGCACATGTCCAGCTTGTACATTAGTACAGTTTTCACATTTGATTCAATTACCGTACATTTCCTTAATTTTATTGTCTTGCTTGAACTGTATTATTGTTACTGTCTTGGACTTACTATTTGTTTATTGTATTGTGTATTATCTGTATTTTTTTTTTTTACTTTGTACTATTGTTGCCTATCCAGGCAAAATGAAAATGATGTGAAACCTGAAAGCAGCATGGGATCTTTGTCCAGGGTCTTTCTGACATGGTCTGACTCTCCTGTGAGGGAGCTCTCGTCAATTTTCAGATCGTTGCCTTGGATTAGCACCCCGTCAGCAGGAAGGAGGTCACCTGGATGTACAAGCCAGATGGTCAGCCTCAGACACAACACAGAAGCTTTACTTCAGAAGCCAAAATAAGGGCTTTCAATCAGTTAAAACAGGAGGCAGAGACACAAAAAGACAAGTCGGTCGTGGTTAGATAGACAGACAGAAAGACAAAAACAAGGTCACAGTGCTACAGTGCTACCTTGGTCCTACAGAATTTTTTTGTTAGGCACACCTACCATATCCTACCATATAGACGCACTTTGTAGGAATACAATGACTGACTGCAACCCATCTGTTGCTGCACAATTTATCAGCCCCCTTCAGACAACTAACACTGATTGCGCAGAAAAAAGATTAACTGTATGGGCAGGTTTACTAAGTGAGGCACTAATTGCTGACAGTCTGCCGTGACTTTGTGCTGGAGGGAGTGGCCAATTTATCAGGTTATCTACTAAGAATCTCCATGCAAATGAACACAGGTACAGCTTCATACTTTTCTGTCTGTTTCAGGTTCCAACTGTGACTGTGCACTTGGGACAAAACAATACCTTATTTTCTCAAGATTTTGAATTAGCAAGTCAACAAAAGGCACTAAATGCTGTAAATGCAACAAAAATAGTTAATACTAATTGAGTAAAAATGTGATTTTTTTAACATTATATGTTTTATTATTATTTGATTAACATTATTTGAGCCCCTTCATCGAAAAACCATATATTAACCATTCCACCCTTCTTTGGATTATCAATTATTGTGTCTTACTTTGCACAAGGTTTTAATTTGAGAAGTCAACTATGCTTTATTTTAGTGACCCCTTTTTTTTTTACTGTTTTTAATTGCAAGGACTCATTTGTATGTATATTTTAAGAAAATAAGACTATTTTGACAGTACAGCAGAAACTGTGTTTTGTGCCAAGTGCATTTGGAAACCTTATTGTAAAATTTCTGTTTAACTTCACTGAACACATCCTGGTCATTTGGGAATTTGATTTTGTGCATAACCTCTTATGCTATGTGCATTCCATTACAGAATGACTGTAACATTACTGCCACATTAATCACTGTGTGCACAGAAGCCACAGTGCAGGAATAACAAAAAAGCAGTAGCTTTAGTAAAGCAGGGGTTGCAGAACCAAAGGATTTTAATATACGACTGTTAAAAGCACATAAAATAAAACTGTCAAATTACTATTTAGGGAAAATAGCATTTTAAATAGACTAAAATAGCAGAAAATAGCACTTAAAAAAAGTTTTAGGTTTTTTATTGTCTTCATCACAAGAATGTGACATTGCAGGTGTTTATAAGACCTTTTCGCCTAACAAAAATGAATAAACTCTCTTTTCTCTCTCTCTCTAAGCCAGTTAGTGTGTACAGGGTTTAAAAATCCTAGCAACATTGCTGTGTCTGAATTACTTGTACCATTCTGGTCAGTGGTGGTCCTATGGTGGTCCCTTTCCATTGATGGACAGGGTAGAGGGGGGCCAATGAATGGCACAGCAGCAAATGTCAGTAACCGTAAACCTACAAAATGCACCTATATGGTAGGTGTTTTCTGAAAAAATGCTCTGTGATTGTAGGGTGTAGGTACAAGGGTGTGCCTAATAAACTGGCAACTCTAAGAATCGTTTGTTCTGTTTGTAGTAACCACATCTGTTAAATGAACAAAGCCTCATGAGTAAGCCGTGAAATATATTCAATACCTGAGATGAAGAGTGAAGAAAAGACCATATTTACCATATTTTACTTGCGCAATGTCTCCGGCCACCAACTCAGCCACAGGAATCTGAATGACCTGGCCTCCACGGATCACTGTGAACTTTTGCTCCTGTTCGATGCGACTCTGCAAGCCACGGAACTGCTTTTCTTTGCTCCAGTCATTAAAGGCAGTGACGAGCACCACACAGATGACAGATAAGAGGATGGCGGCACCTTCAATCCAGCCAGCCTCTGCTTCGCCCTCATCATCCACTCCTCCAGCAGCTCTTCCACAGTCTGCAGAGGAGATCACAGTCAACATACAAGATGCAAAAATGTACTGGAGATGTTCCACTCTGAAGGTGAGGATTCAACAGCATCAATTTTAAATAGAAAGCAGTGATTCTAAATCATAGCAAAAATAATCCAACAGAACAGTGTTAAAATTTGAGATCACAAGATGCACTCAATTGTTTCCTGAACAAAAATATCTGAGGTCAGTGATTTTACAGCCTTGTTCTTGGACGTGAAAAAGTTGGGGTGCTAGGGGGACTGCAGCATTCCCAGATTTCAGAATTGTTTTATTAAATAATGAAAATAAATAAATAACCTGAACTTCACAATAAATTGAGCATTGTAAAGATCTTTGTGTACTCATTTTAGGGTGGAGTTTGTATTTTTATGTTATTCATATATGCAGTCAGGTCCACAAGTAGTTACAGATGTACACATACATGTGGATGTATTTTCAAAATCTGCAGTAACAAGTAGCAAATTAACAATGAACTTTCTTTACATCGAGCCAAGTTGCTTCCCACACCAACTGTTGGCTGCATTGGTTGTGTGTCGCTAAAATACAAGCAACATTAGTGGCTTAAAATATATTTTTTTCTTAAAAAAAAAAAAAATAGAATTTCTCACATTTTGAACGTATATAGTCAATTCTCATCACATAGTACTTTGACATGTTCATTTTTTTATTCAAAAATTACAACAAAGAAAAAATCTGGCATAGTATCATAGCATCAAATTTTAGTCCTCTATCTTAAAACACCTTCTCTATCCCTGTTAAACTCAAATGCAGTTTCTTTTCATACTTTAAAGTACCCAGAAAATACCCAGGAACACATTAAGCAAAAAAAAGAGATTAACCATTTTCCTAAAAACCTATACTTAAATTAACAGACAGGGGCTGTAAGAGCATGAAACTTGACACGACACTGTCAGCTATGGGCTGTTATGGATTCCAAAACTCCTAACAAACTGTCACAGTTTCAGGAATACTCTGCCTAAAGCTCACACATCATAAGGTCTTGCTAACAACTGCACTATAGAGTAACAAAGGCTATTAAAGGGACCGCAACAGGAATGAGATAAGTGGGCCATTTTAAACCTCTTATATCATTAGTATCCACCACAGTAGCAATGTAAAGACAAGTATTCAATGCAATATTTGACATGCTTAAAGTGTCTGGTGTACTTACTTTCTCTTTCTGTATCAGGAGGTCTATAGAACGAAAGGCCTAGGGATATTATGGCTGCAACTTCCAAAATAATTAGAGTCACGTCTTGCAATGCTTCCCAAACTAACTGAAGGAATGTTTTTGGCTTTTTAGGAGGTATGAAATTCTTTCCAAATTCTTCTTTTCTTCTTGCAATGTCATCAGCTTGACCACTTAACCCTGGAGTGGAGAAATAAAGAAAAACAATGTCAAAGAGCATCCACTGTAAAATCAATTTCTCTATTTGTACAAAATATAAAAAAACACTGTAGACAAATAGAGTGGCATAATTTTGAGTGTCTGCACTGATCACTTCAAATATGATCACTGCTAAAACAATCTGCTCACAGCTGGTACAGACAATTTTCCACCTGTATTTCGCCCTAAGCTGAAGAAGAGACATGAGAAGGATCAGAAATGGAAGCAGTCTATTAGTTTTTTTATTTTACATCCAGTGAGTAGTGTGTGCTGCTTTGGACAACTGTCAGGACAACCTTCACAGACAATTCCAGCCCTGAGATCCACAATGTGTGTATGATTTTTTTCCCAGAAAATCCAACACACACTTTAATTCACTGACCAGCAACTGATATACCATAAGAATACTGTTTCAGAAAAGAGATTTAAGAACTTAATTTCCCAAGCAAAGAGGAACAGCTAAGATGCAGACTTTTACCTGATGAATCGTATCTATAACTGATCAATATTGTTTAGTCAGTCCTTGAATTACTAAATAAGCTACATCAAGTCTGTGGTGGAGATGGAGGTGGGTGAGAGAAAACCTGCAGAATCTGGTAAAAAACCATGAGACAACTGACCCAGTTCTTCAGAGTTGGAAGCCCTTGTAAGGTGTAGAACTTTTTATTTACCAAGAGATTTTTTCTCAGTCTTTTGGTTGCTGGCTAAATTCCACCACAAGCCAGTGCCCTCCTTGCGACCCAGCGTCTGGCCACGCGAATAATGCAGATTGAGAATTCTTATTTAAGCTCTGCTGTTTTTATTTTGGGACATTTTAATCATGTTAGCTTCAGTAAATCATTACCAAGATACAAAAAGCAGATTCGTACCGCTACCAGAGGGGACAAAATTTTGGACTTTGGAGCATTTCACACAGTAACTCACGCTCACCTGGGACAGTCTGATCATAATGTGATCTTTCTTTTCCCACGATACTGTCAGAGATTGAAGACCCCACAAGCAGCAGAAAAGCTCGATGACTGTTTAAGTACAACAAATTGGAATGTCTTTAGAGATGCATGTAATGATTTAGATGAGTTTACAGAGTTACATATATATATATATATATATACTACTACATATATATATACTCACCCTATATATATATATATTTCACAGAGTGTCTGCATCCCAACTAAGAAGTTTCTAGTAATGATAAGGCTTGGTTGCTGCTTTTACCAGTGATGATAAAGAACTTTATAACAGAGCTAAGTATGGATTTTGGAGGGCAGTAAAGCAGGCAAAGACAAAGTATAAGGTTAAACTAGAGGGTAAACTACAAATGGAAGATGGTAGGGGTGTATGGAAATGTTTTCAAGAGATATCTGACTACAAGATCAAAAATGATTTTTGGGTTTTTGACTCCTCGCTTCCTGACCAACTTAATGATTTTTATTGCAGATTTGATCTACATGTACCTCGGCAAATTACTGCACAATGAGTGGCCGACTCTGTATCGCTGTTTAATTATTAAGGGATATGAAGTTAAATCTTTGCTCTTGAAGCAGATCTGTGGGAAGGCTGCTGGACCTGACCAAGTCTCTCCACCCTAAAGCTCTGTGCTGACTCACCTTCTAATATTTTAACATATAGTTTTAAATCGGTCACTGAAAACATGTATGGCCCCATTAGGTTTTAAAAATACAACCACTGTCCCTGTTCCTAAAAAGTCCTGTTTCAATGATAACAGACCCGCAGCTCTTACTTCTGTTATTATGAAAGTATTTGGAAGACAGCTTTGTAGTCATCTCTCAGGTGTTGGGATAGATACATACCAGTTTGCATATGAATGGGTGAGATATGTCTGCTGAGGATGCAGTGTCACTCTGCTTACACTCTATCTTGCAACACTTGAATGCACCAGGTACATATGCACATAAGCATTTAACACAATATTGCCTTTAAGGCTCTTTGATAAGCTTCAGAGGCTTGGTGTTCACCAGTCCTTGTGTATTGGATTCTTGATATTCTGTCTAATAGAAAGCAGGTTCTTATAATGAATGTGGTTTACACTCCTCAAATTCTCAATACTGGTGCCCCGCAGGGCTACGTTTTGTCTCATCTATTTACTTACACACACACACACACACACACACACACACACACACACAGAGCCTTAGTGAAGTTGAGTTAATAACTGAATATTGGAAAGACAAAAGGAGTTGGTGGTTGACTTCAGGTTGACTTTAGGAGACGGAGAGGGGACCTACCAGCTCTGACCATTACTGATGAGGAGGTGGAGACGGTTGCCTCCTTTGTGTTCCTAGGGAGAACAATCAGCTCATCCCTTAGGTGGGAGAGCAACATCCCTGTCTTGTTGAGGAAAGCTTATGAAAGGCTTTTCTTTACAAGACAGCTTAAGAACTTTGGTGTGACTAGACGCTTGATACGCTTTTATAGAGCTATTGCGGAAAGTGTGTTGACCTTCTCGGTATGTGTCTGGTATGGTAGCATAATGACGTACAAGAGAGAGCAGCTAGAGAAAGTGGTGCACACCGCCTCTAACATCATTGGTTGCGAACTTCCATCTGTTGCTTCTATCTACAGCAATAGGATGGAAAAAAAAGCATTAACAATGTAGGCAGGTAGTTCACACCAGGCACAAAAAGGTCCTTACTGGCAATCTTATGTAGAACATGTCGGTTTAGTAACAGTACCTAACCTTCCGCTATCAGACTTTTGAACTCCACTCCACAATCTTAACCTTGTTCATAGGTTTGTATTTTGCACATAGGTTTATTATTTTATTATGTATGTTTTGTGTATGAGTGTATATTGTGTGTGTTTGAGCAGCACCGAAAGAAATTCCTCTTAGTTAAGTAGTGACTGATATCGCAATAAAGTATTGAAACTTGAGTTAGCATCATGCCAATAGAAACTGAATGGAAAAATCTTAATTTGAATGTCATTGTGAATCTGTATCATACCATCTGAAATTGAATTCTGAAATTTCTGAACTAATTTGAATATTAAGGTTTGTAAGAGAAAAACAGAAAATTTGAAACTGAATTCTACAGTTGATGTACAGCTGAACACCTGAAAAACAATTTCTAAAAAGCATTCAGTTTTTCTATTAAACCACATTTTCAGATTCACTTTCAAAAAGCCATCAGAGTGTCTTGCAGGCAAAAGCAGTAAAACTCTTCTGCACCATTTTATAAAATAAGTGGCACGGAGCAGCCGGTACAGTGATGTGTTTAAAAGTTGAAAAAACAAACAAACATATTTTTACGTTTAAATTCAAATTTCAACTGACATAAAACCAACTCATTATTGTTTCCCTAAATTTAACCTCACACCATTTCAAATTAGACAGCATTCAGGAGAACTTCTGTTGCATATGCATGCCTTTTAGATGGTGTCTGATGTGGTTAGGCTTTGGTCAGTTTTGGTAGGCATTTTAAATGTCAGCCTGCAAAATTAGCACTGTGGTCTTTAATTTGAGGAGGCTGCACTAGACACTGGACAGCATACATAGCTGAGTCCGGTGTTAGCTGTTGCTGTGATGACACTGCATAGTGCACCAAAATTTTGTGAAAAACTTTTTGAGAACGAAAATGTATGAGATTTGCATTCATGGATGTGAGACCACAGCAAAGTCTGACAAATAAACCATTTCCTCACAAATTGGACAAAATAACTAGCTCATTATGTATCCTTTTATAGTCACTTGTGACCTAATTATCATGTATCTGACCAGTATTTCCCAACGCAGACCTGCAGGGACCACCAGATTGCTCACATTTTTGCATCACATCGCTACTCTCTACGCATCTGAACAAACAAGAACAATAAACACTTAGATGGTACTGCTTGCACTGAGAAAGCAATGATGAAAACCTCTCAAATGGGTCCTCGGGGACCCCCAGTTGGGCCCATGTTTTTTGCTCTGTCTCTATGTGCTGAAAGATAGGATTGGGCGAAAACGTGAATCTTCCGGGGGGGCCCTGATTGCCGGTTTGAGAACACACAATTTTATAGCAAGAAAAAATGATGAAACTGTGCAGTCCAAGCTGGGAAACACTGATGAAGACATGCCATATTTCATTATTACAACAAGCAGCAAGCATTGAGCACAGTGGAAACGGCAGAAATTTGATCACTAATGTCTCAATCTTGTCCAAATTTCATCTGAATCTGAATTTAGGATGCAGTCTAGCCCTTAAAGACCTTTTGCTGGCCTTTGCTTATTTGTTACTCTCCAATTCCAGTTGGTATGGAAACTGGATAACATGCTCTAAAGCATCTGGAGCTATAGCAACAACAAAAACTGTATTAGGCTGGGGGTCCCAAAGGAACAGATAATTATGAGAACCTCTATTACAAATAATATCTCGCTTTACAATCCTGTTATATTGACTTTGCTTAAAATAATTATTTTCACTTGTCCTTTATTAAAACGTAAACCTTGTGTTAACTTAGCCATAAGACTGTAATCTTGCTTTGTTTCACTTAAATGAACAAAGCAATTCACAAATAAGAAAATCCAATTATCATTCTGCTAAAATTATATCCTTTCATATAAACATTAATCAACTTGAATGAAATTCCTTGCCCTGCAGTTGTGGACAGGGCTGACATTAGTTCCACCATTCGATCCCAAAGTAATCAAGAACAAGATTGCGTCTTTTTGGAATGAAGACATTTCAACAGGCACAATTTTCACCGTTCATGCAATAACTACCTCTGGCAATTACAATCCAATATTTTTTCATTTACACAGCATAAATGAATTTCGATTTCTACTTGGAACACTTGGACCCGACAAGAAGCACACAATAAAACAACCACAACACCAGATCCAGCACTGTTTTTTCTCTCTGGCCTTTCAAAATGCTTCATGTTATATCGGCAACCCATTAATTTTCAGTTCTACCACATCAATATTCTTCATTTTGGCCTCTTAGATCCTCTTGGCTTTTGACTGTCTCACAGTCCTGGTTTAGATCTAAAAGGGATGCTATGAGCTATAGAATACCAGATTATACACACACACACACACACACACACACACACACACACACACACACATATATATATACATACATATATTATACATATGGGAATCTCCAGGCACCTCACAATTCGATTACGATTCAGAGGGCTGCAATGCGATTATAAAACGATTACCGACGCATCTCGATGCATCATTTTTTCCTATACATGATTTCTATTTTTTAGTTTTAAAACAAAGTTTTTGTAATGATCCATAATGCATTTATGTCCAATATCTTTTATTAATAAAACAAATGGAAGTGACGTGGCAAGTGAACTATAAGGCTCTCATTAACTGCTCTTGTTTGGAGACGCTTCTGCCACTCATCTGTGATAAAATGTGCTGTTACGGTGAAATAAGATCCAGTGGTTTTCGCCTGGCTAGTGGCGAAAGAAAAAGGAAAAGAGAAAGACAGTCAAACATTTGGAGACAAATGGACTTATTCGCATTTATAAGCAGCGCAGTTGGTTTCCTGGTACGTTAAATATGCAAAAAGAGACTGTCAAACACTAACTAAAAAGTTGCGAAGATGAAGTCGCTTCTCTAATTTTCCCGTTCCACCTTAAATGGTGCCGCTTTTACATTCGGCGCCTCAGTCAGAATTCAAGGTGGAACGGGAAAGTTCAGCAAGAAGCTGGCGAGTGAGAAGCGACTTCAGCCTCGTAAAACAGCCGAAAGCTGAGAGACATTTTACAAGAAACTACTCAACTTTTGAGGAAAAGTTTTCTGGCGGAGATGGAAGAAAAGCGGCTATAGCTAAAGCTTAAAGCAGAGCAGAGTAAGTCTGTGTTTTCGTTTATATTTTTTAGCCTAAACTAGCACATTGTCACATGCTGGACATAAATGTTGTGGCTCCCAAGGTGGTTTGATTTTTGTTGAAAGGACAAAATGGCTCTTCTTAACATGTGTTGTGACTCCTGATCTAACCTGGCTTTAATGCAGAGGGAGCCGGTCGGATTTCTCGCTCATCCAGTGGTGTTTTTGTTATGTGCCGCCACAGACTGTCCGGGCGCTGCACTTACCCATTTCCAAGTTCCGCCTTTTGCGTTCCATCAACATTACGTTATAAATTAAATATTTAGAAAATCCCATTGACTTTGACTTGACTTCACTAGTTCATGATGTTACTGATCCTCTATTTTCATACACAGCACAAGCAAGGACAAAAGCAGAACAGAACAGGAGCTCTGTGTGGCATGTAGCGTCCCAAGAGATTAGTGGGAAATGGAGCAATGAGGAGGCCGCTCTGTGGTTTAAGGTGAGTGGGATTACATGCAGTAAATCGATCTACTCCCACCTGTCACTACCATGCTATGGCACACAGCAGGGCAAACTGTGGCAGTCCACAGTCTAAAGCCACCAAGAGTCAGGCCTGCTGACACACTCAGACTAAAGAGTTCAGTATTTTTTGTGAAATAAAATTAATGTCAGACAAAATAAAACTATCAACATGGGAAAACTAAAATAAAATAATATATATCGGATGGAGTGGCACGCTAAATGTTCAGCTGGAGTTGTCTAGGGAAATATAAGATGATCATGGTGTTAGACAAATGATTTGAGATGAGTACGCCATAATCATAGGTAGATCTATTGGTCTAAACATGAAGCCCAAAGAGGAGAAAACAGTGAGTAAATGAGTAATATGATATTCCATCAAACCACACTATTTAAACAATAAACAGGGTAGTACACCATACTGTACATATGTATTAAGAATGAAACAGTTATAATACATTTTATATGCATGTATGTTTAGGTATATATAAAAATATAAATCGCACAATTAAACTCTGTCTAATGAGGGCTCATACCAAGAGACTTTGTTTTCTCGTCCATAGCCATTTTTTCTGGTTTTACATAGATATGCGTGATAATATCAGAAGTGTATTGGCACTGGCAGATAATTGCTTTAACAATTACAGGCATCGTACAGCTTATTAGATTTGACCAGTATTGCAAAAATATATGATATTTGACCTATTTATTGCACTCCAGAAGAGCAGAATGTTTAGGTGAAGCTAAGCTAACACGCTATAATATCTGCATTTTATTCATTTTACTGCAACTGTAACCAATACTGATATTGTTGTTCATGAGAAAAAAATTTGATAACTGATATGAGCTGTTATAATAGTCATTTTTGATCGAATAGTTTTAGTTAATAAGTGTGTTACTGGTATGACTGGTGTTATAGTCAGTTCTCAATTATCACATTTCTTAAACAGCAGAAAATCAGCCTTAAAGCAGCTCATATGCTACATTTTTCTTTAATCTTTTTCCTCTCTTGAGTTCCACTTTGTGTGCTTTTATGTACCAAACATGGTCATAATTTAATTATGTGACCATTATCCAATCTCTCTCCATCACTTTGAATTAAACAGGCTGTTTTTGTTACTATGCCTTTATCAGTATAAGACAAACAATCTCTGTTCTGATTGGCTGTCCATTATTGTTCCTCATTCAAAAAGCACTCAGAGGTGAAATATTCCTTTGAACTTGAGCATGAGCTAAGAGCTAAGTTGCTGTAGGCTCAACAGGTGGACATCCATAAATAAACTGATACCTGTGATCAACTCACAGAAAAAATGAATTCAAAATGGGCTGGTAAGTGATTGGTATGTTTTGAAACTTCAACAATGTTTACAATATATGCAACAAGGATTACATATAGAAGGAAGTCCAGTTTTCCATGATATGGGCCATTTAATAATATAAACATTGTGGAGAATTCTTTGCAGTTTTGGTTACCTCTTATCTTTCTTATTACATCTCATCATTTTTCTAGTGATTGTTTGGATATATTTTACATGTTTTCTAACCATGATGACATTTTGTGCTCAAATTTATCAGTCCAGCCTGGATTACTCAGAGTTAAAGAGGTGGTGTCTTATACTGAGCCCCCCGGTAGCACCACACTTCATTATATAGTCGGGTTTCAGTAGGGGGAAAAAAAACATGCATCTCCAAAATAGTAACTTTACGAAGAGTGTAAAAATGTACTTTATCGGCCCATTCATCATTACATTTTCACACAATGTGAAAGGACAATTGCCGTGTTCAAATGATGTGGAAGAATAAAAATCAACAAAATTGGAGATACACTTTTGTCTTTGGACAGAGACGATACGTCTAGACCAGTGGTCACCAAACCTTAAGACTTAAGACAATACCTAAGACAAAAAAATAAGAGAATTCTTATTAAGTTGTTTAAAGAATAACAATTTTTCATAACTTTTTTTTTCTTAAGAATGAAGATAAGAAAAAAAAAATGCACATTTAAGAAGATTTTCTTTCTTAAGACACTCTCATGAATCCGGCCCCTGGTCCTGGAGATCTGCTTTCCTGCTGAGTCTAGTTCCAACCACAATCTGCCATACCGGCTACAGCTAATTAACTTCCTCAGAAGTCCTTGATTGGCTGGATCAGATGTATTAGTGTTAGTTAAGGAGGGAGCAGTAATGTTGATGCAGGTTGGAACTAAATTCTGGGGTTGGTGACCCCTGGTCTTGACCAACAAAGACAAATTACATTTTTCCATATTAATCATTTTAAGTCTTGGGAATGACTGAAATATGTTTTTATGTAATGTTAATGAGAAGTATAGATCAAATAGAAAAGTCAGATCTTATAGAAGAAGCATAAGAGGAGTTTGTGTTATATTTGCAAAAGCAAGTGGGTAATTGGCCAAAAATATACCCTGGATGAGTTCTAGGACATGGAAAATAGCCTAAGAGCAAGAGGAGGAAAAATCCCCCTGGGTTTAGTTGCCATGCTTACCCAGTGCTCAGTAAAAGTGCCATTAAGAGCCCTGAAGCAAATATTTCAGCAGGTTTGATCACTGCTATATTAAGAAAAGTTTGTTAACCACTATGCTACACAAAACATTATTATGAACACACCAAAGTGAATCAGCATGTCACACATAGAAAGTGACCCTTAACATTAGAGGACATTTGGCCTCAATGGACAGTACATGGCAAACATCAATGTGAATATTTCCCATCTATAGTAAACAATGGGAATAATAAAAAAAAACAAATATATATATATATAATATATATATTTTTTTATTTTTTTTTATTACATTTCTGTCCCTTTGCCCACCTCAAGTTGACCCTCTGTGGAGCATGGAGCACCAGCAGATATCACAGTTTCACAACCTAGAAAAAAGGTCTATATTTACCTTCTGTGGGGGAAGATTTTAACCTGGAGCAAAGTCCCTGAACATCTCCATAACACTCCTGGATTCTCTGTAATCCCTCTGGCCCTCTGAGTTCCATGAGCGATCGCAGCTCTTTGAGCGTGCAGCCAAAATCGGCATCGTGGTTGGCGTCCGCCTTGTATTTGGACCCGCGGAAAGAGTTTCGGGCCATGTCTCCTCTGCAGCACACCACACAACAGCGGAGAACAGGCTCCCCTCAGGGAACGCAAAATCTTCAGTGGCAAAATCCAGAATTTCCCATAAAACTGCTAATTATTCAGGGCTGCAGAAAACAACATTCCAAGAGGCAAACTGGATGCATGTAAACAGCTACGTCCATCCAATGCACCCGTGTGTGGTTCTTCATCTTGGTTTGATCAAGTTTAGTGAAGATCCAAATTGTTCACTTCAAGCTACATCTGAAAGGGAAGCAGACACAGTTAGTGACTTCTTGCATTTCTAAAAATCAGTATAAATTTTTTTTTTAGCAAAATAAGTGCCGTTTGGTTGGATTTAGAGCAGTGCAGTATGTGAAACACTGAATCTAAAAAAACATAACAGCATTGTTTTGCTTAGTTTAGCACTGTACATACACTGTACATACACTGTACATACCACTGTATGTCATAAAAATGCCTCTCTCTTCATAATACAGGATGTGTGTGGAAAGTCCTATGTACACAATTCTTTTTTTTTTGGACAAATTGATGGCACAACAGGAGTCCTGTTTTGGTAATGACGACTTAGAATAGTTGACATTACTCCATAAGGTCTTAGTCCACTTCAAATTATAGCATATCGCCTCTACAATCTAAAATATAATTGACTGTAACCTTTTGTCTGCACCATTCAAACCAAATTATGGAGCATTGTGCTTCCGTCAGAAACAGCAATAGGAAGCGAAACCATGGTCAATCAATGTGGGAGTCATATCTAACAGTATGTCACCTATCTTTAGGGGAGAAGTGAATGAGCATGCGAAGTGACAGTCGGCTTTTCCGCTGACCCTTCAGAGGCAAAATCTGCCAAGACCATTTAAGACACGCACGGCTAAAATTAGTTCCATTACATAAAACAGAACCTCCTCTCGTAAATGTGACTGGCTTGAGGCGACGTACGCAAACTTGATTCAGATTCTGAGTTCTATTCCAAAAAGTTGCAAGAAATCTTGAGACAGACACAGCGGTCAGTGATATCTAAAGTCAACTCAAAGGTCGCAGCCATCGCAGTAAGTTCCAGTCAAGTTGAATAGGTGCAATGTAGAAGATTATGACGTCTCTCCTTGTTTGTACTACAGTAGAGGTTAACAACTGCTACTGTACAACATAACCTCTTGACTTCATTTACTCACCATGTTAGCATTCAAGCATTTGACTATTACTATGTAACATAAATGACCCAAACCTTGTCCACTTAAATGAACTCCATTCAAACATCTACTATCTGGGACAACCAAACAAAAGGGTTTGCAGTCAAAAGGTCAAGAAGCCACTGGAGATTTTGATTGTTCTATATCATCACATAGAGAGATACTCACACGGCAGCTTTATAAATACGTTCCTGCAGCAGGAGACGGCCAGAAAAGATGGCAGCTAAGCCAGTCCAGTCAGCGAGACCTCCTAAAACCTCCAAAGACACGCCTGTCGCACCAAAGGCCCTCTGACATTACTTTACACCACACTAGGCCAAGCACTATACTAATGCTCAAGGACTATTTCTTTAGATTAATGAAAATAATTTGACCTTCAGCATGCAGTCTTGCAGCGCAGTCTTCATCAGAGGAAAAGGCTCGCTAAATGATTAGCGCAGGAAAGCCTCTTGCTTAATCTAATTAGGCAACCTGCGGCTGCTTCTGCATCTCGGCGCACAGTCGACAAAGTCCAGTTGCAGAGTTGAGACAGCGTGTGTATACGTGAACATATTAGGGCTGAACAAGATTCTGATTCTTAATTATAATGTTAGCCTGCAATACTGACGACAAGGCTGCAATACGTAAACAAGCCCTATAAATAAATCACAAAATATTTTATTGTGGGCATCCTGATCAATGTCAGATGTTACCGACGAGTGTTTCTGTGCATACATTTAGAGGTATTTTGACCATATTGTGCAACCCCAGTACATATATGCAGATGCATATGCAGTAGGGAACCTACTTTTAATGCACAATCGGAGGGTTTAGCTCAAAAAGGCATTATAGACCACTTCAATTTTCTCTTTTTTTCATGATATACATTGTTGGGAGTGGGCTTTACACATACAAGACATATCAGTGCTATATTATGATTAATACCACCTTTATTAGAGAAATAAAAATGTGTTTTCCAGAAAGAAATCCCTTAATTACTGCTTATTTGTTGAATTTCACATATTGGAAAGAAATTAAGCATGTAGCCTCTGTAAAAGTATGTTAAATGGTACTTTGTGTTATATTTCCAATATGTTAAATGTAAATAAATAAAGAAACAAACAAAACAAAATTGACCAGGGGTGCTCAAACGTTTGCATACAACTGCATATAACACAAACACACAGTCCCACGCCCGAAGTTCAACATTAGGTGGTGTAGGCAGTAGACAGCTTAGCATATATAACTTTCTGCTCCATTGCAATGAGTTTTTGTGCTGAAAATGTAGGAAACTAAAATCAATATAAATTCTGTATTTCTAAGTACTTTATCAGGGAGGGTCTCTGGCCGAGGTGAGGCGTGAAGGTGAAACATGATAATTCTCTAATATTGTTTTGCCCTGCCTGCTGGTGCACAGTGATGTAATCAAAACTTGGAAACTCATTTTAGAGGCGGAGCAAAAGCCATTGCATTTCAATTAACAATTAAAGAATTCTGTCTTTTAAATTACTTGATATGACTTGGTTTCACATTATCCTCACGACAATGGAAAAAGAAGAAAATAAGTATCCTGTATGCTGTCTTTGAACTTAAAGCATCAAGTCAAGTTTTAAACAAAACTGGTGCTCAGATTCAGAGACTTTAGTGATCACACAGCCAAGCTATTATTCAGTGTTGTAATAGAACAGTCCACCACAGGAAGTTAACCACAATGGACTGAATGTTTTGTGAACCATGTGTTTGTATTGCAACTGTATTGGGTTTAAAGTGGTTGTTATTTGTGTTATTACTGTTTGTATATCAGGATAATTCATGTTCTATTGACTGATTAGACAGACAGACACACAAATTTAAGTAAGTAAGAATCTCACAGTCAAGAGTTAGAAACACATTCAAGCTGTACAGCTATTTTTGGTTAGGTGTAAATCTAAATTATGTATACATTTCTTATATATGCAGACTGGTAGGAGAACAGCATGACTGAGTATGCAGTGCTATAAAGCTCCATCACTGAGCAGCAGCTGGATGGCACAGGGCTCTCAGCAGGACTGTTTATCATTCATGGTGCCATTCCTGTGTACACTTCTCTAAATGTTCACTGGCTCTGAGCAAATCATCAAAATGTCAAAAGCGGCTGCATTTGCAGCAGAGTGACAGCACCGGGTTAACAAGCTGCCCGTATGTCACAGCAGTGGAATATCAAAATGAACGCATCTCCTGGAGCATTACTGACAAGCTGCTCCACTAATCACAGTTCAAATGTGAGAGTTCATACAGTGCTGTGCAAACGCCAGAGACCGCTCTTCATTTAACTTCCAGTCAAAACTGCCATTCAGTACAAACCATTCATTTCTTCAGGTGTGTCTGAAGAGAATAGATATCAAATAATCGACTTTCATTAAGAAGGAAAAAAAGGAAAAGAAGCCAGGAGTTTCAAAACTGGAATCCAGGAAATGATTAAAAGATACAGAAACAACTGTGCAAGACCTGATAGACCACCAAAACTGTCACCATCACATAAACAGCACTTAAAGCTTTCATCTTTGAGAGAGAGGAGAACATCAAGGTCCTCTCTTGCTTCAGATCTGAAAAAATAGGAGTTTCTGTCCATCTTTCCACTGTGAAAAGACAGTTCAGAGCTGAGGGTCTGAAAGGATATGCAACTGTCAAGAAGGAGTTCCTGACAAAACAAAAAAATGCACAAACCAAGCAAAGAAGCCCTGGTGTTCTCAGAACAATGGACCACCCCAGAGACCTGACCTCAACATCAGTGAATGTGTTTGGGATTATTTGGATCGTAAAAAGCAGAAAATGCAACAAACATCTAAGACTGAACCTTTGAGGTGTGGAAAAATATTCCTGCAGATTTCTCTGAAAAACAAAGCAAGCCTTCTAAAAATGAAAGCTGTAATAAAAGTTAAATAGTGGAAACAGTAAATACTGAAAAAAATATATATTTAGTTGGTTTCTGTGTAATTCTGTTATATGTTTTCTGCTTTTTCCTGATCTTGAAAAACAAATAACATGTATTTAATCGCTGTTTTGAGTGGGTGGTCTCTGACTATTGCATAGTAACCCTGTACAGGTCTGTGAACGGTGGTTAGTGACACTTTTTTTTTAGCAGAAATGAGCAAAACATGGGATAGACACAGTTTAGCTTAACGCAGAGCCGGCTCAGACGGAATATGAAACCAGCGCAAGGAACACACAAGGCAAAGTCAAAATCATATGACCCATACTTAACACTGCTTCATTTCGCTGACTCACAAACCATGACATGTAGCAGACTGGACAGCGCATTCATGGCAGCCGTGCAATCTGAGGATAAAAATGCTAACATGACGGAAGCTTAAAAGGTCAAGATGCTTCCCACTACACACACACACTAGCTCAGTCTGGTCTAACTATAATCCAAATTAAAGTCATTTTTTCCTTATTCTTATTTAACAAGGGTGTACGCATGCGGAGAAATGTGTTTATAATCAGTTTAGTGATTTTTCCCCAGGTGCTTCTTATGAATCAGTTTACTGTGTCTAATGTTTTCTATTCTATGATGTACCAATAAATAAAATCCCTTTTAGCTCTTTTCGAGGATAACATATGTAAGGAACAAGGAGATTTCAGTTCATGAAGTACAAATGACTCCATTTAACTGCTTAAAATCTCAGGCTTATAACATACTAAGGCTTATTTTTCAATAACTACACTGCCAATGCAATCTGACTGAGATATGTTTAGGCAACAGAGGTGTGTAGTAAAACTTTGGACCTGTGGGTGGAGGCTGGACATTTAAGGGGTTAAACCTGCTAGCCACTGACGATATTCAGTAAATCTTTAATAAATATACATGTTAATTTATTTAATGTATGCATGCTTTTTAAATACATATTATATAAAGTTCATAAGGCTGAGGCTGGCCAACTGAAAACCCCTAGGAAGATTCTTTTGAGACTTACTTTGCTCTGCTTTAAGCTTTAACTCAGCTATAGCCACTTTTCTGGCATCTCCAGCAGGAAACTGTTCCTCAAAAGTAGAATAGTTTCTTGAAAATGTCTTTCAACGTTCGCCTTTTTACAAGGCTGAAGTCAGCTTCTCATTCGTCAGCGTCTTGTTCTAATTTTTCCGTTCCACCTTAAATGCCGCCTGAGGCGCCAGGATGTAACTGCTGCACCTTTTAAGCTGGAATGGGAAATTCAAACAAGAAGCTGGTGAATGAGAAGCTGACTTCAGCCTCGCGACTCTTTAATGTTTGACAGTTTCTCATTGGAGATTAAATGTATCAGGAAACCAGCTGAGTGCTTATAAATGCCAATAAGTTCATTCGTCTCCAAATTGTCCATGTTCGTCTTAAATCTCTCTCTTTGCCTTTTCATTAGCTACTGGAGAGCTTGTCTGCTATGGTGACCAGCACTTTGGCGCCAATCTTCAGGGTTACAGGTTGGTGAATCGGCAGTTATAAATAATACAACTCCGGCGTTTAAGATTTTTTATTGTTAAAACTGTGTTAGAATGATCAGCTCAGCTTTATTTTACTGCACAGGAAGATTTTATTTTTATCTAAAAATCTAATTTTGCCATGGAGCCACAACAGGGCAGTAAAAGAGCCGCATGTTGCCGACCCCGGTCCTAAACTCTAGAAGAGTATTCAGAGATTAATAGAAATGCAAGCTCTGAGACACAATGTACTGGGCCTCTTGTTTCCTCTTACTGTGTAATTTCATGTTATTTTATTTAGGTCATGGTATTTTATGTAATGCTTTACCTGCCTTATTTCTATCCATTATATTTTCTTAAAGGGGAATTCCACTGAGTTTCCCAAAATTTCTAAATCATTAAGATGAAAGTCATTCAGACTGGTTTGATGAGAGATGCTCCATTCCAGAGAAACCTTTGGAGTGAGAATTGTTTACAGTGGTGGTGATAGGAACCAGACATCTGAAGAGTTTAATGTCTCAAAAGCTACCTCAGTGAATGAATGAATGATAATGAAATGGTTATATTTGTATTATGGACATCATGAGCCCTGGACCCTATTGCTGAAGGTAAGAGTAGGTATGCGTCTCTTCAATGCATCATTTCACATCAAACCACTCTCAGTGACTTTTACAACAATTGCATTATGCAGAAATTTTGGGGAAAAAAAAGGAAAAAAGTGGAAATTCCATTTTAAAAAGTGGGAAGCAAAAATTCTACTTTAATATAATACTGTATTATAATAATGCATCATAATTATTGCTGTGCAACTGGTTTAACCCCACAACTAGACTTTTTTCTCTCTGAATTTCAAAAGCAATATCAAGAGAATTTTTGTTAAGCAAAGAATTTCCCCCTGTAAGATTTAGTGAAATCCAGACCACAGCCGGTTTGATTACAGCACAGAGAAACCTACATTTCCCCACAAACAGAAACACCTCCGCTGCCTCACTGAAGAGTCTTTTAAGCCAGAGCAAAACGTTCCCCTCATGTACCAAATATGACGCAAGCACAAAAGGGCCAGAGTAGTTTTGGATTATATTAAGCCAAAGGGGAGAGAGAGAGAGAGAGAGAGAGAGAGAGAGAGAGAGAGAGAGAGAGAAAGAGAGAAACAGAGAGAGAGATGGCTGAATTGTTTCCAATCCATAAAACACTAGTGGTTAACATTTACAACATTTAGAGGTGCAAAATAGGACTGTCCAGCACTGGTATCATATCCTGGACAGCTGGTCTGACACCTGGAGCTCTGTCTATGAATCTGAGAGAGCTAAAGCTCCTGGTGTATGACCCTTCCAAACAGCCTGAGAGTGATTAATGGAGCTTTGTACCCTCCATATACCAGTCAAACATCACTGAGTGACCAGTGATACCAGCAGCATTCAAAGTGTGAATGGCCAGTATGAAACTACTGTCCATTCAAGTATGAAAATGCATTACAGTACAAACACCCTTTCTTTTTTTTAACAAATACTAACTGAAATGTTTGCATGCAGTTCTATAAGCAAGGCCCTGCAGTGGTGAAGAACATGCAGGTCTGCTATGCTAAATTTAAAGTGCAGTGCATATCTAATGATCTCACAGGACTAACTTAACACCTTCTCTTGTCAGCACTTCACACATCTTGTGATGCTGAACGGTGCAGTCTGCGCATGCGCGACAGGTCAGCTAAAGTCAAAACCCTGCAAAATAATCAAACAAAAAACTCGAGCAGGGCAGAGCCAAAAGATTTATAGTGCGTATATTCATAGTGCATCTTCGTATTAATAATAAAATGCAGCATTTATTAAGCACTTATTTATAATATTGTAGCACGTATTTACTATAAATCAACTTGCATCAATGCATTCCATAGGTTTCATAAGCAAACGACAAAGATTTTAGCACCGACATCCCAGACGAACAATGACACCTGGTTAGCTTGCTATAGTTTTAATATCAGCTCTAATCTTAATAGCAGACAAGTTAAGAACAGCTGGCTCCTAATGCTTCACCACGCGCCATCAGATTATTCTTTTTGTTGGTTATCTAACGAGCGCCTAAATTTCACGAGGTGAGCCAAGAGACGCAAATAAACGAGATTATTTAATAATAGTTATCAAAATAACTTATATGTGAGTAACTGTCGGTGTCCTATGTTGTCCAGTTTGATAATACAGAGTTTTTATAGCAAAAAAGATAGCTCAGCTTATCGTCCACAGACAGGCACTACTCCAAAGAGCTTCACAGCGTTTAACACGCACGTGGAAGTCCAAATAAGAGTAGGACTAGGCGTCATAAAACAACAAACAGGTTTGTCGTAGACAGAAAGAGTGAAGAGGCACCTGTCCGGTAAATTTAAGGCACCATAATAAAAAATAAACCCCAAAAAAACGTCATTTCTACTCACTTTTAGCCGTGGACTCTCTCCCCATCCTCTTGTCATCACTTTATCCCTCTGCGCTCTACAACTCCATCTGGAAAACCCCGCCCACACCCGCGAGCGTTGACGTCAGGTGGGCGGGTTCTTTGGATTTAACTCTCGTTCTGATTGGTTCGCCCTCATCCCAGGTACAGGTGTCAGCCTGTGAAGCAGCAGCTGCCGTTTTCAGGACCAGAGCAATCTAATTACTGCAAAACAAGAGCAGGTAAAGCAGCATGGGTGCTGAGAGGAAACTGCACAACTAGTACATTATGGCTTTTCATTCGGGAAATTATTTCTGAAAAGAAATGGAACAATAATATGTAACATTATTATTGTAAAAGTAAAAAAAAAAGGCTTTTTCCTTCATCTTCTGATCCAGCAAGTACCTGGTACCATTTGTACAGTATTAATTTCTCCAAAAATGCCATCATGTGCTTACGAGAGATAAAGGAAAATAAGGGACGGCTTACACAGAGGTCCAAGGCCCCGTCTGTTCAGAGCTTGTGGGCAATGAAAAGGAAACGTGGTGAATCTGCATCAGGACTATTTGTTTCTCTTTTCTGGGAATCCCTGCCGATATCAAAGGTCATGTCTGGTCCAACAACGCAGAGTAATCTCAAAATCTTCTTACGCACACATCATACAATGCATTGGTGAGCAGGATTTTTCCATGCATTGAAAATATGGGCTAATCATAGCCTATGAGTTCACATTACGTTTTGTTAGTTGTTTTTTGTTTTCTTCTCATTAGCCAGACAATGTATTTTTGGCATAAGTAGATGTAAATGCTGTCTTTTTAAGCAGTGTATTTATGTATTTATGGATAGTGTTTGCTCATTGTGGCACTGTCTGATTGGTCTGACTACTATATAAACCATGCAGTGCAAGTATGCCATTAATCAACTACCACTTTTTGGCAGAAACATCTTTGCCGTTGCTGAAGAGGTTGTTGAGGGAAATGATCCTGATCCCCAGATGTGCCAGATATGATGTAACTACAGGGCTAGAGCTTTTGTGTGTGCGTGTGTGTCTGTCTGTGTCCAGTGTTAGAGTTATCTATCTCAAATATTCTTTGATGCTCATTGCAAATTTGAGATTGCAGATGTGTTTCTTATTTATAGTTTCAAGCACAAAATATTTCCGTATGTAAAGTACTGTGCAACGTCAGAGACCATCCTTCATTTATTACCAGTCAAAACTGCCATTAATTGCAAGATATTGTTAAGGGAATTACATGTAGGATTCACTTGCATAATAAAGTTGGGAGGAAAATAAGTGAAAAACAAGAGTTTTGAAAAACAGAGTTAAAAAAATTATCAAAAGAAATGTGACTCCTACACTAAAGAAATAAGGATACAAAACTGTCACTGGGGCAGTACCCCTCTTGTCACTGGGGTGGTACCCTCAAGGATACATCTCAGTTCCTTTAGTGGGGCAACATAATCGTACCATAATCCACTGAAATTACAACTATTTTTTTATAGTTGTATTGACTCCACACACCCCGTCTTGTCTCCAGACTTTTAATTTCATTTTTCTGTTTTAAAACATTAGGTTATGAAAAGGTACAAATACGTACTTTTCACCTGGAAAAACTTATTTAAGGTACACAATTGGACTTTAAAACCACTGTTGTACCTTTGAGGGAACATTTACATTGTTTGTACCCTGATGAACAAAAATGTACCTGCACAGAACATTTATTCCTAACAGTGTAAGAACTGTGCAGAACCTGGTAGACCACCAAAACTGTCCCTATCTGATAAACAGCACTTAAAGATTTTATCTTTGAGAGAAAGGAGAAAATAAAGCTCCACTCTTGCTTCAGATAACAAACTTAGTGTCTGTTTTTACTGGAAATTCAATAAACAAAAGCTGGTCTTATTATGGTAAGCAGCAGTTTAATACATTTGATTAAAATGAATCAAAGCAAAAAAAAAAACAGTTGAGATGAACAAAAGGACAAAATCCATTTAACCATTTAACTTCTGGCCTTTTCTATTTACAGTATGAAACTGAGCTCTGAGTAGGTTTGCTCTGTGTGTGATGTGTGCTCTCAAGACTCGAGTCAGCGAGCCTTTGACACACATGTAGAGCAGGTGCTGCTGGTCATGTTTGATCAGGAGTGGAAACTGATGTGATGTTGTGCCGCTGTTGTCTCTCGCACACTGGCACGCGAGGCGCTTAACTCCACTGCTCTGTCTCAGGGATGGTAGAGAGCATGACCTCGCTTAAACAGGATTAGCTATAAATAGTGCTGCCTATCCGCTCGGCTGCAGCGTGGCCGCGGCTCAGCTGCTGACTCTGATCCTCGCTCTGCGGCCTGTGGGGCTAAAGCCACTGCCCACCTAGCCCTCCACAGACATGGACCAACCACTCCCACTGCATCATCCAAGCCCCCCCACCCCATTGTTCTCACATACAACAAAGGCAAATACTACACATAACAACAAAGAGATTCATCAGCTACCCCCACCCCACCATACTGGGGCAAAGTTACAACGCTGAGGAAAAAAGAATAACATAATGGCAAAAATACAAAGTAATGTGAGCAGGCCTATAGAACTGTACATGTGCATACATACAAACACATGCATACTTTTCTATGGCCCCAGCCACAAGAGGGCCCTGTGGGGCCTTGTTCATCTGAACTAGATTTTGGTTGCCATTGTTTACCTTAAAATACTTATTTGATTGGAATAAAACCAGTTAAATTGCTTGTTACTATATTAAGACTTTTTTACGCAGACCTTATTAAGCAATTGCAATCTACAGTGGCTCCCAATATTATTTGAACACTTTTATTGTGTAACCATTGGTAAACTTTACTGAAGTTTTTTTAAATGTTTTAAATAATTAAGTTATAAAATGATGTGCTGCTGCATTTTGCATGAGATGTGGAGGATGGACTGTTTTCTCCAGTAAGAAGAACATTACAGTAATCAAATATGCTTGTAACAAAAGCATAAACAGGTTTCTGTGCATCACTCTGAGATAGAAAAGGCCAAACTTCAGCAACATTTCTCAAATGATAAAATGCTACTTTAGTGACTGTGTTTACATGCAGGATAAAACAGAGCTCAGAGTCTAAGATCACTACCAGGTTTCGTACTGCATGTTTGGTATACAAAGCTAAAGAACCGAACTGCTCATAAAGCATTTTTCTCTGGGTTTTAGTACCGAGGATCAGTGTTTCAGTGTTTTGTGACTTACCCTGAGAAATTAATACATTTTTGACTTCTTTTACAGAGCCTTTTCTGCCTGTTGGAGTAGGTCCTTTTATCTTCAATAATGTTAATGAAATATATTTGCATGACCTACAAAACCACACATGGTTTTCACATCAACACTTATGTTTTTATTGTGTTTCAATTGTACTTTTGACACAGTTGTGCACAAGGTGCAAAATACAGGGGTCCTGGGGGGTCCCTGAAAATAAACTTATTTTAAAGTTATGCTATTTATTATGGAAAAATAAATGCTCAAATGCAAATTCTGGGAAAAAGGTGGTTGTTTACCCTGCTTAACACACTTCAAAAAGATGGTTCAAGGGTTTTTTAGTAAAGAAAACAGTTCCATATAGAACTATGAACACTTAAAGAACCCTTTGCATGATTAAAGGGTTCTTTGCATCATTAAATGGTTCTTCAGATTGATAGAGAATATGCTTTATATGGTTCTATATAGAAGCTTTTTAAAAAGGGTTCTATATGGCACGTGACATAGAAGAACACTTTTTGGTGCTTATAGAATCCTTTTTAAAAAGCTTCTATGTAGAACCATCTACAACTCATTCTCCACCAATCTGAAGGACCCTTTCACAATGCAAAGAACCCATTTTATCATGCAAAGGATTCTTTGAGTGTTCATGGTTCTATGTAGAACCATTTTCTTTACTAAAAAACCTTTGAAGAACCATCATTTTATAAAAGTACCTGCAGTCGTTGAGCTTCTGTCTTTGGTATTCCTACCTAACTAGTGATGCTGCACTGGTCTGCCTCAGGGTAGCAGCTTGGTTCACCCAGTTGGTCCTTCATAGCCTAGCAACTTTAACTATGCCCTGAATACCTCTGAAAAACTGTACACCTGAAAATTTTGTACACCTGAAAACTTTTTCAAGAGATTGGTGGAAAGAGTTAATTGTCACTCATTTCCCAAAGCAAAGACATTAAAGGAGATATGTAAGATCTCAGTTAATGTGTGAAAGACCACATTACCAAACTAGAAAAAAGCATTGCCAAAAGAAAAATCGCTAAACCAAACATTTTGTTGCTATTAGCACCCATCCCAAAGCTGGAATAGCCAGCTAACATGGGACCCCCCCCCGAATACCAGGGGTATTTCGCAGCCATCTTTGTGGAGAAGTGTGAATTGTTCTTACAGCAGGGGGTTCTGACCAATTTCACCCCTCATTGCTCATTAGCAGCTCAACATAGAGTCACAATGTTTCACGCACAGAGAGTTTTGTTACGAAATCAAATATTTTACTTCAGTAAATTAGTCAATAATATCCAAGTCGATTTCCATTCCTCCTGCCGAATGGCCACTAGCTATCCTGCAGGAAGAGGTTAGGTATGGCACAAATACTTTTTTGGAGCCACTACATCACCCAGCACTATAGTTCCAGACAGCAGATATAAGCTAGCTGAGTCTTTTTGCTGGTAAGTTGCTACAGATCTGGGAACAGGAACTTGTTTTCTAAAAATAGTGGAGCTTGAGGTTTACACTGGGGAACTGAGCCTAGAAAAGAGCAAAAGGGCAACTTCTGCTAAAAGCTTTACTACCCCCATCAACCTCCTCTTCCACTCCTATGCTCCCTCAGCCCCTTTTTAGACAGGAAGTGCAGTGATTTCTCCCGTTCAGGCCTGAACGCCCCCCCCCATATCTTCTCACCATGGCGACAAGGAATGATGTCGCGCCACAGGCATACCCATATGTGCGCTAGTGCAACCATACGGCGTCAAATGGTATTAAACACCCCGAGCATGAAGAATTTCACATTCACAATCACTCACATGAACA